TATCTTATGGAGAGGGAGGACCTGTCAGATTTCCGCCAAAGTCCAACAAGGTCAAGCGATACATCCGCAAGGGTATCCCCCCAGAGTGGAGAGGTGCAGCTTGGTTTTGGTATGCCGGTGGTCAGAAAGTGTTGAGTAAAAATGCTGGCCTTTATGAAGAATTGGTAAACAAAGGATTGGACTCCCCGGATTCGGAGCTCATCGAAAGAGGTTTGTACAATAATCTCTGCAGCGTCAACATTTTGTCTAACTCTTCCACCAGATCTTCATCGCACTTTCCCCGATAATATCAAGTTCAAGCCCGACCCACCGCCAGGTACAAAAAGGTTGTCAAAAGTACAGCAACAACAGCTAGAAACACCAGTCGTTCAACAGCTAAGGCGTGTCTTGGTAGCGTTTTCACGATATGTTCCAAAAATTGGGTACTGTCAGAGTTTGAACTTTTTGGCCGGAATGTTACTTCTATTTATGACCGAAGAGAAAGCATTTTGGATGCTGTGGATTCTCACCCACCAGCATCTTCCTGGAACCCATGAAGTTAACCTTGAGGGATCAAGCGTTGATCAATGGGTTCTCATGATGAGTGTAAGAGAAAGCTTGCCTCAGATTTGGAGTAAGATTGGCGGTGAGCTGGACGGGAGTGATTTTGATCCAACTTCAACAAAGCTACCACCTATCACACTGTGCACATCTTCATGGTTCATGAGCGGGTTCATTGGGTCTTTGCCTACAGAGAGTGTTTTGAGAGTTTGGGATTGCTTGTTCTAGTATGCATAACTTCCTCACCCCCCTCCTTTTCTTACTTTTACTAACCGTGTATTCGAAATACAGTGAAGGATCAAAAACCCTCTTCAGAATAGCTCTGGCGGTATTCAAAACCGGCGAACCCCAAATCAAGGCTGTCAGCGACCCCATGGAGATCTTCCAGGTTGTTCAGACTATCCCAAGGAAAATTATCGATGCTGGTGCCCTGATTGAGGGATGCTACAGACGTCGAAATGGATTCGGTCATATCAGCCAGGAGACAATCGACCTTAGACGGCAAGATAGAAGAGACACATTTGCGGCAGAACGGGCTGCTATCGCGAAGGGAGGTGTTAGAGCCTCAAAAGACGATGCATCTATGAGAACTGGTCTTGGACACGTAAATAACGGTCTTGGTGCTCACGGAGGTCATGACATTGGCAGGAGATTCAAGAAGATCTTGGTCAAAGCATAGAATCGGAGTGATTTTTTTGTGTCAATTTCCTTAATTGTTGTTGTTACTGCACTGCATTTCTTTGTCTTTAACGCGGGTCGACTCTCTTTCGGGGTGTTTGAGAGGGGGTCAATTTCTTTTGTTTTTTCTTAGCACTTTCGGCACGGCAAAAAGTTCAACTGGTGTCTGCTTTTTTTGTTTCTTGTTTTTCGGCAGCTGGGATAAGGGGTTGGCGGGATAAATACCTACACGATATGAAAGCGGCTTCCTATGTTTTTTTTTTCTCTTTTCTTTTTCTTTCTCTTTTCTTCCGGACTTTGGGGTTTTCGTCATTTTTCTCTTCTCTTTCGTCTTTTGCAAGCTACGGCAAATTTCCATCGACTCACACTCCTTATTATTTACTTCAAGACTTCTTCTCTTTTGTTGCCTTTAATAGGCATTATATCCTTCGCCCCCCTACAACTTCTATTCTGTGTATTGTTTATAAACTTAGTATTCATCTTACCTATTCTTATCTGGGGGGGGGTAGGTTTTACTTTCTATTTTTCTCTTCATTTCCATATTTTTCATATTTTTCATTATCTTTGGGAGCCCCGGGCAACTATTCTTTTTTTTTTGACGTCTCTTCTTTTTTTTTTTTTACCCCCATATTCACCTTTATGCATTGCATCATATTCATAGGGTTTTTTTCTTCTTTTTTTTTCTTTTTTTCTTTTTTTTCTTTCTTTTGGGCGTTCGAACACCTCTCTTAACTTCCCGAGAGATTTTCCATTTTTTGAGATTACCAGACATTAAGGGTGGACTTGAGAGAAGATAGCGTTTATTATTGAAATACATATCTATCCTAAAAAGAATCATTATTGTTTTTTACAGGGAGGAACCCTCTGGATATGTTGAATCCTCCCTTTTCTTTTGTCAAAAATATCTGGGGTGTTTAGTGGAATAGACTTTGGGGGCGGGGGATGATCATGCGGCATCACTCGTACATAGGTATCAAACACCCCCCCTAGACTTTGTGAAATAGAGGTTGTGGAGGGAAAAAAAGAAAGTCTGTTTCTGTATAAAAAAATTAAGTCAGAAATGTATATTACATCATCACAGGAGTCGAGGAAGGAGAGGAGTGTAAATTACTAGCCATTTTGAAAACAAAAAAGGGGACACTCAAATCAAGCTGAAGGACATGGATGAGGGGAGTTTTGAAGTGAGATATTATTCATCACGTGGCGGCACATTGGCATCTCTCTCCCCATCTTTCCTTCCCTTCTGCTACCGTACATGCTGGGTCAGTGCTGCAGCAGTCAGTCACGTAATCTCACTCATGGGGAGGGCGAGGAAAGGGTTTTCCTGCATTTTAAGACATTACTTCGCTAATAACTCAGGTATACATACCGATGGCACGGGGGAGGGGATCTACCTCCACCCTACATACACACTGCAGATCCGTATTCCACTTTCGCTACTTACATATAATATAACCTACCTGCAGCACAATGTAGGAGGCGCTGCTTAAAGTCTCCGTCCTCCCCCCTGATCCTCTGCAAGTAACAGACTCCGCACTGCGGGCGTACATACATCGTTGCCCACTTTAGCAAAGAAAAACCGAACCCCACTTCTGAGACATAGGTAGACGAACGGCTGCACCTCCTACTTTAAGATGGGCCTAGGCCATGTCCTCATAATTGTCCTGTTGCTCGATAATCTCCGTACATTGTGATCGATAGTGGGGTGTATGGGGAGGAGGAGGTGGTGCTCCCGTTTAGGTGGAGGAGGGGGGGGGGGTGGGGGCAGGCAGCTCAATGGCGTCGCCGGTGTTTTAAGGAGGTAGCGAAGGGGGTGGCCTTATTGGGTAGAGCACATCTGATCTACGGGTGGGATGTTTTGGCAGAGCTAGATGTGATGGGGTGGGATCGAGTTGTGTACGGACTCCTTCGGGGGAGTGGTGGAAGGTGGTGGATGTGGAGGTACCTAGGGTATAATTACTTGCAGCTTTGGTATGTTTCGTCTCCGGGGGAAACATTGACTAGATGCAATTTAGCTAGATAGCTAGGTGGGATTTGTTTTGTGTACAAATGATCCGCTGTTGTCTGTTTACTTGGTCAAACCTTGTAGGCTAGGGTTGGGTTGAGGTACACCATGGCCTCACTGGCCGTGATATGCCCCGAGGTTCACACGTGAGCCGGAGCTTGCCTTGCCATGATGTTTATAAGGATTGAGAAAGCAGAAACATATCCGCTTACCACGGTGATAGCCGGACTTATATAGACCACCTGGTGTTTCTTATAGACATCAAATTGAGTAAGTATTTGTCATGGGGTAGGCAGGTGGTATTATTGGTCTAGTAAGGACCGAATGATATATAGGCTAATCTTAGAAAGATAGCTGATTGATAAGAAATAGGTAGGATCTATTGGGTCTGGATGATAATAATTAAGGAGCGGAAAGCCAACTAAATATACGTAAACTACATGTAGGTCACTAGGGGGATTGTTACCTAGTTAGCCTTTGGTTACTTGACACCATTTTGACTGTAAGTTACTCCGCAAATTCTCCGGCGCCGTTTTCGAATGATTGGTCGAGGAGGTGATCTGGGGTAAACTATGGTACTGTTAACCCGCTTATACGGCTCTTCGATATCACGAGCAAAAGCCTCAAACTTCGACACAATGTCCTTGACGGGGCCAGTTTCAACTATATTTGTGCAAGGGTGGCGTTACGCAACCTCGCTACCAGAAGCTTTCTCGCCTGGAATAACGTCTTCGAATTATCCTAGTAATTGTTTTAGATGTGTGTGTAGTCGTTGGTTGAATACATGTATCAATATAGCCATAATTGGTCACATATAGGCTCTGGAAGTTGTGTTTCGCCTCAACGCGGCTATGAGCGACTCTGTGGATTGAAACCGAAGATCCTTACTAGAGACCTGTAAGTACTAGACCAGGAAAGAGTAGGTAATTTTGATCGTGACAAGTTATTAATTACGGTGGTGATTTTGTTAACAATGATGTAGTTTGGACGTTGTTCTAAGCTATCTGTACTTTTTTGCATTAGAGGTAGTTTGGCCTCTAAACTGTAGCTATAAAGAGAGAGCTTTCGCTCGCTCTTCTTGTTTCTACTCATCAGTTCATACAATATATTCTCTACGTTCTCGGTTCTTTACTTTGCCCCACAAAGATCACCCCCGAAAACAGCTGCTATGTTATGTACCTCGCTCGGTTTTTGGGTTGCTTCTTATAGAGGATGGAGTTGCCGTACGCGTGAGGTTTAGGTGTGGGGTTAGGTTTAGGGCTGCAGGAACACTGGGCGATAACACATCTAAGAAGAGCTGATTTGAACGGCAGGGTGAGGTAGTGTTACAGACAACTCTACTCTATTGGCGAACCTTAATATTCTACACGCTAACCTCAATAGTACGGGATGGGCATAAGACCAGTACACTGAAGCCGTGCCTGAAAACTGGTTCATAACATATCACTCGACACCAGTGACTACTCTACAGCGCCACATGTTTTCGTCACAAACCTTCCCCTCTGCAGCCACAAAAACAACCTACTCCACAAACAAGCCCAGAAGCTCGGAAGGAATAATGCTATTTCAGGCGTATGAACACCAGGATCTAAGCGCTAAGCTAATAGCCTACAAATGACGTAATACAACACTTCCCCCCGACAAAAAAGACAAAAAAAAAAGTAAACTTTGATCTACCCTACGTAGTAATATCCCTATTTAGTTGCACACCGCAAATGTTTCTCTATCGTACAGCTTCCAAAGACAAACGTCCGTAGTAGGAGTCTCACTCACTGCTCTACTTTGCATACTGTTTGACCCAGGATTTTGCGTTCTTCTCGAACTGCGCCTTGTCCGACTTGAACTGCTCCGCAATCGTGGTTTCGACGGCATCATCACTACAGCCTCGTCAGCACTCCGTAGATATTCTGGGATGAGATGAGGGCAGTAGAAGAGGGACTTACGGATTCGGCTCCACCAGCAGCCCTCTTGCCATCTCCAGCACCGACATGATCTTGCAGCTCGGCTTCCACTGGTCTGATCTTAGGATCCCCAGGCACATGCTGCCCTTATCGTCGTTGCTGACATTCGGATGGTATATTTTCGTCTGGAAGGCCAGAACGGGCGGTTTGAAGGGGTAGTTGGTTGGGAGAGTGAGTAGTAGCTTGAAGGTCCCGCCCTGTTCAGTTACACACGCCTGTTAGCTCATGATTTCCCCCCCCCCCCCGTCGGCAAAGCAGTAGCGGCGGTGAGAGGGAGGTACGGACAGCGTAGACAGAGTCCTTAGGGCCGGTGAGCTCGATGTTCCACTTGAACATGTCCTCGTCAATGGAGTGGACCGCAATGCCCGGGATTGGGCTTGCTTCGATCTCAGCGTATTCCTATAGGGGGCACCGTTAGACTCGCGGGAGAGATTAGTTGGAGCGGAGAGGGGGATAAGTACGCGGTGGATTCGCTTCTGGGCGGCCATTTGCTTCTGTTGGGATGTGCAAATAAGTTATGAGGATCTGGTTGTTGAGTGGGTTTTGTCTGAGTGTTCTGTTGGAGGGAGCTGGTGAGAGTTCAAAGGATAGGTAGCGGGGCTGAAATGCTTGGCGGTCAAGGTAGCTAATGCGGCTTATGTATGGGTGGGGTGGGCGGGAGCGGGTATGCATGGACATGACTCAACCTCTCTTGGGGCTTTGGCTTTGTGATTCAGAGTTTGGTAGATGACGCTTGTGGAATCCTGTTTACTGCCATTTGTGCCATTTGACAGGGGCATTACCGCTGAGGCGTGGATTGTGGAGCGGTTGTTCATTATTGGGATTAGAGAGGTGCACACGACATGGTCTGTAATCGCGATAACGATAACAGGCGCCTAGAATAGATAATCGGGAACACAACACGCAAATAGTAGGGCCTTTGACTGAATACATATTAGTGATGATATGAGGATATATATAAAACCCCTTTTTATAGAGAAACCAAGAATTTCTAAATACCAAAGGAAATATCGCATATATGGTAGAGCAAAAACCATATTTCAAACAGGAGAAGACAACGTTTAGATGGGAATAACGAATAGTCACGAGACGGTCAAGAAATCAGTAGCCGTCTGACAATGAAAGGTCTTCTGCATACAACACAAGAGCACATGTACCACAAAGGTTGAACACAACGGTGAATGTACGCTTAATTTAAAGACTGCATGATCTCTCGAGCACAACAGAAGAAGCTGCCTGACTGACACAATCGGTTCTAGAATGCACCCATACCATCCCATGATCCAACACCAGCAGAAACACATCAGGTACCCGGTAGCTCATGGGGGACATCTGTACCTACATATATGTATGTACCGACACCCACAAACAAGCAGCGCTTACCAGGTGTTTCCAGATGTTCCAGCCGCCAACCTGGTGAACGACTCGCGCGCGCATCACAACCCATCACTCACACTGCCGTACAACCGGGCCCAACCATCACCACAAATCACACAAATCACCAATAAATTTAAATCGCACTATCACAAAATCTTCAACAAAACCACCAACCCCTTCCCCTCCCCGATCCCGACCGAATTTCCGGATTGCTCTCCCGCACCACCATTGAGACATCTAGCTCTCCGGCCCGTCCCGTGGGGATTGGCAACTAGGTAGCTATTATAACATGTAGCCTACTTGGCCAACTAGGGCTGAAAGAGATGAGGAAATTCGAAAGGAAAGACACCAACTGGCACTTTCCCATATTCCCAACCCCCCCACGCAGTGGGTGGTTTTGGTTCATGTTGGGTGCGGGTGCGGGTGCCTGCATATGTAGGTAGCTCCTGGGCGTTAATGAGAAAAACAGCACCAATAAGAGGAAAATAGCCTATCTGGTTCGAATAGATTGGCTGTTTCTCGAGGGTTAGCCCCTTACCCTACCTACCTATCCATCGGTATTCTTAGGTACGTACGAATGATTCGGGTCTGTGGGTACTAGTGCGTACCGGGGCAGGCTGGCATCCGAGGGTCAACTACCATGGCCAGTAGTCTTTTGGGGATAAGTCATGTCCTGTTGATGGTAGGTGCGAGCTATGCTGCTGCATGAGCTTGGGCCCAGCTGGCTTAGGGGATGGATGGATGGGTGAGGGTCGGAGCTTAGGTTACTCTTTGCAGCCAACCTATAGGTCACGAGATGTGGGGAATCCCAACTACCGGGTGCCAGATCGATTTTGCTGAAATGAGCCTGGCATGCAGAGGTTGGTTATTTGGAAGATTAGAAAGAAAGGGGGGGGGGGGGGGATATTAAACCCGCCAAGAGAAGGAAAAGAAATGACAGAGCTCTATTATACTGTCAAGTAGAAACAGTCTTTCATGACGTTGCACCTCGAATCTACCAAGGGCCTAGGGACGGATGTGCAAATTCTTAATTACAACTTTGGGTATCCTTACTGGCCTTCTAATCATGTTTTCGTCAAGGGGAAGCCTATCGCGTATCTGCAATGGCAACGGTCAAATATCTCACTAGGCTGTCTTCCATTGGATAGATTCCAGCAATGGTGCGGCATGTTGGATAATAATAAAATGACTCGCAATGCACGGAAGCATCAAATCCGATCCCGACCTCGGTTTATAGTCCGGCTTCTCTCACAGCGGTGTATATTACTAGCCGGGTACGCCTTTGATCCACTTATAGGTGAATTCATAGAAGTTATATGCGATAAAATCACTTGGCGTACAGCACAGGTCAGAGAGATATATCAATTCCGGCAGATATAAGAAATCGAGGCCGCTACGAGCTGATTTCCTTCTGCTCAACCTGGTCGGCGAACATGTTGTTGGAGACCTGCATGATACCTAGCAGAATCTATTCGGTCCTGAGGATATCTCGATAAAGGGCATGGCTTTTCAATGCCAAGAATAGTTGTTCTTGACTGCATGCTCAACACATCTACGGGCGTTTAACAGTTGTCTAGCCATCACGCGGTGTTTCAAACATGCATTCGGTTCCTTTGAGCTATCCATGTGTGGCTGAAAACAAAAGATGAATCCATCCCAGAAATGGTTTAGGATACGGAGACATATCACAGAGTCAGTGGCACCAATACCCATGGTATTTACCTCTTCCTGTCGTTTACCATGGAATATACTTTCAAGGCGGTTGAAAATGTGTTCTGGGATGATCTTTTGAAGCAATGAAGAACCGAGAAAAATGAGGTCGATTGTATGGGCTGGTAGTTATAAACAAGAAGAGGGAGAGAGGCTCCCTCTTTATAGGTATATTTTAGAGGACAGAATGGCTCTAAGATAAAGTACAGATACATGTAGTTTAGGACCACGTCAAAACCACATAATGAAACGTTTAATAATGCAACTGTTAACAACATCCACCACCGCAATGACTTGCCACGATCAACTAAAATCGCCAAAGCTGGACTCCTTCATCCAGGGTATATAGGATGGATAAACCCATTTCAGAGTAAACCCAGGTTAAGACCGACGAATGTGTCCTTTCTAATAATACCTCTACATACAGAAAACTATAAAAATTCTTTTTTTTTTAAAAAAAAAAACCGCTAACCCACCACGAGATGCCACAACCGTACCTCCGTCCCCCCCAAAAAAAATGGAGGCTCATGGGGGCGTGGCGTGTTCAAGGGTGACTAGCCCTGAAAGCAGCGCCACTATAAAGTCTTAAAGAGACAGTTGAAGGCCGCATATTTATAGCAAGAAGGCCACTTAACTTACCAAGAGGGGTTGATTGATTTTGGCCACTCTGCTATCCTGATAATGCTAAGCCATATGCACACATAATGTTATCGGCGCGTGATAACGTTGTACTGAAGTCTCAACCTCATCAATATTCTCGCTGATGAAGTTTTACCTAATATATTCTGACTACGTTTAATCATAGCTATAGGTGTCGTCAAAGAAGGCTACAACGTTGTCCCCTCGCCGCACTTGTATATACCCTGTTTGGCACTTTATCAAAAAATGTCTTTAAGGAGAAACACACTTTTCCCAGACCTGGTTATGCGCAGTAATTTAAAGAGTATATAGCTAACATGCACAACACACTTTTATAATTTACCTGATCGACTTTGACGCCGCGGTTCTTAAAATAGTTTGCCCCCATGCCCCGGAAGAGAAAAGAGATGGGAAGGAGCTTTGGTTTCCTGATAGTTTTGGTCAAATATAACTTTGCAAGAAAAGGCGTGTGGGACTTGTGCTGTGAGGAACGGGGTAAAGATTATTGGGCTGCTGCGGGTGCACGTGGGGGGCCGGGGACGCCAAGATCAGTGTCCGAGTGAGTTTTCGTGACGGCGGCATTCCATAAGCTGACGCTCGAGCGAGGTCGAGATAGATCTGTGAGTGCCAAACAGCCTAGCCAATTCTTTCCAAGACTATTATCTATTTAGCTACAGATGAGGAGCTAGATTCCTCGAGATCTCCATGTAGAAATAGGGCATTGCGACATCGGTTATGTATGGAATTACTCATGTATAAGGGATGACTCATAGAAGGAACAGGGATTCAGACAAGGCTTAGTGTCAGGGATTATGTAATCAGGGGATCACGTGGTATTAGAATATCTGTATATATAGAGCGCTCAAACACCTACATTATCGCTGGAACTTCAGCGGCGCAATAGTATCTTCTTCGCACTACAAACACATCCTCCTTCAAGGTCACGTGTTCAAACCACATTCAAGTCATTTTCTCCCACATTTCAAACTTCAGGTTATGAGCCCGAGTTTTGCCAAATAAAATCCGCACAACACTCGCCACATTCGGTTAACTCAATTACACTTCATACAACATCATGTCTGACGCTGGTGAATCATCCAAGGCCGTGGAGGTTAAGTCCTCAGACAACACGAGTCCCAGTAACATTCGCATCAAGTTTGATGGACTCCCAAAATTAAAGGGACAATCCAACTACCAAACTTGGGCGTCTGCCTGGAGGATTACATTCGATGCAGCAGACTGGTGGGAAGCATTGAGCATCGAAAACCCCTCAGAAGATGACACAGACCTCACCAAGGCCGAAATCAAAAAGGCCCGAAAACAAATGCACAGCCTTCTCATCGGAGCTGTAGCCGAAGACATACAACCAACAGTCGTCTCCGCCGAAAATGCATACCACGCATGGAAGGCGCTCAAAGACCTCTACGATCGCGTATCACCAAACACGACGATCACCCTCCTCAGCCGTGTTCTAGACACGAAGATGCAAGACAACGGTAACTTAACCGAGCATCTCGAGACCTTCAACACGAACTGGAACACTCTCAAAACCAGGTCTCAGAGCGGCGACCACAAACTCGCTCAGGCCCTGCTACCCCTCACCAAATCCAACGAAGCAATGGCAGCATTCCTACTTGCCTCACTGCCGAAGTCGATGAGCAACGTCGTCGATAACATCCAGACCAAACAGGATGTTACATACGAAGATGTACGCCAACGGCTACAAAACCTACAAGAGGAAACCCCTCTCACTGGCAACAACAGGGTACTTCATACCAGGAGTACCCCAACACCAAACGGCAAGGAATGCACCTGGTGCAAGAAACGGAATAACCCGTACCAGGGCCACGAGTACAAGGAGTGTAGAAAGCTCAAAGAACAGAACAAGACAAGGGATTCAAACAGAAGGAGACCAGGCAGAGATAACTCAGCGTCGGTAGTTATCAACGAATCATCCACAACAGTATGCATGGTACGCACCGATACTTCACCCTCTCTGCCCCTTACCTGGATCCTTGATTCTGGAGCTACTTCTCACGTAACACCTTTCAAAGACCAACTCTTCAACATCCGTTCTCACACCAGCACAGTCCGAACAGCCGACGGCACCATCCACGCTGTCACCGGATTGGGAAGCGCTAGTTTCGAATGCTACCTTCCCAATGGAGATAGATCCACCGTTGTCCTCACCGACGTGCTGCTGGTCCCAACCATGGGAAATGTGGGATTGGTCTCAGAAACAATACTCGACGAAAAGGGGTTTAGAACAGAGTCAGGAGGAGGAAACAAATTGGTCACGAAAGAAAAGAAAGGAATAATTTGGGCGAAATTGGATAAGGGACTTTGGAATGTACAAGTAGTTAGCAATACAGTTCGCTTGACCACTTACTCTGAATGGCATCAAGCACTAGGCCACCCTGCGACACTAGAAAACTTGTACGAAGACATCCATAAGCTACCCCCCAAACCAGAAACATTCCATTGCAGTCAATGCGCACTATCAAAAAGTGTGCACAAGAAACCTGCACCAATTAGTACAAGATCCCAGCGAGCATTCGAACTAATCCACTCTGACCTATCTGGAAAATTCGGCACACAATCGCAAGGAAAAGCCCTGTACTATATGTCCTTCATTGACGACTATACCCGCTTCGCCTGGATATATCTGCTAAAACAGAAAGACGATGCGATAAAAGCCATCAAAGACTACGTCACGAAAATCGAGAAACAGTAAAATACAACAATACTGAGATTTAGAACGGACGGTGGTGGTGAATACGTTAACAAAGACACAATGGATTACTTCAACCTACAAGGAATAGTCCACGAACAGACTCCCCCATACACTCCTGAATCAAATGGAGTTGCAGAACGATTCAACAGGACGATAACAACAATGGTCAGGTGCATGATCATGGACCATCCTAAATCGTTATGGGGTGAAGCATACTCAACAGCTGTCTACCTCAAAAATAGGCTACCCCACAGTACGCTAAAGGGAAAGACCCCCTTCGAAGCCCTGAAAGGTTCAAAGCCGAGTATCCAACACCTTCAACCATTCGGAAAGAAATGCTATGTCCACATCCCAGAAAACTCTAGGCCAGCAGGAAGCAAACTAGCACCCCGAGCACATGAAGGAATCATCGTCGGATACTCAGACAGTACCAAACATTACCGCACCTGGATAGGATCACAAAATAGGTTAGTTGTAAGTCGAGATGTCACATTCCCCCCTCCTGAATCAGGGGAAGTCTCCGTGGAACTCGACTACACCCCTATCCTGAAACCAGAAGCGGCACCTGCACCGACAGACGACGGATATGAATCAGAAGACAGGCCTGATCAAGAACCCGAATCGTCAGCACTCGAAGAAGACCTTGAAACAGACGCAAGTAGACTGGGGGCCGGGCTTACGAGGCCCACTCCTGGACGTCACCTCGAACAAAGTAATAAACAGGAAGCTAATCAGGAAAACACAGAAACACCTCCCCCGGAACCACCAAGGAAATCGAAACCTTGGAAACAAACAACCGAAAAGGAGAAAGAATCTGAAGTCCCGCATCCTGTCACAACAAGAAGATCGAATCGCATCCGTGAAAGAACGGAGAAACAAGCAGCACTTGATATCGAAGGGAAAAGGAAGGAAATCCGACTGAAAATATCGGAATTAGGAACCACCTATGACAAGGAGGTATCAGAGATACTAGCCGATGAAGATATGGACGAACAAACCAAGCAACTAGCAATGGAAGCAGTCAGTCTAGACCACAAAAAGGACAAAGCAAAGCTCCAAAGCCAGTACGACAACCTGGATTCCACCATACATCGGGTACACCTAGTAACTGAACCTACCACCTTCAATCAAGCAATGAAAAGCGATGATCAACACCTATGGAAGAAGGCAATACAGACAGAGAAAGACGCCCTCGACAAGGCCCACACCTGGGACATTGTCGACAGACCAACCAACCGAGCAGTAGTCAGAGGAAAATGGGTATTTAAGGTAAAACACAACGCGGACGGAACAATCGAAAGATACAAAGCTAGATACGTCGCCAAAGGCTTCACCCAAGTACAGTATCAAGACTATGAGGAAACCTTCGCTCCCGTTGCCCGATACGATTCCCTAAGACTCCTACTTGCACTAGCCGCACACAACGGTTGGATACCACAACAAATGGACGTCAAGTCAGCCTTCCTATATGGTATACTTAAGGAGGAAATCTACATGGAACTACCTGAAGGCTACAGGCAGGACCATAAGGTTTGTAAACTTCGAAAATGCATATATGGACTAAAACAATCACCCCGTGAATGGTACGCTTGCCTAGCAGACTCCCTTCAACGGAAAGGATTTGTCCCAGCCAAATTCGACCCATGTGTCTTCATACATAAGAAACACCAACTATACATATCGGTGTATGTTGACGACATCATGATATTCGGACCCGACTCCCCATTCAGAAACGAAATCAGACAACTACTTAAGGCAGATTTCGAATGTACGGATCTCGGTAATGCGAAATTCCTACTGGGAATAGAAATAACGGTAACAAAGAACGGTATCACGTTGTCACAACTAGCATACATCAACAAAATCCTAGACAAATTTGGAATGAATAACTGCAAACCAGTTGGGACACCACTCGAACCAAATCTGAGTCTTCGTAAAGGAGAACCAGAAGATCAAATCGAGAAACCAACTGAGTATCAATCCATAATTGGATCACTCATGTACGCCAGCATAGCAACCAGACCTGATATCACCCATACCGTTACTGACCTCTCTCAGTACTCCTCATGCCCAACTGAGGACCACCTACGAGCAGCCAAACGAACTCTCCGATACCTCAACGGAACCAAAGACTGGAACCTGTTCTACCCGAAAGGAAACACTAGAACACTCGATGGTTTCTCAGACAGTTCCTACGCTTCAGACTTAGATGACAGAAAATCGTTCTCAGGATACGTGTTCAGACTAGGAAAATCAGCCATAAGCTGGAGAAGCCGGAAGCAGAAATCAGTCGCAGTCTCAACAACAGAAGCCGAATATATGGCTCTGTCCCTAACAGCTCGACAACTGGTATGGATTCGCAACGCCTTATGCGAACTCCAACAACAATACCAATACAACATCCACGCCGACAACACAGGGTCCATCGAACTCTGTCGGAACCCACGTATCCACGACCGGTCCAAACACATCGACGTTCACTATCACTACACACGTGAACAACTCGAAGCCGAAACCTTCAAACTCCTCTATGTCCCAACCGAAGACAATGTTGCAGACATAATGACCAAAGGACTACCGAAACCAGCTCACCAAAAATTGTCAGAATTGATACGATGTGGCAAGTGAGGGGAAGTGTAGAAATAGGGCATTGCGACATCGGTTATGTATGGAATTACTCATGTATAAGGGATGACTCATAGAAGGAACAGGGATTCAGACAAGGCTTAGTGTCAGGGATTATGTAATCAGGGGATCACGTGGTATTAGAATATCTGTATATATAGAGCGCTCAAACACCCACATTATCGCTGGAACTTCAGCGGCGCAATAGTATCTTCTTCGCACTACAAACACATCCTCCCTCAAGGTCACGTGTTCAAACCACATTCAAGTCATTTTCTCCCACATTTCAAACTTCACTCCATACCCATTCCGACCGCATCCCAGCCGTCAACGTTGACAACTGGGACAGTAGATTGACAACTGAGAAAATCCTCAAACTAATTGAGCGAATTTAGATCTAACAAGGACTTAACAGTTTAAAACCACTCTTGATCCAATGAATATTACTCCAACCGTGAAACGATCACTAAGATTATTAGAGCCCACAATCCATCTCCTGCCAACTGTCCAATCGAGTGCGAATAATAAATAAGTGAATAGTATATATAGTATTTTAAAGTCGACCATTCCAGCCTAGCCAGCCTGTTGGCGGGCGGTCGTGGGGAAGAGGTGTTAATGACCAGGTCTAATATGGTCCTACGAGGTCTTGCTTGTTGGCCGGTCAGGCCGGTCAGGTTTGGTCTGGTCGGTTCATAAATTAAGAACGGAACAGAACGAACAAAGAATAATGAAATTGAAATAACAATAGCTTTCGATTCGAAATACAAATTCCCACTACTAACCTGCCAAATTCTCTACTATTACGCCCAAAGCAGTAAAAACGAGAATTGTGCTCGGGCCAGGTTACGCCGTTGAGCAGCTTCCCTTCTGCGCCTTCCCCCGCGGGCCGCTCATGCCCACCCTACTCACCGCCAACCCTAACCCTAACCCACTACCTTTCATCCGATCTATTTCTCCCACACCCCACTCACCCCTTGCATCCCCACCATCCTATACTTTCCGTAAATAGACAAAAAGGAGTTAATGCCCGAAAGGCGAGTCGAACGCCTGATCTTCGCATTACGAGTGCGACGCCTTACCAACTTGGCCATCCGGGCTTGCGGATGACGGGTGCTACCGCTTTGCTTACTTAAACAGAGCGCCGGGTTGTCGAAGGTTGCACGCGAAGTGTGGGGGGTTAAGGACGGACGAGTGAGGGGATATGATGAGTGGGATGATGTGGGGGGTTGCATTTTGAGCTCTGGTGGTGTGGTGGTGTTGTGGAGGGGGTGGGGTCGTGGATGTGGGTTCGAGGATCGTGATGCAAGTTAGTGGTGGTGAACAACCCACTTCAAACTGGCAGGCCGAGGTGAAGGAAGGAACCCAATAAATGACAGAAGCATGAGCAGAAGGATTTGTACTATGGGCATTGACCTGATCTGAGCCTTCTTTTATTGCGTTGGGACGAGTCGAGCCCAACCGACACTGAAACCGCTTGACGCCCATTCACACAGAATCACTCGGCGCCGGCAGCTAACCCCCACTCCCGTGGTCAATGATAGCGCGCACGAAAAAGCGACTCACCGCCTAGACCGTAGGTCCTCTCAGTACAGAAGCCGCGATAACTGGGCCAAGAACCGGGACTCACTCTTGTCTGCTTACATAACACCCATACCTCACCACCTGACATCCCTCCCCCACCAAACCCCCACCACAACAGTTCCCGAGAGAGTGAGAAAGCCCACTCCTATGAACAGCCTCTTCGCCGCCAAAGCTGGGAAGCCGCCACCAGAGAACGCAGCCCCGGCAGCAGCGCCCAATGGCGCTCCACAGACCCCGGGGGTGACGCCGGCGCAAACACATTCATGGACCAGCTTACCGCCAACCCACTCTTCACGGGCGTACGTATATCTTCCCATATGGAAAATGGCTGCACTAACAGCGCCCTCAACACTAGGGAATCGGCCTAATTCTGCTCACCGGCGCCGCCCAACTCGCCCGAAAATCCGTCACCACCGCCGCCACTCACCTGCGCCGGCAAATGCTCGTCACGCTCGAGATCCCTTCCACAGACCGCTCCTACGACTGGTTCCTGCACTGGATGAGCACACACCAACAAACCCAGCAGCAGCAGTCTCTCCTCAATCTTCCCACCCCCGCCCCGCGAACACTCTCATCACTAATCTCTCGCCTGCAGCCGCAGCCGCGAAAGCTGGCCGTGGAGACTAAAGTAACGCAACACTCGTCGGGAAGTTTCACTACGGACTTCAGCCTCCTCCCGGGGACGGGGCGGCACCTAATAAACTACCGCGGGACGTTCCTACGAGTTGAGCGTGAGCGCGACGCAAAGCGTGTGGACCTACAGCGCGGGACGCCGTGGGAGGTGTTGACCATCACGACGCTGTTTAGTGCGCGGCATGTGTTTCCCTTGCTGCTGAAGGAGGCGCAGGAGCTCGCAGTGCGGCTGGAGGAGGGGAAGACGATAATTTATACAGCATGGTCGACAGAGTGGAAGCCATTTGGCAAGCCGCGGAGGAAGCGGGGGTTGGCTTCGGTGGTGCTGGCGAGGGGAGTGAAGGAGCGGATTGTGGGGGACGTGAAGAGTTTTCTAAGGAGTGCTCAGTGGTACTATGATCGTGGGATACCATATCGGCGTGGGTACCTGCTGTATGGGCCTCCTGGGACTGGAAAGAGTAGTTTTATCCAGGCACTGGCTGGGGAACTGGATTATAGTATCTGTCTGCTGAACCTGTCGGAGCGCGGGCTGACGGACGATCGGTTGAACCACCTTTTGACGAAGCTGCCGGAGCGGTCAATTGCCCTGTTGGAGGATGTAGATGCGGCATTTGGGAACCGAAGGACGCAGAGTGACGAAGATGGGTATCAGGGGGCGAATGTGACGTTCTCAGGGCTGCTCAATGCGTTAGATGGGGTGGCAAGCAGTGAGGAGCGGATTGTTATTATGACGACAAACCATCCCGAGAGGCTAGATGAGGCGCTGGTAAGGCCGGGGAGGGTCGATGTGAGAGCGGAGATTGGATATGCGACTGTGGAGGTCGTGGAGGAGATGTGGGAGAGGTTCTATGGGAGGGATAGTATTGGGGTGGAGGTACCAGCGGCGAAGACAGTGGCGATTGGAGAGGCAGAGGCAGAGGCGGAGGTGCAGATGGAGAAGGGGGAGCTGGATATCGAGGAGGAGATCGAGAGGAGGAAGGCATGTAAGAAGGAGTTTGTCAAGAGGCTGACAGAGCTCGGTGCGTTCAAAGGCGAGGGGTGGGGCATCATTACTGCCGCGCTGCAGGGGCTTTTTGTCTACTTCAAGGGAGACCCAGAGAGAGCTGTCCTGGAGGCCGAGGCGCTGATACCTCAGGGAGTAAAGGGCGAGAAGAATTAATGGGCGTGTAAGCTGTATATAGATAGGGATCGTAAATACTGAACTTACTCGCTATTGCTTTTCTATCCTGTGATGAAATTCGAGCCTAGCTGGGTGTTAGCTATCGAAGTCCTTGAATATTGATGGGAGTGAGTCGTTGGTTATCCCACAGTGTCATTGCAATACTTTCCATCATAATCAATCACTCGCACCTTCTTGGCATTTCTTGTACTTCGCACCCGCTCCCACGCCGGCCTCACCCCAAAGCCCTATATAGATCAGATGGTACAGGCATCCACACGACCATGTATCTAATCTGCAAGACTATTTTGACCTCCCCGCCATCAATCGGCATAAGGTCTCATGCCTCCTCTTGTACTGTATAGAATTTAGACGTGAAAGTCACACTCGATTAGACGCAAATGACTTGGTTGATGATAGAGGAAGAGTCACCAAACTGCGAAGATATACCCACTGATCTGCTATATCTGTCCTACTTGGACAACGCCGGGTGTTCTCTCCATCTGTGGGTACCGTGTTGCTAATTATTGGCTAACCCTGTCGGTAGTCTCATAGTCTGTTCTTACATTGGGCTAAGAGGTCCTCTATGTGTTCGGGTTTCTGTCTTGGCCTCCTCCCACTCTCGGCTTGTCTCTGACCTGCCTTCGTCCCTCAACTCGCTCTTGACCCGCTCTTGACCCGTCTTTGACCCTGGTTTGCTTCTTAACCGCTCTCAACCCACCCCCGTCCCTCAGAATACACGTACCTGCATCACTCATTCTAGCTTCGTTCCTCGTATCGCCCCAACCCACCTTCATCCAATTTTCTGTCTTTGCCCCGCCTTCTTCCTGCCTTCATCTCTCATCTCATCTCTCTCTTTATTCACCCCCATGTTTTTTTTATCATTTGTCGTCTTCGGGGCCTCTGCCCTCGATACTACGTCGAATTTATGACTTCCCTTCTTACAATCTATCTCTCTTCCCATTTCTTCTCCCTGCTCGATAAGTGTAAAAATACGTCCCCTTTTACCCCCCCCTCCTCTGTTGGCGATTTTTTGGGACTTATTTTGGTGTCTTTAGAGGCTCCCTTCTGTTTTGACTCCCTTCTATATCCTTAATACCCCCCGTCATCTCTCATGCGCTCTCGTACCGCTCTCACTAGTCTCTATCTCCGGTGAGTCTTTGACACCAGAACTTCCACCTTCAGCTTTGCGAGTCCTTCTTTCCCATACTCATTTACACTTCGTTCATATCTACACCTTCAATACCTATACCCTAGCTTATTCCCATCCATTTCTCATCATCTTTTATTCCCAAAAGCATCCCCACGCCTTCCTTCAGAGCAGTTTCTAGATCTACAATCATCTTCCCCATCATCCACCTCCCATACGAGCTCCGACAATCCACAACCCACAACCCACAACCCACAACCACCACCCGACCCCAGCCCATTACTCCGTTTACACCACGGCCACATGCATCCCCAGCCTACAAACGACCATTTTTACTACAGACATATGGAGCGATCTAGGGAGATAATCCCAGCTACATTAGATTACCTCCATCTGTGGCCTAGCGACGGCGGCGAGGGCATCAATGTCAACTGGGAAGGTGTAAATGGCTGCTTGCGATTGTGAGCCGGGCTAACATACACGCAGAGAATAAGCTCTTATATCACTTTTGGTACTGAAAGCCAAGTTTGAACATTAGTGTTAGGCAGGTCAAGGCGAGCACTATCGGCAACAAGAGCTCCTTTTCTTTCCAAAACAGCTATCTCTACCTTCATTCAGAAAGCAAGCTTAGGAAACATGTTACTTCCCTTCTATAGAATTCATAACCATATACCGTAGATAAAGGTACTTATCTGTATATCATTTAGCACGCTTTTTCATTGGACGTTGATGATTGCCAATCACTGTTACCCCGTTAGGGTGCCCAAGGCTCATGACCAACCGCTGCACAGACTATCACTCGGCCCGTACATTCAGTCCAATCCCTCCAACAAACCGATCGACAATTCACCCGTGTATGAAGCCCCAATAATACACAAACTACGAGAATCTAAACTCAATTCCCAAGCCGGCAGCAAAAACTGCAGCGAATTAGCACACGATGGTGGTGTGTACTAACTCGCCCGCCCTGGGATTCGAACCCAGACCGCCTCCTGCCACAGCAACTTAGAGTTAGGATACCCCAGTTCCGCCATATAATTGCATGTCGTTAGCTGTGCAATTTGCTGTTTTAGCACCATAAGGACATGTGGAAGATGAGGCATGTCATGTGACATGGGAGTATGCGCACGGATGACTGTGTTCGAGCTTTGATTTCCCACCCCATCCAGGTGTAAGAGCGGCTGCGGTCAACCACTACCACCGAAACACCGTATAGGCCCCTGAGGGCGGGGCCAGATACGGCTTCAGGGGAGTATAAGTATCCCTGTTAATCACAAATGAATGAATGAATACGTGGTGTTGCTAGAGCTCCACTCGAACCACGGCCATCTGCTGGTACGTCCATTTCCACGCCCCTGAACTACCATCAAGATGTAAATAGCTGAGAACACATACTAGACTCACCCCGCAGACAAAGTGATGTACCGGAGGCAGTTAATATTGAAAAAAAAGGAAGGAAGGAAGAAAAAACTCGAGCGAATCAGCCTACGCCCTATTCCTACGGAGGTCTTGTGGAAACAGAGATGACCAAGTTAGATTACCAAGTTGAGCATCTTTATTGGTAGACAGAGCAGACAGCAAGAGATGCGTTGGTGAATCATTTCATGGCCGAAGCACTGCCCTGCACAGAGAACATCTCTATATACATACATTTAATCTGCAATAACAACACCCGCAGGCCTCTCGGGACATAATCAAGCTTAGTACCATTCTCTGACTCTTTCCACGAACACCTCTCTCAATACACTTGGAAATAAAAAGGAGTATACGGTTTTTATATTATAAGAGGGAGGAGGGACGGATAATTTATAGTTTGAGATACTACAATTAACTAACAGGGGAGGAAGCCTATACCTCCAACACAAACATAAAAAAAAAATGTAACTTCACCAATTCGATTCCGGCGGGAAGGGAGCTTCGAAACATTATCAGGGTTAGGGTTACGTATTATAAAATAAAAGTTTAAAATAAAACAAACCCCAGAGACAAACACCCGTGAAAAGGCAATTGCTCTCATTATTTAGAAGTTTCTATTGTTAAGTATATACTGTGACCGGAGGTGTGGTCTACCTAGACTCCCAGATATATGATCGAACTCGCCGAGGAGGTTTCGAGATATACATGTATGTCTACGCCGGGCGAGTGCGGACTAGAAACTATATATCAGGCGGTATCCGGCCGGGTTAGTCGCCCCAGACAGCTCTATATACATGCAGTCGGGCTAATCGGGATGCGTGCGGCGGAGCGTGCGGGCCCGGACCCGGGGTCAATGATCGTTCATCCAGTTCTTGAACCTGCAGCTGCAGCTGGTGTAACACAGACCCCACCACCGAACAGAGATAGAAGAAATGATATTTGTTACCCCCGCACACCGTTTTCCAATATTTACTCTACTACCAAAAGTAAGAACCCCAAGAAGAAAAAAGAAGTCCTCATCCCGGGTTCAAAAGGAGATAACCCATTCATTCTACTCTGTTCTACCTCTAACCGTACCCGGCCCAAGGATCTAGAAATAAAAAGAGAATCTAGGAATCCAGAATCTAGTTCTGCCAAAAACCAAAAACCAAGAAACCGGTCACGACCAATAATCTTATAGTAGGAAGTATAAAATGAATACAAATAAATAAAGAAACGTCTTCCTGTCAAGGCAGTACAATTCCCGTCGAGTTTTACTCTGTAAACTAATTACGGAAAATAAAGAAATAAAGAAACAAAAAAAGGAGCCCAAGAAAATTGAAGGAAAGAGAGAAAGGAAGGGGAAAAAAGACCATCCGCTATAATAATAATAATAAAAAAACTTTTCCTACTCCACTCCAAATACAAACATTTCCATCGACAAAAAAAAAGAGACAAAAAAGAAAGAAAAAGAGCGACCCAATCCAACCCCACCACACCTACTCCCTCCCATACGCATCCAAAACACTCCTACTCGCCACAAAGCTAAAGCCTCCAAACGGGTCCTCCCCCACGCCCTCCCCCCTCTCCTGCCCCTTGCCCCTCCCCTCACACCTAACCCCCATCAATCCCGCGCCCACGCCCTCCCCCACCACCGGCGGCGACAAACTCAATCCCGTAAATTCCGCACTAAAATTCTCCGCGAGCTCCGGCTCTGTAATGAACGGAACAATCGGCGGCTCGACCTCCCGCCGCTCCAGCGCGTCCCAATCAATCTTGCGAAAGAAGCGGTGGGCCTTAATCGTCGCCAGGTCCTTCGGCATATTATACCCCAACCTCTTCGTCGGATCCTTCCGGAGGAGCCGGGTGATGAGGTCCTTCGCCTCGGCGCTAAGGAAGTATGGCAGCGAGAGCTTCTGCTTCTGAATGCGCTCCGCGACCTTCTTATGGCTATTACCGCGGAAGGGGGGGAACCCCGTCATAAGGTCGCATGCGAGGGCGCCGACGCCCCACCAGTCGACTTCGCAGCCATACTCCTTCTCGCCGTTGCCCTGGAGGACCTCCGGCGCCATGTATTCGGGGGTGCCCAGGAAGCTGCGGCACGCGCTGTCGTCGGTCTTGACTTTGCTGAGCCCAAAGTCGGTTAGGAGGAGGTTTCCGGTGTGGTCGAGGAGACAGTTCTCCGGCTTTAGGTCGCGGTAGACGACACCGACGTTGAGGTGCAGGTGCGATAGTGCCAGGACTAGCTGCGCGAGGTAGAACACGGCGGTGGCCTCTGGCAGCATGGTCTGCTGGGACAGATGAAGGAAGAGCTCTCCACCCTGGGCGTACTCAAGGATGAGGTAGAGCTTCTCGTGGTCTTGGAAGGCATAGTAGAGCTTGACCACAAACGGATGGTTGACGGACTCGAGGATCGCGCGCTCGGTCTGGGTCTGCTCGACCATCTTCTTGTGGACAATGAGAGACGCCTTCTTGAGCTGTTTCTGGGCATACAGCTTACCGGTTTCGCGGTGACGCACGAGAACCACAGTGCCATAGGTGCCCTTTCCGAGACAGCGCAGCTGCTGAAAGTCATCGGCATGCATCTTCCGCGGAACTGCGGCAGCAGAGGGCGCAACATAATCCTCATCAAGAGCGACCTCGTAGGTCTCGCCCGGGGAGGGAATATCACCAGCTTCGGAGCAGACGGAGGTGTCACTGCTGTAGACGACGGATACGAGGTTTCCCGGGTCCGCCTGAGAGAGAAGCGACGAAAGGCCGCTAGGGCGCGGGGGTGATGAGGATCTAGACGAGCATGTCGAAGATGTGGCCGTGACCGGGCGCTTCATGAATGTCCAGTCCGGCTCCGCGAGTCCCCCCAGCTTGCTCCATGCATCCTCTGCGCTCTTCATGCTACCCTTCTTTGGCGTCTCAAAATCGGCATCAAACTTGCTCAGATCGCGAATCTGGTTCTTCTTCGCAGCGTTCTTGCCCTTCTTGTTTTTCTTCTTCTTACCGCCGGCGCCGGCGGTAGGCTTCTGGGTGCGCTCGTCATCACTCGGTGCACGACTAGTTGCGCGCGAGGATACTTCCGAGTGCGCAAACAACTGACTGAGACCTCCGGGGGCCGGAGAAGTCTTCGCTACGCTGGCAAGTGTATGGACACTCCCGGCGCCGTCGACATTCGCGGCCGCGGTGATCGAAGCCCGGCGGCGCCCACCTCCGAAACCGTAGATCAGCTTGATATCGGTGTTGGCAGGCGCGGGGGCAGGTGGAGCGATCAGACCCGGTCGCCCGCGGGGGGTGTTGTCGTTGGGGGAGAGGGATGTGGTCATAGTGCCGGTTGTATCCGTGACTGCTACTGTGAGTGCTTTTTTTATTTATTTTTTTCACACCCTCTTGTCTCTGCACGTGGGTGACAGGGGCAGCAGGAAGGGGTAAATTCGCGGGGAAATTTAAATTTTTTTTTTATGAGGCAGCAAGCGACAGTTTGTGTGGGTGGGCGTGGATGCGGCAGGTCTTTGAGCGGTTGGTAGAGACAGCTGTGAAATCTAGAGATCGGAAATCTCACTGCGATGCCAGATCAACGCAGGTTTTCCCTCCGAGATCCTTTTTGTGGAAAATTTATTTTTTCCCTCTTCTTTTTCAGGGGCGTAGTGCGACGGATAGCAGCAGGAGCAAGAAAGGTGAAATGTTTGAAACGATAGCGTCGGAAAGATGTAGTGTGGGCGAAACTTCCATGAGAAACGTTTTGTTAGTTTGGGGGAGGTTGATTTTTTGGCGGGTGTTTTGTCGGTAAGCGGTGATTGACTTTATGGTGAGGAGGGAAAAAAAGAAGAGAAGAAGACGGGGGAGAAGGGGAGATTTTGTATGGAGAGAGATTTGGGGGGGGGGGGAGGATGGATGGATCTGCTTGCCTGTTAGCTGTCTGAGAAAGCACACCTATGTCAGTATGTAATGTTAATAATGTCTGATTCCCGGCGTCTCTCTCTGTCTCTGTTTGTGCTGTGGGGAAGGGGAGGAAGGCTATTCGCGGAGGAAAGCTACTAGGAAGGAAGAGCGCGTTCTGCTCTAAAAAAAAAAAAAGATATGCACTGCAGATTGAGTAACAGCGCTGGGTTCGAGTTACTCAGACAAAGCGTGGGGAGCGATGGATCATACACATGTCACCCTTTGAGTGAAGTACTCTATTTCTATATGAAGTACCCGGTGCCATCATGCAACCCTGGACAGCACCTCCTCAGGCTACATAGAAATTTAGAAATTGCAGTGCGGTGCGTGTAAGTACCTACATACCACTCTATCTGCTCTTCTTTGCAGCATGCACACTCTCGATCGATTACTCAACGCCTCCCCCCCCCCCCCCCCCTTACCCCGTATATAGAACAGATGAGCCCCGTTTGACGTCAGCTGGGGAGAAAGAGTGACTGACTGTCGCTCCTTCTTTTCCTTCGGTGTGTGTGCAGCCTCTCTTCACCACTTAACACACACACAGAAATATTCTCTCCACAATCACCAACTCTCGGCTATCCCACAAAAACAGATAGAGTTAACCGCAGCGCTTGTTGGTGCGAGAACTAGTGAGCGGGAGACGCTCCCGATCGGACCGCAAGGGGGAAAGAAGCTTGTCGGGTTGTGTTGTGTTGCATACATGTATCCCTGAACTCACAAAGAGTCACTCGCTTTCTGTGTCCATCACTTCTAATCACTCGGTCTGGTCCATGCCCGCATTGTTTGAATCATCAAGATTCCTAGAAATAGCCCGCATATAACGCCTCGTCTTCATGATGCAACTTCTGCATATGATGATATGTAAGTTTCAAAGTTAAGGACACCCCACAGGCCACTACATGGTCTACCAGCGATTCCCCCTCAACCCTTCCTCAGAGCAGGCGGATGATCTTTGCCATCTCCCCATGTAAAATACTTTTCAGAGCCATTCAAAGCGAGGTCTTGAATGTCGCCATCGGGCCATCATGGCCAGGAGCGCTGCTTGTGGGCCAAAAGAGCCAATGTATGCTACTAGTACTAGCTTTATGTCATCTGGAATGAGATCAGTCGCCGACAAGCATATTGAACTCCCCATTTCAGTTTCTTGAGGGAAAACCAATATATCCGCTTTTTGATTCCTAGGTGAGAATAGGATATAGCGTGATAAAACCGACTGGTAAGTGTTCTGCTCGAAGGCAGCTGAGGAACACCCCGGTATTATCAAGATAGATCACTTATTTCCAGTCCAAATGTTTGAATCGGAATATCCATCTATGTAGCCTCTAATCAGCCTGAACATTTTCCTCGCAGAGGCCATATATCCTGCCTTTGATTATCCAATTCTATTCCCTTAAACTGCTGCAGACCGTGGTCGTGGACGATGCACACACAACGTATAGATTAACCACGGATATGGAGTGGTATACTGTAGTGCCATGGCACTTTCATATACAAACACATGGGTCTTCCATGTTTTGCCTTGACACATATCCCGGTGCATCTAGTCAACAAATAACCTCCGTAGCATAGAGTAACTTACCATATTCTTGGTGTCTGGCCCGTAGCGTAATAACTGCAGATAGGTAGCTGATCAACTATGAGATATACGGGGGTAGTGCTCCTCTAAATGTGATGAATAATGGGCCGCCCAAAGACAAGGGAGTTGAGATTGAAACTATTTCCGAAGCTCGGTTAATTAGTTTAGCGGAGAGTTTGATATGGTTTACCTAGCTAGGAAGTGATGTGGGGCTAGCTTGTAGATGATAGGAATGCAACATTAGCTTCGATGAGGATGCAGTATTGCTTATGACGAAGTTCAGATAGAGATCATGATTCGAGATAGAGTCGTAGAGTATGACGTTGAATTGAATGTGGGGTAGTAGTAGTCTCGTGCCCAGCCTGTGTTTGCCTTGATTCAAAGCAGTCTGGGAACAAGACTACATGTAGGGTAGTAGCAGTTTTGGACAGAGCCGTTTTATGGACCCCTGGCCCCCAAAGTTTATAATACGGGAAAGAGGGGCCGGTTAGGCAGCCGTTATCAAGTTACATTTAGCTGCCCTTCCGCGCTCAATTGTAATAACGAGGCTAACGCGTCGAGTACGAAAACAAACTTTTGCAATATTAGTTAAATGCACCAGTGCGTCATTAGTGCTCTAATTTTGTGACTTTTCGTCTGGAGCACTACGTATACTCTACATGTACGTAGTAGTGGTGATCTTTATACACGTGTATGAGTGTGAATTATCAATGGTATTCACTCGTTTTATAGAATTGCTACATACAATATAACCCAATGTAAGAAAGTTTCCTTGATCAACAGTCCCAGACTAGAAAATAAACAAAGCCTTTAACCATCGACGATACACTGCTCTAGACTACTTCAATCTGATCATGTTCAACCCGTCAAAGGCAGGGAGAAGCACATGCTCCACCCTTGGGTCATCCTTGACAAATTTATTGAACCTATCAATATGCCTAAATTATCTTGATCAGCTTCCTTATCTCGGTGACATTTCAAGATATTAAGAAAGAAAAGTCTTACACATAGTTCCCCATTTGACCCTCATCTTTGCTAGCAGGATTGCGTTCTGAGTTATCCGCAACTAGACCACGTTTCAAAGCATTATCTGCAATGATGATACCCTTTGGCGACAAGAGGTTGAGATTGAGAACCTTTTCGAAGTATGTTACATAGCCGTCCTTATTCGCGTCGATGAATATCAGGTCAAATTTTTGACCGGCGAGAGAGTCAATGCTGGAAGCGGTAATGATAGATTAGCAGAGAACTGATAAACTAATTGAGTCGCTGTACAATTCAATGATCTGACCCAAAGAAGAAGATTATGTCACTTTCTAAAGGCCTTACCTTGTTTCAGCATTTCCTTCGATGACCTTAATAATGTTATCCACCTTTGTCTTGACAAATGTCTCCTTGGCAAAGTCGGTAGATTGACCCGGGATGTCGAGACAAACGATCTTTGTAATACCAATCAGCAAATGCAGCCTAATATTATTAGGTGTCACGAAAAAGTAATTAATCTTTGGCGTATATACTTACTTCTGCATCGGGCTTATCTTTCAGGGCCTCAACCCAAGCAAGCGCCGAATACCCGGTAAACATACCAATTTCGAGAACTTGTAGATTCATCAGTATCGTCTAAATGACAGACGAAGAAGATATAGTTGCATGTTGGTAGGGGTGGAGGATTATAAGCGTGTTTGTGAAATACAACATAGATTTCTAGTCAAACACATCTTGCACTTCATGGATTCACGAGGGATAGGTGGTCTAAAAAAAAATAAGATATTAAAACGACTTACCTCGTTTAACGCCTTGTGCTTTTGCAAAGAATATCAAGAATTGTGCCTATGACAACTCCTAAGTTAGTAACAAAAATCTACAACGTATAGTATTATGCTCGAATGTTTCAATCACGATGAGTTCGACGTGAGGAGACGATAGGAAAGGCCTCGCTCTAATTCATATCCAACTGGAAGTTTATACCTGCAGGGTGTTTATCATCATATCTGCATCATTATTCGTCTTCGTGGCCCATTCGATAGTGTTATTACGGTGTTCATCGATGTGCTTCGGTACAGCTGTTGAGTGGTTGATGCAATACTCATGTACAGCATTGCCGACCTCAGCATTGGGGTAGAGCTCAGTAGCGGTGTACATTTTGATAGCAGGTTTAAGGGTTTCGGGTCCCGACGACTTGAGCGGATATCGAATAGCTTCGGTTTTATGACTCAAAGTACTTTGGCAGCTGGGTAGAAAAGGTTGCTGAGGTTTGAGCGAAGGTTACCAACGAATTCCCCCAGGCGGGCTTTCCCCGTTGTGCCCGTACGCGCGGGGAAACCCAGTGGGGAACCCAGTTATCCGAGTCCATGAGCCTCGGTATCAAGGTTAAGTGAGTAGAACGTGGCAGCGTGGCTAAAGCTGTTTTGCTCGCGAATATGAACCGCCGCGTTCTACTCACTTACCCCTGATACCGAAGTACATGAAGGTTCTATATGTGCGTACTCCTGATACCGTATGTAATCCCTTGTTGCGTCATCGTCTAACCAAATTCATGCTAATGCGGCTATCTCGGCTGACAAACAAGCATTGCCAAGATCCAAGAACCAGGGTTCGGTTTGTGTCGCAAAAATACCAAGAATCTGATAAGATAACATATTCAATGCGAGCAAGATATATTAACTTATCTTATTGCTAGTACTTACTCTAGAACGTGCATACTGTGTACAAATCCCACTAAGATTATTTACAAGGTACTTGGTACCCGGACTCCTCCAGAACCGCCTTCGTTCTCCACTATAAACTAATGCACAAATCTAAAGTCCAATCTCTTCATACCCTCATCTTTTGTGGTTTCTATGTACTCCACCTGTTCACCTTTTGACATTGCTTCCCAAACTCTTGTACGTCTTGTATTTCGTTTGATATAATAACCTTTGACGATCCAAAATAGAACAATATTGAAGCAACATATGCCGAGAAGAGTCTTATTTCCTCTACGATCTGTTCGGTCTATTAGTGAGATCCTTTAGATTACTTCAAGAGGGGGCTTACATAGTGGTTTATCATCATCTCTGTAAATATTAGTAGCAACGATGTTTCCAGCTTGTACAAACCTAATTCGAAATTCATCAGCATATATTCGTTGTTTAGTTCTAGGAATGATAACAAACATATTATATAAAGCAGCGCTGACAGCTCTTGTTCGAACAGTGTTTGAGTTTCTCGAGTTCCTAAGAGGCTGACATCAGTACTGTGACAGTAACCCAGTAGTTTTAAGGTATTCTAGCAAGAAACACACCAGGCGACCAAAATAGCATGACAATATGGGTATGAAAGTAGTCCAGTTAGTAGGGCATATCGAAGCCATGGACTAGCATCCTCCGGTAGGACCACAAGTGCAATCAACCACGGCAAGATCCATATATTGCTGATTGATGATATTAAGCTTCGCTCATTCACCCATTCGCTTACTTTTGAAATTATCAGGAGCTATCAGTACACAGAAAATATTAGTAAGCACCTCTATAAAGAAGAATAAGGCTTGCGCTGCTTACGTTAACCATAAATAAGAATTGACTCGGAATTGTCAGGAGATTTGACTCAAACACAGAAAAACCGAGATTGCGCAAGTTTAAGGATAAGTACGTTGAGGGAGGTTGTGCAGGAATATAGACAAGGAGGCCAAGCTATTCGTCTGTCAGCTATACCATGAATCTGATGTTTAGGTTTTGATATACTCACAATATACATAGGCCATAAATCGTAATCTTTGAGCGACTTTAACAGTTTGACAGGGCCAACTGCTTGTCTATTATGCATGTCACCTGAGGCCGCTAATATTAGCATCCAAAGTATTAACAATAGTTGGGTTACAGACCTTTGGATGGGTCGTCGCGTAAAAGTCGATTAACTAAAATAAGCTCCTCTTTTTCCGAGAACCAGCCGTTTTTGCCTCTAGCCCAGTTTGCTGTCTGCGTGGGCCCTAATTTATTAAGAGAAGTTTGTATTAGCTGAATGAATATGATTTAACAGTACCAAAATGGCGACATACCTGGCGGCATCAATATCCAGCTGGCTAATCCAATGGCAAAGGTAATAGTTCCCTCGATCAAAAACCTGAACATTTGGTTATTTTTATCTCTTCATAAATTTAGAGTGAAGTTGCTTACAGCCATTGCCAACCGCCCCATCCACGGATCCCGCGCATCTTAAGAATACCCGCCGCTAGGAATGAGCCAATGATGTTACATGTGCTGATGGCTGTCCAAAACCATGCTAACCGAATTGGCCTAAAACTATCAGTAAACTTCCTTAAAAGAGCACTTATATAACTAACAGCTCTTTAGATTTCTATCTCAAGAAAATTATAATTAGTAAATGTGGTTTTATGGTATGTAGAAGGGTCAAGTATTACATAAAAATAAGTCATATATAAGACAGCATCTCTATATAAGATGTTAGTCATTTCTTTAAGATGTGTTACCAGGACGCAACCTACGGGATAAATCCTCCCATGAAAATGCCTAGAAGAGCTCGTACCACATAGTATCCGGTTTTCGAAGAAAGGCCAGCCTGAGAAGCACTAACTAACGACCAAGCGACAATGATAAAGGGGATCCATCTGTATAGATATATATTAGCGTTGATCTAATCGCTATGTCGTGGTTGGAGAAATACCTATCTGGTCCTATTTTCTTACTGACTGGCTGAAGTTAGACACGTCGATTATTAATAGCAGTGTAATATGACTTACTGAGACCACTAGGAAGTTCCGCAGATAGAAAGCATACTAGGAATATCTATTCCGTAAATGTTAGATAACCCGAGTGACCAAAGGGTGAGGAATTAGGCTCACAGTTTGTCCATAGTTGAAATCATTGGTGTTCATATCGAGATCATCGAGCTTTTATTATAGTTAGCTTTGGTGTTGATCTAAGAAACCTTCATTCTCAAGCCAGTGCAGTGATTATAACTACCATATTATCGCTGATAGCGCGATTGATGTTTCTGCGGTTCAGATCTAGGGCGCAAAACATGATCTAATGACTAATGTTAATGATTCATCAACAACGCAAAATCTTGGGTTTATTATTACCCAAGTCCATAGCATGATCCTCAAATCGATCTAGAACGTCAAATCCAGGTTAGCATGACATAAGGGAGTACATATGACACATAAGATAAGGTTACCTTTCGAAGTAGCCTCCTCTCCTCCTTGGCAGTCCACTTAAAAGAAGGATCAAAACGATGTCTTCCTTCATACGTTGCCTTCTCATAAACACCTCTCCAATAACTGGCAACTTGCTCATCTTCAAAGATATGACCTCCTTGTGAGCCATAGTCGCCCTCTACCAGCCCGCTCTCGTTGCTCGTGTCGTCAAAACTGGAGCTCGCTGATCTATCGATGGCTTGCTTTTCGATCACATCCGGCGTGTGAGATGATGGCGCCTTAGAGCTGGATTTGTCGGTACTCATTATTATTGCTTGCAAAACCCAAGACAATATTATAGCGACAGATTAATCAAATACTCTATAGAGCTGTTTCTCTTGTAATTGTGTCTCAGTATTGTTTTCGGGGCGGCAACAAGAGTATATATACTCATATCGAATCCTACTGCCGCTGCAATCAACAGTGTCAGTTCCTGGTTCCCGGTATTCAAGCCTAAGGGACATCCCTCCCATCACAGATATTCACAATGCTATCATTGAAATTTCGTCATTTTGACCTGCGTTAGTCTGTCCATAGTATCCAGCGGAGCTCCCCAGCTGCCTTATCGGCAACAAGAACGTACACAGATAGCAAACCGCACTCTTGTAGGTCCAGCTCCGAAGGTTCTCTGTCCATATTCTGCAAGATCTTCACGTTATTATTGGATGGTGCCATCAATTATCTATATGATGATGCGATTCCTTGAGGAAGGTACAAATCTGCGTACCGCTGCAAGGATGTAGTTGACGTGATTCGTAGTGAAATCGCGAAAGTCGCTGTTGATAGCTATCGATATAATCAACAAAACAATTATTAGAGCAAGCGGGGTGTATAGTTCTCGGTAAACTCTCCGGATCGTCTCCACAGTTTATCTCAAAGGCCGATTTGGAAGATATGTCGATCGATTGATAGTCAAAATCGAATCACGTGATCTGGTATACAAAACAAAAACCAGTGCGTGCTATAATGGCATTTAACGAAAACAACGGTCTCCGAAACAATTTCAGGCACTAAGCAAGGATTTACCATGCCATGTGGTTCGAAGGACAGGACCAACGGCTAATCCAGTTAGTGCCATCAACTACATGTACACACATAAACGTGGTTACATGTGCAGACATCAGCATCCTGGCAATATTTCTTTCGACTCCCACGGTTTTACATAATAAATTCAAGCTACATTATACCTACATGTATGTACATGTAGGTACATGTAGCCCTCCCGCACTAGCACCTAGCGTTCGCGGCCAGACGCCAAGACCTTGTTGCTTCACCCCCTATCACTCGTTGCCTCACCAGAACCTACACTTCAGTGCATAGCTCTTATCTATTTCTTTAAGTGTTTGAACTCGCACGATTTAAAAAAGTATCCAGCTTCTGAGCGGTATATGTCTAGGTGTTAGACAGCGGAAGACATGGCAGCTTAGCCGTACAGAGAATTTCCCCTCCTTCTCAATACTAACCTGACCTAATGTCGAGAGTTATAAGTAAAGGCAGACGACTGAAGGTAAGTCTACAGAGTATCCATCAATAGGTGCATTTTTTACAGGTATTTGTACGTATCGAAATATCTAGGGCACAGAAACTCACTCGATTTCGGTTTTTGGAGACTAGCCAAACTTGGCTAAAGGGGATAAGCAGAACATTCCTCCGGATTCCGATAAGGCTGAAACACCACAAAAGGCCCACTCTAAACTCCAACCCTCTTTTCACCTGTGGGATCGAAACCCCTCAAATGTTACACCAGTGAAAGGATGCATCACAATCAACCGGAAGGCGGGTCATTGTTGATGGAAAGATGAAAAGACAGTGCGTGGGGAGCAATAAATACAGCTCAATTCCGACCTGACTGCCACACGATTTCACTATCGTGTAGTTACCTATCTGCCTATCGACTGTTCCGTAGATAGAGAGAGACAGGCCAGATATGGGAAGTGCATGCCATGAACCAAACCGCAAAAAGCCGAAGCGACAACGCCTGCTAGCATCGTGAAGCGAATTCTCTTCCGTCGCGCGGGGCTCGACTTCTTCTAATACTTATTCTCCTTCCTCCTTTCCCCTTAATTTTATCACTCTTCCTCCTTTGCAGTCCCTAACATTTGCTGTTTATCGTTTTCTCAAGCTATTTGCTTTGATTCCAAGGCTCCCTTTTATTGACTTGCTCCTCGTATCAACCAAGATGACTACTGAATCCCCTTTCGTGATCCTTGATGTCCCCAACAAAGGCCAATCTGTATTCGCCGTACGATTCATTCCCGCCGGCACCTCACTCTTTCAAGAACCACCAATAATCACTGTCGAGGATGCGCAAGCAACCGCAAAGATAGTCTCGCTAAACCGTGCGTTCTCGCAATTATCAGCAGAGCAAAAAACTGCCTACTTGAGCCTATGCAATTCTCAGCCCGCTTCTGATACAGCTCTCACGGAAGTGGATATTGCGGTTCTTGGCATATGGAAAACGAACACCTTCGTCCTTGATGACCAGGGCATGATAAACGGGATTTTCCAGATGTCAAGCCGCCTGAACCATTCGTGCCTGGGAGGAGAAAATGCTCACTGGGAGTGGAGTGAGGAGGAAAAACTGATGAGGTTTTGGACTGATCGTGATATTGAGGTGGGCAAGAAATTTTTGGCTCGATAATTCATACTTTGGAATATTGTTATTGGAGTTGTGGCTGTAACGATGTGAGAGCATCTGAATGGAAACTAACAAGAGTCGTGAAAAAGGCTGGTGAAGAAATTACACATTGCTACAGACCAGACTGGAGGATGGGGACAAAAAACAGGAGGGAAGCTTTGATGGAAAACTACGGATTTTGGTGTACATGCAAAGTTTGCGAAAGTCCTGAGGAGGATTAATGACTTGTTTCTGGGTTTAAAATGGTAAGCAGTGATAGTGAAGTCTTCCCCTCACTAATTTCGATATAGCCCGAAACCCTCAGCAATAAGCTGGCTTAGATGCTCTATATTTGCTGACACTTATTCAAGTAACTTATATCCTACAGCATAGAATAGACCATACATAATTAACGCCATCTTGATGTGATTATATGACTGTACTCATAGCTAGATTAACATTCATTTCATTGATAATAACTAGATTGACGATTACACATACCCAGATCACTACAACTTGAGGACCCTCAGTGGATCCAGCATGGAGTCGGTCCAGAAGATCTGTAATTCTGGCATGTCTGAGACATTTCTTCTAATATCTACTATTGGAGTTCCAGTACCATGTACTGAAAGTAGTTAATCGATATACGGTATCAAGGATGGGAGTGGATCCGCCATAGTTTTTACCCAAATGCGGTTGTGATGGACAGAGCAAGAACATGGAACTACATGCTGCATTTTCTCGGCGCTCTCCAGCTCGCTTTTATCTATACTACTCTACTACTCCCGCAATACCCGTTTCTCTAGGTCATGTATGATACATGTGCCTGCGTCTCAAGCAGAGTAGAGTATATATGTAGCCCACTGAGCAGAAGACCGTAGGACCGCTTGCGCCCTTTCCCTGCCCCAAACCGTCTCGGATGAGTGGGGCAGTGTATTGTGGGTTCATTCACTCAAATCCAGGCTTTCGTTTGCTTCGTATCTGTGGCAAATCCCATGTTGGAATTCTCAGGTGTTACTTTGTTTCAAGAGGATCAGCTAGCTTCATGATTCACGTATGTGCGTGACGTACGTGACTTGGACGCATACGAAGATAAACCTATTCAATAATAAAACCGCTTGTATATCTAAACTATATAGTCTTCCTCATCGTCACCAGGAACGTCTCCTATTGGTTGTAGCGCAGTACTACATGTATTTCTAATATTGATTGCATATCATTCGACAATGAACTACTCCCGAGATGGAAGGGAACTAGCATTAAAAGGCGTGTAGCTATTGTAATTGATGGATATAAAAGAATAAATACTGATAGAACCACAGCTATATTTTTATATATGATCAAGGTCGAATTTCCTTGATACCATTTTATCATGAACTACATGTATAACATACTAACGCTACTCATCGAATGACTTAGACTGCATACTAGAGGTAATATATCACAGATTACATATATATAAGGAGAGGCCGGTGGCGATGAGGTTTAGTGCGTGCCTGTACCTTTGAATGACCCAATAATCCAGAATGACAGCAATAATCTAACTACATTTGGGCGGCCGAAGGTCGCACTCCGCTTGTATATATATGATATAATACCTACAAAGTCAGAAGTATTTCATTCACGTGAGTGAGTGATAGAATTCTACTACATACTCTCATATAACCACAAACAAAAAATCAAATATATATAAAGAAAAAATACATATTATTTAACATAAACCCTTCGGTCTTTTGCCTTCATTAATTATCTTATCTCCTTTTCTATCATTTTCATAAAGAAACAGTTACCAAGCACTCAACGTACACAATACATTCTGTTAAGAAGAAGTAACTATTGGCACAGTAACATTCAAGGCACCCAGAGGGGCTGTAAGCCAGGGAATGTCCACGCCATCAACCTCCGTTCCATTGCCCACCACATTCAGTGCAGCATTCCCGGTCACAATGACTCCAATAAGTGACCTCATTGCCGCTTCAGTAAAGTTGGCCCTGAAGTCGTATTGGCGATCACCAGGTGAAATTGTGAGGTTGGGAATCACACCAAAGCCGAGAGCCTGACCGTTGAGCGATAGAGCGATGTGCACGTTCCCCTGATACAACCCATTAGTCCAAGCCTACGGAGTGAGGGTACTGGAGCATTTACCATCTCGATTGTTGCAACTGTGGGGTTAGGGATAAACACCTTTCCGCCGAGGTTGGCATCGGAGTCGTTACTGATGATGCTGTAACTTTGGATTTCCATCCCCTCAAGTTTATTGAAACCTAATATCAAGAATAAGCCATTGGCCAAATAGATACTTGTAAGTGGTTCCGTATTGAGTTCGCCCTCACAGCAGAATTCACAAACCTTTCAACTCCACAACCTCATTGTAGTTAACCTTGGTGTGAAGCTTCCCTACATGAATTGTGGTCCGTCCCTTTATATCAAAGCTCAACTCCTTGCTGCTAAGCAACAATCCAGCAAAGCCTCCGAACTGTTTCATATCGGCAATCTCAGTGTGTACATCCTGCACAATAATTGGAATATCACCACCACCACTGATCCCAGGCAGCGGGAGCGACATGAAGGCATCCTCTGAGTCCGGGAGGTAGAAGTTGACAGTCATAGGATCCAGTTTTGCGTGACTTGCTATCCCTGAGGCTCCTGATATGGTTGAATTTATGGATAGGGAGAATGAAGTGGCAGTAGGGTCCCGAATCTCCAAACTCTGGAGAGTAAGATGTGTTTTATCGAGCTCCTTCTGAGAAACAGCTGGGAGGATGGCGTAAACACTATATGATGGATTAGTAACTGAAATACCAACTTGAAGTTGATATGGTCTGCGGGGGATATTCACATAATGATCATAATGACCAAAACAAACAAGCAGAAGGCTGCCAGCCAGACCCACCACCGCTGCCTGCAGTGCCTGGCAAACCTGCCTCTTCTTTGGACAGGTGCGGCCTCGATATGTTCACCATCAGTACCTTTGCTCGATGTAGTGGCCATGTTTTAACGAGAAAGGTGTTTGTTGTTTGTTAATGAAGAGGACGTGTGGGTTGACTGTAACCGTTCTTCGCGTCTCCCTTGATCTCCCATTCCGGGGAAGGGAGCTTGATAAATAAACTTTGGGACGAGAGCATTTAAGGTGGGGTACACAGATTTTTAAGGGCATTACGGGGGGTGGCCATCTTTACATTTATTTAACTTTTGAGGGCTATTCCCAGAGGAGAAAATTCCATTACATTACTCAACGAATAGCAGTTGTAGAATCCCCGTCGTATTGTTATTGCACTAAACTCTACACTTTACAGTCCAATCCCTTGAAATTCGGCATCACATGTTGTCTAGGGGGTTAGGCAGGCGTTGTTCAAAATAACAATACGAGAAATGATCTGCACATAGAGACTTTATGCAGAAACCTTCCTATGCATGTGAACATTGGATGTAACTTGATATTAGGCGTTGCACAAACAGAAACAACCAAAAACCGAACCAAAGGTAGAAAATAATTAACGCTGCAGGCTACAACTAGTTTCAGATTGGATCTATATGACCGGAAAATTGTCTTGCTTTTTTTTTAATAACCCCACTCGGAAACTACGGGTCTTTCCACAGGCTATCATTAATCGGCCAATTATCTCCGATCATTTCTCATACTCCTGTCAAATCTCCAGTTTACGATCTCTTCGAATCGAAGGAGACGATAGGATAAGCCAAAAAGCCGGTACCTGACCTGGCGCTGTTTCGGGTACCTGGAGAGATTTAACGCCTAAGGGGCTTCTATATTTCGACATTTTTTACTTGCCTTGAGCTGAGCTGTAAGCTCATCAGTGATAGGTGTTAGCTGTGCCAGCAAACTTGAGACCTAAATTTGCCCCCGACCTCCCTGCATCCAACCGGACATTCCCCGCTTCATACACTTTTATCCTGGGATGTGCAAATAGTAATGACGATATATCCCTACCCAGGTGGTGGCACAATAACTCTCGACTTTGGAATTCTAGATGTTGAAACTTATAAAAGGGGGCCTTGGCAATCGCTACATCCGTCACATGTACTCTAGTAGCCTCGGCCTAAGATAGTAAGCGACCTTTTTCCCCACGGGGTTGCCGTCGCCAAGATTGCTTGTTCTGTCAAGCGAACAGGAAATCTACATATGCACTTGCGTATGGCGCTAGCTTGGGGAAGTGGATATTCCTTGATCTCTTGCATCTTTTGAGGATAGATATTAGAGCCCCGTGAGAAACTCGGGAGTTTTAAACTGAATGTATGACAGACAGTTTTAAACTGGTTAAAAACTGGCTGTCGAAAACCTGGGTGTCATGGTCATAAACTCAACAGCCATTTTGGGAGTGGGCTAGGGTAATTTTAGGGCAAAAATTGGTATTTAGGGTGGGTTAGGGTAATTTGGGTGGTCAAAATTAGAAAATTGAGTCTGAGTTTATGACAGTTTTCAGTTAAAAACAGCAGTTTATGACAGTCCGAGTTTATGACGCAGTTTATAACTCCAGCTCTGAGTTTGTCACGGGGCCCTAATAGATATAGCGGGGCTGGTAAGATCCGAAATATAAAAGAAAACAACTCAGACAGTTACAGGTGCGTTGGAGCCCAAATGGGCAGGTCGGAACGGATAAAAAACACTGGCGGCCGGCCGAGTGATGGGTCATGTACCCTAACCATGTAGATCTCAGGTTCCCGATTGGATGCAATTAGTCGTTCGCCGATCGTCAATTGGTTGGTGTGCAATGTCATTATCGCTTGAAGATACGATGGCCCAATTGGTATCGAAAAGGGTCTTCAACTGAGCGCATAGACTTGTTCGGAGACTGAGACTATCCGCAAACGATGTTTTCTCCGTGTGTAGAGCGCAAGCAGGACAACTTCCCTTGTTAATGTATCCCAGAAAGTGAAAGTTTAACGCTTTTGAGCAGCCCCTCTAGGTTGACGAGTTTATCCAAACTGATGTTATTTATCCATGACAGCGCGATGATAAATATTCGGTCTGATTCGATCCATAGCCGGGTTCACTGTCACGTTAGTTTAAACACACTCGCGCGTTCGTGGCATCACAACTGTGAAAGTTCTAAAGATGTTACTAAGCAGAGAGGATAAACACATCGGGGACCAAACGATGTTTATATATCTAACGGAACACTATGGGATTAGCAGGAAAACAGAAACTAGAGGGGAAGCTGGATACAATGTTATCGACATTCTCAAGGTGATAGGTCTGATATCTACATGTAGTATACCTCTTTGCAATCTTTGACTAACCTTGAGACTTTGATGAAAAGACAATACTGTACGGGCACCCATGAGAGATGAAGATTGATAATAGCAACTAGCTACCTCGCTGGATAGAGTGTTAAAGATCGAGAGACCGTTCACCAGGATGACGAGCGGCCTGAATGGGAGGTTTCGAGTGGAGCGATAATAATGGCGTGTTAGAGCACGACGTTGTCGTTGTTGCGAAGGCCTCCCAGACTCAATTTCCAGTCAGAGCAAGCCCCTCAACGTGGCCCTCTACTCTACCCCACTAATACCAAAAGACCCCAGGCTAGTTCATCGATTTCTGTACCCAAACAACTTTACCCCTCAATCGAATAGTCTGGTGGAGATTTTCCGGCGAAGGTAGAATCATAGATATTCGAATTCCTCGTCTTGACTAGTTTACGAAGGTTCAATTGAGCTTTCTATATGGAGTGGGAGGTTTTCTTCTACGTATTTAGACAAGCTACCATTAGAAAAAGCCACATCTTAGGCTCTCTTAAGGGAAGCCTCTAAAGGGCCAAAGGTATTGCGGGTTGTCAAAAATAATGGGACGCAACAGGGCAACGAATACAGCAACGACAACCCAACCCCGCCACCAACGAACGACAATACTAACGAAAATACATCTTGGGTCTCCAGTAGTTCTTATTATCACTTATCCTGTTTGTGGCCCCCTTGTGGTCGGTCGTGGTTGAGAGATTATTACGTTGCAATGAAGCCTGTTGCGTCCCATTATTTTTGACAACCCACAATACATACATGTACTGTATGTACATATATCAAATACCAGATCAGACCACTGGGATGAAGACCGATCTGCGGAGGAAAATGGAAACCGATCCAGCAAAGAACACAGATTACCACCACCCACGTACGGCATCAGCTCTCAGATTTATCCCTAAGCACTCGCCTCGATGAAAACCGCTGGCTCGTTCGTGGTCGATAATAAAGCGCCGCAACCAGCACCGGTTGCAATCTAATTGGTTGAAGCGACGATTCGTAGGAGGAATGAAATTGATATGGATCGTATCCAGACTATGGCTTAGAAATCTTGTCTCGGGGGGGGGGGGGGGCACCATGTTGGATCTGATCTAGGGGATGAGGGGGTTGTACACAGTGAGTTTAGGGTTTATCAGCACTTTCTTTACTCGTTGGTATCTACTCTGACTAGGCATAAAGAAGATCCATGTATGTAACCCAGCATTCATACACTACTCCTATTCAAAATATTAAACTGAGTCTTTAGTTGGGCTAATGTGTCACGATCAATCAGTTGGGTCATGGGATATCACTCGCGACAAATATCTGTTGGGACCAACTACGATATAGGGGCCCGTTATGCGTACACTACTTACAACCACAAACATGAAGTTCTAGGATGTTCAGCATATGTGTAATGGTCTTGCAAATCATATTGACATACATACACACATACCCAAGAACATCGGAGGAGGAGATTGTTACTCGTAGCTATCTACGTTTATGACTACATCATTTACAGGTACATGTAGATATTGACCAAATCACCCAGAAAACGGGCCAGATGGCGTGATATACTGAGACATGTGTTTAGAAATCTAGCATCGTCCTATCTCGTTCAGGGTGCTCTTTAGCAACATTTATTTCACCACACGCACCGTCTAACTGGTCGCCTGAGCCCAAAATAAAGAATCGATAAACTATAAACAGGGGTTTATTGGTATATGTGGGTACCCAGAGTGACTGCATGATATTGGGGATACACATGTGTCTGCATGAATTGCGTTTGTCGGGTGCGGGAATTAGAGTACTCCTTAAGCGAAATTTACACGATACCTACACTCTTGATAATCTATAAGGTTTAAATTTGTGCTCTGTAAATACCATCTGTAACTTAATTCCAACCGATGAGGATGTACATATCCACATACTAGTAGGCTTTGTTTGTCTAGCAAAGGTTTGAATTTTCCATAAATGCAGCACTCCCACGACTCGTGTGTTTCCTAAACCGTCAATGACATGAGCAATGTGGGATGGATATGTACATGTATGACGATTTAGGGATATTTATCCAGTGTTTCTCCCATGAGCTTACTCCTCGGTCATTATAAATGAGATTCTTAGTGGTTATGTTTGCTGATAACGAACCCGCGTAAACAAATGTTTCGGGAGATCGACCTGGGAGTGATATCTCATGATTCGACATTCCCTCTTGGCTACACGTACTCCGGCTCCTGTATATACATGCAGAAGTACATAAGTACATGTAATTAATGTGTGCTAGTTCTGCTCGGATTTTGCCTACAGATAAATAAGCCAGCTCTACCCCATAGGATGAGATCACAATCCACTAGCGCAACTCTCTGAAGTTCAAAAATTCCATCATGTTGAAGATCACGCGGTCATGCATATGCATCATGGTCTTGGGCTTACTAAATTTCTTGGCCCGCCCACTCTGACCTTCATGCCTACCCCCGTACGTTGCCCCTCATCGACTTCTCCCCAAGCCGTGACCTGCGGAAATCTCCCTCTGACTCTGACTAATTTACCACCACATTTATGCACTACCTTTATGCACCGTGGTGGGGTAGACACACCAAGTGGGCTGAGACCCTGCTTTACGTGAGAGCGAGCTTAGAGAAGGCGAGGGCGAGGGTTCCCTGGATTGTTGCGTCTCTAGGGCCGGCCAGACTTCCACTCTGATCATGATACTAGGCAGAATTCAGACCCTTTTTACCCAGCCTTACGCTTGCGCAGGAACACGCATCACATGCGCATATTAACAAGGAGCCAACTTCCTGCTACATAGCCTCTAGGTGACACCTCTTCTAGAAAAATCGCCGATCCGATAATCTCCCTTCAAGAGAGGGAGCTTCTATATCAAGAATTTCTATTTTTGTTGTGCGCTTTAGCTTGACTGATGCAGTGGTACATACTCTAGTATCGACATCGCCGCCGGCCACTGCAGAACTGCAAGTGGTGGCTTGTGCCTGTATCAGATATATTGCATAATATAAAACATCGACACAAGTAGAATAGGTACATGTAGGTACCCCAAGTACATGTACATGCACCTTGAAGATCGTGTTTGAGCTCGCCGCGAAACTTTGCGCAAAGGCCACTTGCCCAACTCTGCGTGTGACATCAATTGCGGGTTTAGTGCTCTCGAGTACGTAGGTATATCATCCACAATTCAATTCTACTTCTGAATACTTTAGAGCACGCACACACCTCAAGTGTACTCTAGAGCACCTACATACAATGCATAAATCCATTCCCTGGGAAGATCCTGCTTCCCTGTGAGTCGAGGGAGGCCTTGAAGCCTTCCCGCTCTAGCATTGATCACCATGTTGACAGTGCCCTCACCCTCACATACACTATGGACCCAGTAAGTTGATCCACAACGTCATAAATGTGACCCCAGACGTCTTCATTGCTACATACTGACAAAAGGAAATCTTGAGACAGTGTAACCCCCGGGTCCTGTTACCCCCTGACGCAATGCGCGGTAGAAGGGTGTAAAGTAATATAGATACAGAGAAATAGAAATAGATATCATGAAATGTAGGTAAAAAAATGGAAAGGCCTAAAACATAGGGATAATATAATACAGAGAATTCCTAGAAAGAGGAAAAAGAAAAGCAACATAGCGGCAAGGTATAGTCCCCAAATCGCAAGATATACAGCCCAGAACCAAAAAATACCACCGGCTGTAAGGATAAGCAAAAAGAAATATAGCTTCTCGAAGTCCCACAAAACACCCCCCCCCCTCCCTTTCCCACGCCCCCCCTAAAAAAAAAAGAAACCAGTACGTGAACGCTCCAAAACAATAGACTCTTACCAGTCTTCCAATAAAAAAAGTTAAAAATCTAAGAAAAAACAAATGTATTTAGTCCTCTTCCATTAGTGAGTCCTCGGTGTCCCGCCACTCTCTAGCTTGAACAGAAAGCCTTTTGACTCCAGGTATTCTTTCCGAGTAGAGAGATTCACAAGCAGTTCTATAAGATGAGCAATTAGATTTGCATATTTTAGCAAAGAAAGTTGATGTAGCACATACCTGAAGGTGATAGCTCTCTGTGATGATATAACGCCGATTGCTTGCAAGACAGCTTTTCTAGAATCTCTTGCAAAGACTGCAGGATGACCAATCCATTCAAGGGCAGACTCCAACTCTGCATCCAGAGCTGATACGGTGGTGGGATCGATACCGGTAGCAGGGGTGAAAATGTGTTCGAGGGGAGGTGTTGCGGTGAATGTCTGCTGGTGCAGATTTGATAAAGATACGGCACCCTCCGGAAGTTCGGGCAACGGCATATTCGGGGATGGCGCGGGCAAAGGCGGCAATCCGCCTTTACCCAATCCTTTGAGAATGGTCCGAGTTTCGCTGAGCAGCTTCTGAGCATGGTCATGTTGATTACGAGAGACGAGTACCAAAGCTCTGCTCAACATATCTGAAGTTAATAACTCCATACGCCTTTGGACTACCATAGGATGTGGTGGGATTGGCGGAGAGCCAGGTCGACCAGTCTTCTTTGAGTTAGACGGTGGTAACATTGTGATCGCAAGTAGGTGCGGTCGTGACAATTGAGACAGAGTTCCATCTCTTTGAAGATCCCCGAATGTCAAATCGGCTAGAATTAGAGGAACCTCTTCAATGCTGACTGTTCTCTGTTCATCTTGATCTGTTGAACCTCCCAGAGCCTCCAATCCGGACACAATAGATTCCCACGCATCCTGAGGAGCGGTGTCGCCTTGAGAGTTGTCAGGTGATATTACGAGTTGAACCAAAATATCTTTCAAGAAAAGGTTAGTTTGGATAAATAGTGTTATATCGGACCAATGTCATGTAAACATACCCTTCTTATCCCCGAAATGAAGATCGCCCAAAGATGCCTCTGCTTCACGTCCGGTTGCCCTCTTCGATACATGTAAAGCACCGCTGATCTTGTGGAATCTTGCTGGTGAGCCTTCTGGGAGTTTGAGCTTAAGCTTGGCGTTCTGGTGTGAAAGCGTCTGTAATGACCCAACACAACCCGCAACACACTCTCTCAGCATCATCCAATCCTTGACGTATGTATATTGTCCCTTAGTCCTTGTCGACATCTCCATGATTGTATCAGGCTTGTGGGTGAGACCAAGGCCAAAAGAGTGAATCGTAATCCTATATGTCTGTAAGCCTTGAACAATTGTGAATAATGGACGAGTATATACTTCGCAGCTTCAGCCCTCGATACTACAAAGTCGACATTTTCGGTTTCTGAAGTCGATGAGTCACTGATTAAGAGAATCGACGCAATTGGATTGCTCGACTTCCGCTGCATCAATAAGTCCATCGCAACATTTGCCCCATCAACTACATCGGTCCGCAAGGTCTTCTGCCCCACCGGGCGGATGGAGTGGATGGCCTTTCCCCATCCAGTCCAATTTTTTGCTAGCAACGAAGTCAAAGGAACGCCGCCACTACTGGAACCGAAACTAACTAGGCCCATCCTGTCCCTTTCCCCAAGGTTTTGAACAAGGAACTTGAGTGCATCCCGAAGTAAATTGATCTTAAGACCTTGCATTGATGAAGATACCGGGATAACAACGACCACATCAAGGGGAATGTGCATAGATTGAGGAATGTTCTGTCTTCCTCCTCTGATGGACGCAGTATACTCAGTAGGTGCAGTGACGACCGATCGACTCCCCCCATGTCCGCCACTATAGGTTGAGTTTACAGAGGATACTCGCCTTGTTGTCTTCATGGTGCGATAATCATCATCATCGACATCAGAAATTGATTGCACTTTCTCATCGTACTGAGGACTGCGCGATGGAGCAGGATCAACAGAATTGAGGTCAAGTAAAGCGCGTTGCCATTGATCCAACTGAGCGTGATTGGGAAACAAAAGGTGAAATTGGGGAAGCTCGGCTACAGAGAGATTGAGGGTGAGGATATGCATGTTGTCATCTGTGTTGTTCGATTAGTAAAATTTATTTAACTAAGAGTGAATGCTGAAAGAGACGTACCTCGATTGCTTGAGTCGTTGACTTTCTTTAAATGCTTTTTGATGAGAATTGAACCTTTCAAGGTGCATTTTACAGCCCTTATCTTTTTTTGCCCGTTAGACCATTGGGAAGCAGATGAGGAAACCTTCTTCTCTTTGACGCAAATGAGCATTTCAGAGAAAAGATAACATTCCAGTTCCTGCCAGGCCTGGCAGTCCTTTCCAACTCTGATGGTTCCGTGAAGACGTAGCTTTCCAAACCTATTGAAACTTAGAGATGATCATTAAACCAAGTTCCTTGGGTGTCCTACCTAGCAAAATCAAGACCATGCCAATTTTCAACCCTCAAACGGAGGTCCTCAGTGATGGAAGCAAGGGCCTCCAACTCCCGCTCCCTTTCCGCCTCACGTTCTCTCTGCTGTCGTGTTGATGAACTCTCTCTCTCAAAAGAGTACTGGCTTCGGCCTGTTGGGCTTGGGGGCTGATATTGTTGGTCATATGCTGCTGGTAGGGATGGTATTGGCGGGACCTCCTCGTTGTACATGGGCTGCCATTTCCTTTGCGGTACTTCTATTGTAACAAGGCACGTCAAACTCTGTTGGACTTTGGAACGCGTGAGTGTTGGAAATTCGCTCTTAACCGTAACGGTAGGAGGATGTATCGGATTGGCCATTGAATTCCGCGGACTTAGCTCGCTCTCCATGCTTTGGATATCATAATCATGACGGCGAACAGGTGCTGCTGCGCTATTTGGATCTGCGTAGCCCTCACTAGCACTGACAGAGGTACCACTGTTATTGCGCCAATGTCCGCTGTCGTGTTGTCGTTGACTCGAGTCTCTTGTTTCATTGCGGCTCTCCGCCCTACCATCTCTATTCAAACTTGATGTTCTGCTGCCTTGTCGACTCCGAGCCCTGCTACCGTAGTTCTCATATTGGGGGGAGGCCAGATCCCTTTCCCTCTCTCTTTCCCGCTCCCGCTCTCGTTCCCTTTCCCTTTCCCTTTCGCCCTCTCTCTCTCTTTCCCGCTCCCGCTCCCGCTCCCGCTCCCGTTCCCTTTCCCTTTCCCTTTCCCTTTCCCGTTCACGCTCCCTCTCCCTGGGCTGTTCTCGGCTGTCTGCAACCGATACCGATCTAACGATACTGCTAAGTTTTTCTGCACCAAGTTAGTATTCACAAGTCTAGGTGGTTCCTAGGTAGACACGAACCTATATCAAGAACATTTCCACCACGACTAGTATCTAGTCCTAGTGGGGCATGACACTCAGGGCAATATTGAGAATCGACCTCTTTAATATACTCATAAAAACAGGCCTCATGGGCAACATGGCTACATGAAAATTGAAGGATACGCTCCCCACGTAGTGTGTGCTCTAAAGGTTCCTCGCAAGCTGCACAATGACTCCCGACAAATGTTCTATCGCGACGGCTCCGCCCGCGATCCATGTCTAGCATACCTGCCATAGTGCTTGGTCGATGTTGGGATTGAGAATCTGCTGAGGTGACAGAAGGTGGTCGAATAGTTGATACTATTGATGGGGCGGCTGATCGTGTAGAGACTGAATGATTGCTGTCAGTATATTGCTCGCCGATGTGGGAATCGCTAGCAAGGCGACGAATACCGAATTGTCGCTGGCGTGAGGGTGGGAGGCCAACAAAAGCGTTGCCCGAACTTCCCGAAACACAGGACTCAGCAGGGGAGCGAAGCTTGCTGCTGCGACGACCACTTAGCAAGCCACGACGATACCACTGGGGGGATTCTTCCTTCGTGCTGGGAGGTCTTGAGGAACGAAAGCTCGTCATGTCCCGTTGGGATGGGCGTTTAACGGCTTTTGGGGGTTGTTAGAGGTTAACAACCAATGTGATGGGTGTGAGCCGGAAAAATAGAGGACAATAAATGGGAGTGGCAGGAAGAAGAAGGGGGGTGTAAGAGATGTGCGATGGGGGTGTGGTTGGGGGATAATTGGGAATGGGATGGGATGGGGATGTAATGTGGTGGGAATAGGTAGTGTAGTACTGGTAGGGGAAAGAAGATCGCAGCGATCCGACCGCCTGTCGGAACGTGGTAAATCTCGTCAAACAGGTGTGACCCAGGCTAGCGCTGTTAGGTGAGGGCGTTACGGCGCGCAACTGTATTAATATGTGGTATATGTATAGACTGCCTGTCTGCCTGACCCAAGGTGGGATTTTGCAGTTCCTGTCGAGTATGCCGCTGAATGTCTAAAGCTGTACCTTTACCTCTTTCTTCCTTTCTGGGTCTCTGGGATACTTGAACCGCCCAAAACACTCAATGACAGCCAAATAAAGGTTAAGGTAAAAATACTCCTTTTGAAAAGGGAAAAGGCAGTAGGGATGAAGACAGCCCGGATCCTCGATATAAGCAAGGATGACAGCGGCTTCGGTCTTTGACAGGGTTGTACTGCGGAGTAGAGTATGTTTGAAGTATGTAGTAATCGGCGGCGCGGGGGGTAAACAGTTACGGAGAAAAGCAAGAGGTGAGAAAAGAGTACGGAGGATTGAACTGGTAGGTAGCAGCAATAATAGCTGTTAGTTAATCAGTATGTAGCAGTAGTAGGTGAACGTAGGACTTTGCGATATTTGTGTTTCTTCTGGAAGTTGGTGATGCAAGCATGTCGGATGAAGAGTGTATGTAAGTGCGTGGCAGCTACCAATACAACACAGTTAACGGCATCTGATAGGTACATGTGTATATGCAAATTTGATTATTACTTTGATATGGTTGTTCCGTACGTGGAAGTTTCAACAGGCACAAGTATAATAGCTGTAGAAGTAAAGGGTGTTTATTTACACACACGGCGTGACACACAAGGCGTATCTGTTGAGCATGATGGGGCGACAGACGTCGAACGATAGCGGCTCACATGTCCCTACCTTTTTCGCTTTGTTTCTTTCTTGATTGTTCATCCTATCACGCCCTTGCATCTAAGAGGTCTCGGTGAAGCATAGCTTGCAGTGCCCAAACGAGCGTTTCCTCGGCCAGTCTAGTCCTTTCTGGGTAAGCGGCTAATACCACTAATACCACTTCATCCATGTTCCAATAGAACGGGCCAAGATTTTATGAGGGCTCTTTCCCCGTTTCATCACCGAAATCCCATTTAAAGGAGATGTGGGAATCCCTGCATATGTTTGGTGAAATCGAAACATCTCTTCAGCTGCCACCTGTCAAGTCACTCACCGGAGTAAACTACGTAAACTTTAGTGATGTTTTCCAGCCTTATGTAGGGTTTCTACAAAGTGCAAGAAAAAAAGGGTTAGGTCACTAGTACCAGTGCTACTCTACATGTAGGCGGTACTACTAAGTACAAGTACCTACTGCTCAGTACAACCACACGACACCTGCAGCTACAGCGAGAGGTAAAATTATTGTAGAAACAGGGGTCTAAAAACAGGGTTTCTATGGCTGGGCAAGCCAATAGGACTCCTCCCATATTTCTACAATAATCTTACCGCAAGCTGTACTATTTTGTGTTTTGTACCCTGGCTAATAGTGGCTGTCACGGCGTGAGCGTTTTGTTAAGTATTCGATCACCACATGCGTCATCCAAGACCCTGGTCTGGAAAATCCACTACAAACGCTGGCTCTGTGCGCGTTGACTTCCCCCCTCTTTCCTTACCTACATGTACTGGACAAACTTGAAGGCCAATGCACAAAAGTTCATGGGTCGTTCGTTGGGAACAAAAAATCATTAAGGGCTAGCACGAGGAGGTAGGAGAAGTCTACAAGTAGAAAGTGAAAGGATTCATCCCTCCATCCCCTAGCGCCGGTTTTCCACGTGCCGTGCTAATGTTTAATCAGGTACAGTTCCAGCCCTTGATTAGCGATTATTTGACTGCGAATATCAACCTATGTGTGCTCGAACCTCGGACACCCTTGAAGATGAAATTAGCGCGGCCGTTTTGGCTCGTGGAGCTTCAGCCAATGTGATGTTCTTTGTATCTTATTACCTTATTACCAGCGCCTCTCCGACGCCTCCTCCACATTACGAATCGATATTGAGGAAACAAAAAAGCCACCATCACGGAGACGAACAAGAAAGCAGTCAAAAGCCGTATTCTGGAAGCTCTATAAGGTCCCCCGGGTACATATAAGGGGAATTAAAGGAAGCGAGAACTCTTACGGTGGGGGCCGGACCGCCTTCCCCTGACATATGTCATTTTACCAAGGGATGCCTACTAGCACCACGCAACTCAAAAGTGATTCCAGCAAAAGGGCGTCCTTAAAGATTCCCATCCCCATTCATGCGCAGCGATTTTCTGATAAAGGATCCAAAGCCATCCTTCCTAAAACCTAACCACAGTACCAATGAGCCAGGCACCAATCTCCTGAGAAACGTAAGATCCTTAAGTGGCCCTCTCGCCCAACTACTAAGTAGGTGGAAATTGTAATTGCGTCTTTTTGGACAAGAACCGTTTCAAGAAGCGTACAGCACTTCCTCCATGGGAATTAGTAGCTACAGAACAGAGACTTTACTTTTCATACATACAGCTGCAGGTGTGTATCAACATTCGGATTCTGTGAATTCATCTGCGGCAAAATTATAGACGAAGCGGCACATCTAACCTGGGCACAAAATGTGGCGTGTTATACAGCCTTTTTACCGAAAACTTCATGGTGACCCAGGAAAAAAGGATTACCAGGAGTACCATGTATCTGTTTGAGCAGCGAGTACTATGCCGCACAATTGATACCAAATAGTAGGGCTTTTAGCACCCTGGATTTCGAAAGATACCACCTCCTCATTGTAAAAGCTGGTGGTGCAACACTGCGAATATCAAAGGCACCTGACAAAAGAAAAAGTAGCACCAGGAACCTGGTCTAGTTTTAAATGATACCTTGACTATTGTATCCCTATAACCGGAAATATCAATGAAAAGCAGGAGCCGAAACCCAGCAAGATGGATCCGTGTTGGAATACCCACGATTTCGAGTTTACCACTTACATCAACCCATTGGAACTCCAAACACCTATATAGGTACGCAGGTCATACAAAACTCCAGGTTTAGGAAACCTCCGGAGATGGAGGGTATGAAGACGCAGAATACTGGTATGGGATTGAATACCGATATTTCTGGGATATACGCCCATGGGCTTAAAGCAAAGTACTGGTAGAAAAGTGCTTGCTGATTGGCTTAAGTCACGGGAATATGCATACACCACCAGTTTTCCTCCCACCACTTTGCTTTAAGCCCATGGGCGTATATCCCAGAAATATCGGTAATTCTTTTACAGAGCGGGGTTCATATAGAATTGTGTGTTCCAGCTCCTTGCTACATAGTTTTATCAAACCTTCCTCGCTTATCTCCGCGCCTCTCCGCGCCATGTTCCTTTGGGTCCACGGGTGTCGTGTAGTAGGTATATTATCGCGGCAAGTCATTGCGAAGTTTATACACAACTGTAATAATCGCATGTCATGCTTGACATAATAACTCGGCAGTTCCCATAACAATAGAGTACAGTCGCAACTCGATATGCCGGATTGCCAAGATTCGAAGGATTTCATACGGGATAGCAAAAAATCCGGGGTAGCAAATTGATTTTGCAGTAAAAAAAACCAAAACCCCAGAGGATTTCGTACGGGATAGCAAGGGATCCGGCGTATTGAGATCCGGCATATCGAGTTGTGACTGTAATATTTGGGACTTCCGGTGTGGACCCTGCACAACATACTGGTTTGATTCATGGTCACAAATGGACGACAGATCAGTAAATACATACATTGGTCTGTGACCTTCCAAGTTCCAACTACATAACTCCCTTGAAGGCACTCTAGAGTAGATACCCCCACAGCGGCTCAGGTGGGAACGGGAAGGAGGCTGGTTGTTTTTTTCCGTAAAACCACATGTGGACTCCGGGCTCAAATTGAAGTTGTCCCGGCCCGCCCGGCGAAACCCTTGACACTGATCGACCTTTCGGATCCTTCCAACATGTTGACTGTGAGGTTTCGCCGAATCCACACCCCATCACAACAACCAACGGGCCACAATTTCATGCCCAATGCTAGGTCGAAATAATCTGGCCAGTCGTTTATCTTCCATAGATAAAACAAGACACGTCTTTGATGGAATTAATACTCTAGGTAGATTGGCGAGCTAGCTCAGCATTGGTAACTTGACACGTTAATGGGGTTCTCTTCTCCATTTTGACACATGTAGCTGCCCAGCAGAGGTGAACCAAAACCAAGGTTAGGCCCGAAAATCACCGGGTTGCATTACACTATTTGTATCAACATCCTAGTAAGTTGGGACACATGAAAATCCGGAGAAAGACAGCTGTTTGACAGCTACCACCAAGCGGGGGTTTCCTGGCTCCCTCTCGTGCTACATTAAGTACATGTATTGTACATGAATGCAATGGGAAGTACTGCATGTACATGTACCCAAATGTAGTGCACGATGATGAATCCCCTATAGACTTTTAAAAGCCCCATTATATGCAGCGCAATTGTCCTGAGAAGCCCAATTGCACATTCACGTTCATTCTCGCAGTTTGCCATTGTGTCTTTCTTAGTAAAAGTGTGCCCCTGAAGATCTAGATATCAGTTGCGGTCTCAAGTACACATGTATGGAATATCCACGTCTCCTTTGGCATTACATATACATAGATCGTTGAAGAACGTCGCGTTTGTGATCTGATCTAAACGTGCCTTCGTTAGAAAACGGGATACTGGACTAGTGAATCTCTCCATCCAAGACACCTCGATTCCGATCTTGCCTAGTCTCAAGCTAGAATTGTGCCCAAGCTTTGAGAAACGACAGGATATCTTTCACCGGCCGTTGGGTGATACTCAGAACGGAGATGTACTCCATCCAATAGCAGTACTAGTGTCATCTGTTCTACAACATCGCCGAGTGATAACATGTGATCTCGACTGTATCACTTATATATAACTTGCCGGCCCCACTCTGTTGTGAACCTCTCAGCAGATGCAGTGGGTGACTTTCCTGGAGTAAGTACCTCCCGAAGAACACGGACGGCATACTTGAAAACAGATCAACATCCCTTATTTCCGGCCGAGCAACCAGACGGGTCCATGCACTTGGGCGATCAACAAATTAGCACAACAACTATCATCTGCCGGTCCACCTACTCTACAAACATCAGAACAGTGCAGATTACTGTATCCATCTGGTTCTCCTTTTATTTCCATTCAGTTTGTGACATCACCTTAAGTTTGGCCAATTGGCCGTTAATGGCTCCCAAAGCGAACCCTTTCCTGCTGCTTATCTTGCTGCACCTATATATATTACTCAACCTTCGTAACCCTAAGAGCCAGAGGCTCGCCGTGTGCTCGGGAATCACTTGCTCGGGGCATCGGGGGTTTGCCAGATGTGTACCGACCCGTTGACCGATTTACCCATTATAAAATGGGAAGCTCGCTCCCCCCGCATCGATAGCCGTGGCTGAGTTTGGATATCGAGTGCTGATCAGTTTGGAGGAGACTAAACAACAGGGTAGCCGTTGCGATACCCTCAATTATCCCGAAGCCCTAAACAAAGTAAATACAGTCACGGCATACAGTTTATGATTATGCACCTTGTGGATATGCGATATGCGTGTGCATATCTTATCCAAGACCACTCTTCTATCTTTACCAGATCAGGGTGTCACGCCTGGCCGGGCTACACAGACTTGCCTTAATGAATCTGAGGAGAACTCAAGTACATAATTGGTATAAATAGAGTGCTACTCTGCAGAGATATTGCTCTAGAACATTAAAGCTCACGCGACCTTTCTGTGAAAAGGAATACTAAGAAAAAAACAATGGGGCCAGATCCTGGAGAAATTGGATTGGAAAGAAGAGATTGAAGCCAGATCTTGGGCCTATGTCAAAAGAAAAATGCTATGTACTCCCAGCGTTTATGAGAGTAAATGATCTACAATATCCCATCTAGGCAATTGGATGAGTCTGCTGATCGCAACTTCCAACGACAGCTGTCAGAGCCGTATTCTGCTAGGTTCATGTCTCACGGAAGTCTAGCCAGAGTTACCCCCAGTCCCTGGCAGATGGCCCGTGTTAATGCACTTTATGCGACTGGCCCACTTCCCCTATATAGCTATTCCATCCAGTTAGGTGTCCTTAATTTGATAAACTCTCGGTATTCGATGAGGATGTCGAAACAAATATTCTATGGGATGCCTATGTCTCAGCCCGACACACAAAGTGCACTCGGATCAGGGGTGTAAATGTCTTACATTTTCAGATGGATATGTTATCATCTCGACCCGGCGAGTTATATGTTTGAAATCGATCGGATTCACTGTTGCAAGTCATTCTAGCGCCTTGCCTCGAGCCTTATGTGCATGTTGGTATAACATGCCTTGCAACTCGGAATTCTCCCTAGACACTCACCACCAATGGCCAAAGCGAAACATTGCCACTTATCTCGCAGGTGGCCGACAAGACAATATGTGACAAATGATGAGTAAATTGTTTACATCTAAACCTTTAGTTCTGGATATAGGCAAATTCCCGCGTCTTCATCAGTATTGACGAAAATACATCCACCGTTTCCTACAATGCCCCGACCGCCTGTCATAAGCATTGAGAAACCTAGGCGTCATGGATACTATATACCCATCTGGTTTCCATATCGAAATGAGCCAACAATACGTCAGTGGATTTCTATGGGAACATCTGAAAGTCTGAGCTTCAAAACAAAAGCCAGGTCCTTACTTGAGATGCCATCTAAAATTAGCCATACTGAATGAGACCAGCCTGAGACAGCATGATCATGACAGGAGTGCCTGTGCTCAAATTGACAACAAAGCTTAAAGATCTAGATTCTAGAAACACCAGTTGCATGAATATCTATCCTACGGTCTCGACCGTATTTAATTCAATTGCCTAGTAATAGAGTAGCTAGATATCATGTAAATCATGTAAATCATGTAAATCTGATCATGCTGTTGGTGAAGAAACAATTCCAACACAATATTGAATCAATCCTTATATGTAATTGAGACGAGTCGATTCTAAAGATCGATAAGCGCTTAGTACTTGTTTGGTTAGACAGAGAATGTAGTTCGTCACAGAGTATCACTCGAATGAGATTAAATTCCTAGAATGTGGGCTCAATTTGACTGATTTCTTTATATGGCCCAGTAATCACAAGATAAATGTAAATCTGTAATATCTTATCACCTTTAACTACATGTGCTTGTAATGTATGTAATAATAATACCCCACACAATACATGGGATGCCCGAAGACATCCAAGACGCCAAGAAACCCTCTCCTAAACAGCAGGGGGCGGGAACAAGCCTAGAGTAGAGCAGCCAGTCAAGGGAAATGCAAGGCACGTGACCTCGCTATATTATGCAGCAAGGTTAGGGCTCGTTAGAATTATGCCATAGGCTATGCCTGCATGCAGTTATTGTACCTAGAAACAATTCATATGATTTAAAAAAAATAGGGCTCGTTAGAATACGTGAGTGATGCTACATGACCCATGTATGTCACATCCAATTAATTAGTATTTTCATCGGGGGCGGCTATATACCTTACAGATATTGATAAGAGACAATTTTAAAGCCAATCAATGCCCCTCGTGCTCCAATCTGCACCCGGGTATGTATGCATATGTAGATGCACCCACTAAGCTTTTCAATCGCGGAGGATACATGCCGTATGTAAATCCATCTCGTGGACTTTGCTGACGACTCATTCCTAGAAATCTGTACGTGGGTATCCTTGGTACTATGGTACATGTACTTGTGATTATCTAGCTGGCCATAAACGTAACAAGTCGGGGGAATATCTGCCGACACAGACAGCGTATAAAGTACAAGCATTATCTCGCCTGAAAAAGGGTATTTTCTCTAAGTCACAAACAATTGCCAAGTTTACAATGAAGTTTTATTATAACGGTAGACTTACCACGGCTGTGTTTACCATTTTCTGGACTGCAACTTCTGCGCATGCAGCACCAACAATAACATTACCACTCTCTGCATTCACCTCTTCGGTCGAATCTGACAAGGCCGCAATCTACTACCCAAATACGTCGAATTCCACTCCGATTGTTCTCGGAAATGACGGATCACCGGCTGGTGGCTTTCATACGTGGAGTTTTCCCTCTGATTCAAGTCCGTCTCAGATGACCGAGCTAAATTTCAAATATACTGGAAGAACAAAATTAGTCGAATTTGTATACAATCTCGGTGGTAAAGATGTGATCGTGACTTTGAGTCAGTCTGATTCATTACTGCGGTTTTTTGACTCAGTATCAGTCAGCGAATTACCAGTCATGGGAGGGAGGAAAAAGATCTGGGGAGATTTTTCTAGCTGGTGTTTCTGGAAATCGGCAGAGGGGCACCAATATTTTTATCTTTTTGGAAAGAAAATCGTGTCTTTGTTTTTGATCAGGGAGGGGCAAAAGTCCGGGATTGAGGTTTTAGAGGTTTGGGTGTCCAGGTATGCAATAAATAAATACACAAGAGCGCTGATTGTCGGAAACCCATATAGATTCAATCATTCCCCGTCCCGATTGAAGCAAAGACTTGTATAGTTTCCTACAAGACGTCCTTTGTGTATTTTGGGGGTGATAGCGGGATCCTATATACCTTTCCGGCGCTCGAGTCCATAACGATCCCAGAAAATATAGCTGAGCTAGGGAAAGCCCCTGATGAAATTAATGGCCTGGCGATATATTCTGGCAATCTTTCCAACGATTATCTGCTTGTCGCTCTCAAAGAGTCCCTCAATATATACTCCGCATCGAATTTCACTCTCTTAGGAAGTGCTACATTCTCAGACGAACTTGAGCTAGGCGATATTGCATTATATCAACCAGCATTCGGTACAGCTTATCCAGATGGAATACTCGCATTCACTGCCGAAACGGACACGGGAAAAGCGTTTCGTATGAGTTCAATCAGTGAATTGTTCACTAGCCTTTCTTTGAAGCCAAACAAATCCTTTGAACCAAGGAAGGAAACCTGCAAGTATTGTACACCTGTCACAACCCTGAGTACTTGTCCTCAGGCACAGAATTGTTTCCTACATGGTTTTTGTACAAGTCTTACCACTTGCGACTGTTTCAACGGATTCAATGGAACTTCATGTGAGTCTATAACATGCCCAAACTCCTGTTCTTCACATGGAACATGTGTTTCTGGGGGGGGTTGTTCATGTATCGAACCTTGGGGTGGACCCGATTGTTCGTTCCTACTTGTCCAAGCAAAATATGAGACAGATCCAAATGGCAGTGATGGTGATGATCCGGCAATCTGGATTGCCCCTGGGAACAGCACGGAAAATTCCAGAATCATCACAACGACCAAGAGTGAACTTGGCGCTGGGTTTGGTGTTTTTGATTTGACGGGAAAGAAATTGCAGACTATGGCTGCAGAAGAGCCAAATAACGTCGATGTCATTTATGACTTCCCTGTAGGAAACAGGACGGCCGACCTGGTTTTCGCTGCCTGTCGAGGTGACAACACCCTCTGGTAAGCGCATCCAACTTTCCATCTCCATAATACCCTTCTAATTGAATTTCTAGTCTCTGCGAAATCACATCTTCCGGTGAATTAATATCCATCCCTGGAGGTACCCAACCCACTACGGTCGAGGACTTTGATGTCTACGGTTCGTGCGTCTACCGTTCATATATCTCTGGAAAACAGTATCTCTTCGTTAATTCAAAGACCTCCGAATACCTTCAATTTGAATTAACCTCCACGGTTGATGGTACTCTCAATACTACACTGGTTCGAACTTTCATGGGTGGAAATGGCGGACAAGTTGAAGGATGCGTTGCCGATGATGAGAATGGTTTTTTGATACTCGGCGAAGAGCCCTATGGCCTTTGGCGGTACGACGCAGAACCAAACGGTACAGATGAAGGATATCTCATCGACCATGTCAATACTGGAGGGAACTTGATTGCTGATGTTGAAGGTGTGACTCTGATATACGGGGAAACATCAACTGATGGCTACATTTTCGTTTCCTGCCAGGGGGTTAGTGCATATAACGTATATCAACGTGCACACCCGAACGAGTATGTGATGACTTTCTCAATTATCGCCGGTTCAGTGGATGGGGTCACCAACACAGATGGAATAACAGCAGTTGGCACATCACTGGGAAGCATCTTCCCAAGGGGGTTGATTGTGGTTCATGATGATGTGAATGAGGAATCCAACGGAACGGCCAGCAGCGAAGCAGCGTTTAAGCTAGTGGATCTAGGGGATGTGTTGGATGCTGGTGTGACAAAACACATGGGGCTTTTAGGATCTGTAAATCAAGGATGGAACCCAAGGGACAGATTATCAAAACATAACACTTAAGCCCCAATTAATAAGGCCTAGGATGCTGAATATAATAAAAAGTACATCCTACTGTATATAGCAAGCTGCCAGCTGATCACCGGAATCTACATGTATGTAGACCCCTGATTCGACCCTCAAATTGTAAAGTTATCACCTTTATCAGTTGGATATCTATAGCAGCTATTCACCAATGAATTAAACAAAAAAAAAAAGCTATTCACCAAGGGAATTAAGGAAAACGAGTGACCATTTATGATTCAGAACCAAAATGACGGCTATGCTAGCTGTAAATATTGAATTAACTACTATCTTCTTTCCATTCGGGCAGTTTTGCTTTGATTTGTGGCTTTGTTTAACTGGATACAAAACGTACATGTCTGCAGTATTGAATTTAAAGGAGAAAAAGGTTTATATGGCCGTCTTGAAGATACGCGCGCGCGTCATATCAAACAGCTGCACCAATTACAACCACACAAACCGAACTGCGAAAATATAAGGTTTTCGGGACGAAGCTATAAAAAAAAGTGCAAATAAATAGGTCTTAGGGCCCAAAGGGCTCGAATTAATTCCCCACATGTTTCAAAAGTCTTAGACATGGCAAAATGAGACACTGCTGTATCGATAGTTAATTATGGAAAATTTAGGTGCCCACTCTACATGTATGTATATGTACTATAGAGTAAGCACCTACTCGTACTCGTAGAGTAGAGTATGTAATCTCAGTCCTTAAATCGGTGCTCTACGGCCTTTTAAGTACTCAGTAGCTAGTAAGCCTAGATCCCTATTTCCGTAGTACTGTGGGGTTAGAACCATCTCAAGTAGTGTTACCGAGATCTTAGCAAGCTGGTCAGCTAGTTCGGGGTTTAGATAATGGACATGATGCAATTGCGCAAACCGCGAGAAGGTGCCTCGAGAGAACAAATATCATGTACATAACTAGTGGAGCTCATCTCTGGGTAAAAGTCTTCAGGTTATAAATTAGTAACTCAGGTAGCCTTGAGCAGTGGTATGTAAAATACACACATGTCATATTCGTATTGAGTACATGTAAGTACATCATAGAATGTACCTATTTCACTGTAAATGTATGCTACTTACGCGTATAATTATGAAGCCTCTAACAGTATGTTGTAGAGTATCGGGTCGTACAGGTACGTGCCTAGAAACACTATAGGCGTTGAATACCACTACAACCACTAAAGATCGTATTGTGTAGTTTAAACGGGAATCGCCAATGTCATTTTGTTGTGCTTTAGGCCTGGGTAGGCAGCGGAGCGGTTGGTGCCGGAGTGCATGCGGTTGGCCCTACACCTGATAAGCACACCGAATTGAAAACCCTCGATTTTTGCCGACCTGTCAGAGGGAAGCTCGGTCCTCATGGGTACATGTAGCCAGTGCTCTTTACTCTGCTCTACTACATGTACCTACCAGTGCCACCATCCTTGTAATGGGGTCTTAGACAGCCCACTGCTGCTGTTCGTCAAACTGCTGTTCTATGTATGGATGTGCACGCATACAGAAGTCATTCGCCCTAGAGTAGAGTACGTGCATCATATCCCCCCCGCTATCAGTTGAGCACCGAAGTACTCATTCTCATCCGTATCTTGTATCCCCATAACAACCATACCTCGTATTTATTTCCTTCTGCTGCATCGCTACAACAGCGGTGCTTTCGGGAATTCTGTTCTCTTGTAGCTGTGCTCCCCCGGTGGTGAGTTAGGAAGATGTAAGTGTTTCCGTCTCAATCCACCCCCACCCCTTTGTTCTTCCATCTGGGACAAAACGTCCAACGAGAGAGCTTCCGCGTAGTTGGCCGGTTGAACCCCTCATTCGGATTATCCGCTCTTATTGTGGCTCCTCCAAACCCCCGCTAAATCTTTCTTAAAGACAAGAAAATAATCCAAATTAAAAATCATTGAAGAGAGGGCGCAAGAAATATAAAGACTATCGGCTTTGAAAGATCTCCGCAGGACCATTGAACTCGTTCCACACGCGCTCCTCCACGACATCATCCTGGCCTACCTGGTCCGCATGGAGGCTGCTTTGAACGTCAGGGCACGTTGAATTTGTTCTTGTCTGGTATACCCCATGCTTGCACTTTCCATTCAATGGTGCCATTGCACCCAAACTTGCTCCCTACTGTGCCAAATAAACCCCGACTTCCTGCTGACCCCAGTCAGATTAAATCACAATGGCCACCCCACCGAAACACTCTTCACCCTCAGATGGGCGGAAGTCGCCCAGTAACCGAAAGGTCCCTCATGCCCTGACAACAACCTTCTTCGCAAAGTCAAAAAAATCTGGAGAGGCGAGAAGTCCTACATTCCCATCACCTACGATTCAGATGAGAGGCTATAGCAACAGACAAGGTGGTGGTGAAGATGTGGAAAGCAGCGAGATGAGATCAGAGCCTATCGGTATCCCACAATCTCCAAGCGTCGCATCAAACCGGCCAAAGAAGCTCGCGCCTAATACATTTAACTCTCATTACCGGACAATTTCGCGATCTATGAATGATTTGGGGAACATCTTCTCACGCGGCCGATCTCCTCCAAATCGAGAACCTTCTCCACGGCGTGCTGGTGGTGGACCATTGAATACGCTTCCAGAAGGAAGACGGAAGGACAAGCCTGACTCTCCTAGATTAAGGACTATAGAAAGTAGAAGTGTTCCCTCGATATCAGTAATGCAACACGGGGAATATGTCTCCCGAGAATCGATTGTGAAGGAAGGTTGGGTGAATATGATAGATTCAAATTCAGTCAAGAAAGGTCCCTTGCGCGAGGCGTGGAAGCTCCAGCACATTATTATCACTGGCGGGTATCTCATGCTCTACAAACCATCATCTAGTCTACAGATAAGATCTTTCGATATCAGTGCAGCTCCATCAAGTCCACCGAGGCCTCAAAGTGCCCCTGCCACAGCTGCAGCCTCGTTTAATGTCTCGACTCTCCGGCACAAAAGCACCAGCAGGCATCCAGAACTAGTCCTTGGTGCAGATGGTGCAATTCTAGGTGGAACAGTTGAAGCCCTTTGCCATGAACTGATGTTTACGGATAACGAGAATGACCAGTTTGTCCAAGGCGCAACTCGAACTTTAGCTGGTTGGACAAGCCCGGAAACTGCTCTGTCGATTTTTATAGAACTTACAACCTTGAGAGACTTGTCGGCTAGGGTTGCATGGGTTCTTACTTTGTTCATTGAGTCCGCTCCCGGAATGCTACTAGAACCTGGTTGCTACAACTCTGCACGGCTTTTACTTGAGAAAGGAATAACTCCACATAACCCTAACCTTGCAAAAGACCTGAGGGCTGGGATAGAGGCTAGGGCCAGTCGTTTACAAGAAGAATTAAGCGCTCCTGCTGACCCAATGAAAGGTGATTGCCCCCGCATATTGCATATATTGAATTTAACTTGCTGATGTTATGATAGAGCCCTCAACGCCTAGCTCCACTGATATATTCAGTACACTATCAACATCACTCCCCACGGAAGAATTTATGCGACTAAATCCTGAAACCTTTGCCACTCAAGTCCATCTTTTTCACCTCAAGTACCTTCAAGCGTGGAACCCAGAAAATGATCTCTCACTGCTTCTCGCGTCACCTCACCTACCTCCGCCCACACACAGAAACCCTTTAATATTCACATCAACTAATATACATTTCCTTGGTGAGCGAGTACTTAGCCATGTATTATCTGGAGATTCAACGGCCAATTCAGTCGATCGACGTGCTTCTATCTTGTCCCAATGGCTCAAGGTCGGAAGTCTGCTACGGAAAAAGGCCGATATGGTTGGATACTTGGCTATAGTTATGGCAGTATTGTCTCCCCCCATTCTTCGGTTGCGTGAGACATGGAGTTTACTCGATAATTCCTTAATTGAAGACATAGAGAATGGTGCAAAACTTATGAGGATCTTGGAGAGACGACGCCTTGAAGAAAGTGATAGCTACGATCATGGCCGCGTACTAGTTCCAGATTTATCGGAAGAGGGATTGTTCTTGTCGGAGGTTGTGCCGTATTTTGGAGACTTATGTCACTGCATGGATGAAGCATATGCGAGCCGTGTTCGGAATGTCGACTATCCTAAATTTATTCAAGGAATGGAAGCCATTTTCAATTCATTAGAGAAATGGAGAGAAGAATGGGTTGACGCTGGTTTGGGCCTCGATCGTGTGGAGAAGAAGACACCTCGGGAGGTCGAGCAGATACAAAAATGTCTTTTTACTTTGAATCTCAACAACAAAACCCCCCCTTCTACAAACTCTACAACTTTTTTCGATATGTCTTTGGCATGCGAACCCTCCTCAACTGGGATGTATCTCCATTCGCATTATCACCAGCGCCTTCCTCTTAGTACCGGCGCCCATGTGCCTCTCGTCTTCACGGATGTTCTTCCCAGCTTCTCTTTATTTGATAGAGAAGATACCTTAGCAATTTCAGGCTCCCTTCACAAAAAGACACCAAGCTCTGGGTTAGCATCACCAAGTTACGGCCCTGGGGTACAGTCCCAGCAGCAATCCGGGCCTTCTCAATCCAATCAGAACCTGAGACCACCAACCTCCTCAGGTCAACAAATTATTAGGCGCACACGATCTTTCCCGCCGTCAAATGACACATCACAAACAACTGGATATGATGACCTGGACTATACAACACGAGAGAGGACTGCAGGGCTACACGGTGGGGATAATGCAATGTTACGTGCAATTCGAGATGTTGCTGGAGTGGGCCAACAATTGTTTTATTCAAAAGATGGTGAATTGGTGTTGAAATCGATTACTGAGGATGCATATTCGTCAAGGCCTTCAAGCGTCATTGAAACTACTAACAAAAGAGTGAGTGGTTCATCTAGAAGAATATCAGCACAGGTTTACAGTAACAGTACGTCACCTCGTATATCGGCCCATGGAGATATAAGCGTACCACAAACGCCTGTTCGTGACGGTTTTGAACTCGAAAGCTTCATGCCTGTGGTGTCTAAAGGAGGGACCCTGGAAAGATTAGTGGACATTCTGGTCTTAGGTGTGGAAGATTTTAGTAAACGGATGAACGCTTCTGAGAGCAATTCACCGCCGCCAGAAAGGCCACCTCTATTAAAAATGAACATGGATGTTTTTACAATAACTTTCTTTGCCACGTTTCGGAGGTAAGGCCCCTTTCCCTTCCGCTTTGCGACGTATATTCTCGCCTTGATCGTACTAATCAAAAGCAGTTACTGTTCGCCCATAGTCCTTATTGATTATTTAAAGAAGCGTCTTCTCGGGTCAAAATCAGCTGCAACCTTATCTAACGACGAGAGTGATGATGTCGTGTTTCCAGATTGGACTGGCCCGGATAATGTCAGTGATGAGCGTATAGATTGGAACCTTGTCGCAAGGATTCATATCGGGATTCTGGAGGCGATGAACATCTGGATATCTGAATTCTATATAGATTTTCATTCTGACCAAACTCTGGGGGATTCCTTTGTCTCCTTCCTAAGCATTGCTTCGAAGGAGTTATCAAACTGGAGAGATCTTGGGCCTGAACATGGCTATCTTCAAAGACAAGCCGATCAGATAAATGACCTTTGGTATGATATCCGGGCCAAGTTTGCAAAACTCAGTTTTACGCCTCTGCGGTACCCAATCCAACCAACACCACCTCAAACACCGGAAGAGCTAGAAATCCGTCACACGAATGATATTTCTGTAATCGAGGATTTTGTGGAAAAGCTTGAGCGAAAGGTCCGCGACTTGTTTCGTATGGTTAAACTGGTCGATTGGATGGTGGCCTTTGAGATTTTTGAAACACAGAGCTCTGAGCCTCTTGGATTCTTCGCCTCAAAAGCTTCGACTATGTCACACGATGATGATGAAGTTCTCCAAGATATCTTTTCCCTATTAAGCAGCATACGCCAGGGTAACTCGTCGATTCCAGTATTAGACACTCTCCCGAAGTCTCTAAAAGAATTATGTGGATTGCGGACAGATATAATGAACTGGGTTCTTGCACAGATTGTGGATCCTGGACTTAACGCCGAACGGCGAGCTCACCGGATATCTACACTTCTGAAATGCTTGGCAATATCGCGAAAACGTATGTCTGGGATGGACTTGATTGAAGACTATCAGTCTGGGGCAACCCGTCAACATGTGCCTTCTTTCGTTGCTGGTGCCATAGCGGCCGCGCTTGTTCGTCCAGAGAGTAGGTGTTTTAGTTATGCCTGGCTAATGGCTGTGCGAATGGCTTTCGCACCAACCCAACAGGTTGACTCCTTAGAGGCTGTCATTCCGAAGGAGATCAAAGGAGCGCAATGTACACAACCTATGACTCCCTGCGCTGGGTGGATTATGGAGCGTCTGTTGGAAATTGTTTGTTACGTACCCAACATGGTCGTGGAAAACAATCGCCTCATCAACTTCGACAAACGCCGCTATGTTTATAATTTTATTCATAATTTCACCAATATCAGTTCTCAATCGCCGCTTCAAGAAAACTTTCCCTCGCAACTAACACCTATTTCGCTCCCAGCTCCGCGTGGCTTTGATATGCGGGCTATCAAGGAATATTCCAACAGGGAAAACGCGCCGATCAAGAATACTCGTACAAAGATTTTCTGGCGACTTCTACACCATGAGCAGGAGAAAGTTAGGCGTGATGCAAAACAAAAAGATGCCATTGAAAGGTTACAACGGCAGCAGCAGAGGGCGGAACATCGCCGCCAACCTACAGCAATCAAAATTGATCCTGCTGATAAACGGAGTGGAAGGCGACTTGGTGTAAACTCTATATTCAAAGCTGTGCGGCCCATATCGATGGCTTTTACGGGTGGATGGACGCCACCTCAATCTTCTGCACGAATAGTGGCCCCTGGAGATCTACCTACGCTAAAAGGCGTTGAACATGGTAAAAAGCCTTCTTCGACGATAGACCTTACAACTGTGGCATCTGTGTCCTGCCCTAAGACCACCCGTGATCATTATATGTGGAGAGTTAGAACCGACCATGGTATCTCATACCTGTTTCAAGCCGTTTCAGAGAAAGAGTTGGAAGAATGGTTGAAAACGATTGAAGTTATCCGTGGAATTGCCACGAGTGATGGTGGAGAGTCCGTCGATGGCCTTACTATGACATCCCAAAACCGTACCCCTCAACCAGTCTTTGGAGTCTCCTTAGAAGATCTCTGCAGACGTGACAATGTCAAAGTGCCGGTTGTAGTTGAAATGCTATTAGGGGAAATTGAATTGCGAGGTAATTACACCAGGATTTTCCAAGCCCTCTTTGTAAATAAAAGCTAACCTTTCATAGGAATCAATGAGGTTGGGATTTATCGTGTACCAGGTTCACTTTCGAGCATAAACGCATTGAAATTAGCCCTCGATTCTGGAGAATATGTTCAAATGGATGACGATCGTTGGTATGACATAAATGCCATCGCCGGGGCCTTTAAAATGTTTATGCGTGAGCTTCCAGATCGAGCCTTGGGGGCCGAAGCCCTTGAACAGCTTAAAAATGTCACTGGTAGGCACAGCTACAGACTTCTCAATACTGCTACTTATTCGGTATCCTAACCTAAATAGTCAACATCACAAATGAGGATGAAAGAGCAGCAGCCTATCGAGAAGTGATGGTTCGTTTACCTCCTTGCAATTATCACTTCCTTCGCCGTGTCTATGTGCATTTCAACAGGTACACACACTTTCTCTTTTATTTATATACTATAATTTCCTAACGAATCGACTTCATACACATAGAATTGCTAGCAACGCTACTATTAATAAGATGCACGCCGTGAATCTCGCTATTGTCTTTGGGATGGGCCTTTCTCCTAGCAACCCAAATATGCCCTTAGGAGTTTCACCGGATCTTGGGCTGTATCAAACAATGGTTAAGATCTGGATTACGCACACCGACCTGATATTTCCTGAGGTTGAAGATGACGATGATCATGAATCAGTATCAGCAACACAGGCCGAATCGTTGGATATGCATTCCTCCGAGCCCTCATCCCCTGCACTAGAGCACACTTCCACAAATTCTCCAAGGATGAGCATGGACGATAAACGGCCAGAATTAAAGACCCTGGAGGGGTTAGTAATCTGAACGGAAATAATAGGGCCCTATTCACTATATTTTCTTTTCAAAAAAAGTTTTGGGGGGTTTTTGATTTTATCTCTAGAGCACTATGGCCGGTTCTCTATATATCATTTGTCAACAAGCGGGGAGATGATGGTTATTTGGCGCATTAAGGCATGGTTATCTCGCTTCTTTACTCGTCGAGATGATCGGTGAGGTTAATTTTCTTTGTTAATTCTTGCGAGAAACTCTCTTCTTCCGGGACATATTCACGGTGTGCTGGATTCAATTATTGAATATCCCATTATTATTTCCCATTTCAGAGTGTAGCCTACCAGTACCTAGCAGTAAGATCGAAATTATCGACTAATCCAGTTCATTTATCAGTACAATCGATTATAAAGTACATGTAGATACACATACTATGTAGAGCGCATCCCTATGTAGCTCCTGTCCACAAATAGTATTTGGGCGCTTGGACGTTATTTCTGCGCTCTATTTTGATTATTAGCCGCGCTTTCAATGGGTGTGTGAGGGCGATCGAAACGCTCTGTGACATTTGGTCAAGTATACGCGCTTATCCAAACAACCCCAAAGCAACACAAAAGCCAAAGACCGATCGAGCAACCGACCCACCCATTCTCCTGTCAACCCTCCTCTCTCTCTCTCTCTTCCTTACATTCGCTTACTCGTTATTACATCAATCACGAAGCTTACCCTTTCTTTCTTTCACCACCACAACAGCTCCATCCCTTCCACAGCAGCATTCAACGCCCTGCTGCCTTCTTTCTTTCAGTATGCCTAAGGAACATAAACGTAGGATCTCGCGATTTCTCTAGCACCTATTATAGCTAACATCTATGGCCAGCCAAATCTCCTGTCGGCCCCACCCCTACTCTTCCAAACTCTGTCGAACAATCATACCGTCAAAAATGTATCGAACTAAAGAAAAGAATCAATGAAATCGAGTCGTCGAACGACATCTTGGTCGTACGTATTCAAAGAGCAAGACGCGGGATTCAGCGGATGAGGCTCGAACGAGCATTTTTGCTTCAGCAACTCGAGCATCGTACGGATCCCCGAGTAGAGGATTCCGACGGTAGTCCAAGCCCGCCTCCTACGGTATAAACGCCTTAAAACATGTTACTATGTTGAAATGTTGGGAAAACGGAAAATACATACATTCCCATGCTAACTTCCATTGAATTATAGCCCAAAGAAAAACCGCTCCGTATCAAACGCGCCCGGAAGGATCCCCCTCCTCTGGATTCTCCAATGCGACAGGTTTCTCCATCTCCAGGACCTTCGAGGGACGACGGGGAGGGATACAACTTCGTTATCTCCACTACATTCAATCAAACCCACCCGGGTGAGACCGACTCTCCGGGTCCTGGCACCATGACTACTCTACCTGTTGCTGTCCCAAAGACGGGGAAAGGCTCTCGGAGCAAAGGTGGGCCAAAAAGACCACCAAATGCTTACATGATGTAAGTTTCGTATAAAACAGTGTATTCCTGCCAAAGCACAACTTTCGCTAACGAGATGCAAGCTTCTGTGAAAAGGAGCGAGACGCAGTCCGTGAACGCGAGTCCAAAAAAGAAGGATTCGACATGCACAAGGCTTTAGCTCAGGCATGGCGCGATCTAAAGGCAGACGGCCAGAAACCATATTTTAACGAGTACGAAAAAAATCGCGAAAAATACCTGGAGAAAGTTAATGACCTTAAAAGCGATGCCGAGAGGGCTACCATGAGTGGTAATGGGGGTGCTGGGAAACGAGCATTGAGAGCGCTCTCTGCGGCTTCTTCTATTGTACCTGCTTCTAATTATGATGCACCACTAAGTCCTGCTCCAGGGAGCACGAACGATGAACAAGATGAACCTCCACAGCAACCTGGAGGTGGAGGGGGCTTCACTGCGGTTAATAGGTGATCATTAGCTGCATTACGTTCGTCAATTTTATAGTAGTAATTTGTAGTGCATCATACTACGGAGCGGTTTTGTTTCGTCACCTTTTTGTTCTTCTTATTCTTCGTCTTTAACATATTCGTGCTTGTTTTGGTTGTCTCCGATTTGAAAAACTAGACCGGGCCAAACGTTCGTCGGGTTAACAAGCTCTAGCTGGTGGAGCGTTACTCGTCATGTATGTATTGTACCAAGTGAAAATCACATGATACCTTTCCAATGGTTCATGCCTCTATATAATAGGTCTCCTCCAATACCCCCGATGATCAGCCCAAGTGCGTGTTGCCTTCCCCAAGTTGTTTCCTTGGTTAAGGATCAAATAATGCTATAACGTATGGTTCCCCCAGTCTTAAAGGTACATGAGAAAAACGCCAAGTCTCGAATAACTTTTCAACCACGATTGATATTAAAAATCTGGAAAGACAAACTCTTCTTCATCATGGTATCCAGCTTTTCTCTTTCCAGATTTTTAATATCAATCGTGGTTGAAAAGTTATTCGAGACTTGGCGTTTTCTCATGTTACCTTTAAGACTGGGGGAACCATACATGAATTGAACCAACATTCCTGTGGTTACTTGTATAGTTTTATAATTAGCTAGATACAAATGCATTTATATGGTTTAAGTAAATAGCACATGTACTAGTACTCTACTGTATGCTTGGGTTTTAACTATGGTTATGATACATGTAACTGCTAATACTCTAGTAAACTGTAACCAGATCACATGACAGCTCAAGAGCTCACACGTTGATGACCGGGTAATTGAGTGACGTACCTACAGCTTCCCCTCCCCCAGCTCAAGGAGTTATTATCTCCTCTACCACAACAAAGATGTCCCTCGATACTCCTAAATACCTTGTGGAGCTGTTCTCTAACATCAGAGGACGTTCTATCGCTTGGGATGCTCATGTGAGGGCTGGTCTCATTACCGAATCGGATGTCAAGAAGATAAAGGCCATCGATAAAGTCTCAAAGGAGAAGCAAGTCAGCGTTGTTGAGAAAGATGTGGACGGTTATGCCTCACTTGTTCTAGGGCCACAAGGTGGATTGAAAAAGGCAACTGATGGCAAAAGAGTCGATGTCGTGACGTATATGTTAGTCTTGCTGGGAGACTTGTTAGAGAGTGTGTTTACCTTTATTCACTAGGGTCGAGCTTCTGCTGACTTCTAGACCAGGCGTTCCTGCGTTTACGGAATCCCTTTTGGCACTCCCTTCGCCTTTTTCTCACCTGTTATCGCTCCTATCACACACCGATGAAGCTGTACCTCTTCTCAGTTCTTCGGTTCTCACCGCAATGCTTACAGCATCCTTGAAATCCTCTTCCAAACCCACCTCTGATACCGAAGCTGCTCTCCCTCAACTATATCGCTATCTCGCGGGCTTGACTAAATCCCCAGATGTTCATCTTCAAGATATAGCTATCCAGTCATATGTTTCCCTTCTGAGAAGTTCATATGCTAGAATTACCTTCTGGGAACTCAAAGAGGAGACAGTTGCACCGATTGTAAGAATCTTAGAGAGTGCTGGAAGTCAAAACGGAAATTCGAGTGATAGAGGAAGTGTTTTGGGCAACCCTGCAACCGCACAAGGCGGTGTTGCTTTGCAGTTATTATATCATGTTTTACTCGTGATCTGGGAGTTAACATTTGAAGAGGTGGTTGCGGAGGAGATCAACGCGTGTGTCGCACCTTCTACAATGAGGAATAAAAACCTCCGTTTGCCATCGTGAGAACCATAGCTAATTGATAAAACGATATTTACAGTAAGTACGACATTATTCCACCCATAACAGACATCCTCAGATCGGCCTTCAAAGAAAAGATAACGCGTTTATGTCTTGCAACCCTGTCTAATCTCGCTACAAAATCGCCTTCGTTAAACCTTCCCCCACTTCTTCTTTCAAATGTCCTTCCACACTTGCAGACAATCTCAACACGATTTACGTCCTCCTCAGACCCAGATCTCACAGCCGACCTCTCAACCCTGATAGACTCCTTAGAAAATTTCCAGTCCTCACAAACAACCCTTTCTTCGTACCGTCTCGAAATTTTGTCTGGTCATCTTCGCTGGTCGCCTCCGCACCGTAATGAAGGTTTTTGGAAGAAGCACAGTCGGGAAATTCTCGAAGATTCCGAACTTGTGAAGGCGCTCGCGAGAGTTTTAAGCACCAGCCAAGATAAAACAGTCCTTGCTGTTGCTGCAAACGATGTCGGTGCTCTTGTAAGAGAGGTTTCAGGGGGTAGGAAGAAATGGGAAGAGCTTGGCGTCAAGAGCAGGGTTATGGAGCTGATGGGAGATAGCGATGCTGAGGTGAGGTATGAAGCGTTGAAAGCAGTGCAAGGGTTCCTGGCGAATGCTTTTAGCGGTTAAGTTTTCTTGAAGTTTAGAAATATAAACTACAAGCGAATTCATGCTAGCGGTGGCTTTTACTTTTTTTTTTAGAGATGTCTTTTTCTCGATTTGCTCTTGGGAATTTCCGTTACTTTTGTTACTATACGTGCTTTCTGTGCATATTATATCATTATAGTTCGAATCATCCCTAGCATTATTTTATCACATGTTTATACATAATTGAAAAAGACATCGTCATAGATAATCACTCGATTATGTGTCAGGCCTAGCGCATGGCATCGCATCCATGTTGACCAAGTTGTCAAATGCGGTTCTAACTAAACCCATACAAAAACATCCGAATTAGTGTATTTGCTAATGTAATGGCCATTACTGCATAATCATAATGGAATTTGGATTTATTTACGAGTGATATTACATGATTTAACTACCGAGTGCCTTATTAGAAAAGAATGCATGTCACGAAGTTAAAATTTTCGCTATAAACTGGAAAACCCATTTTTGCCTACCTCTTGCTGGCGATCTGTCGCCTGAATCTCTATAGTATGGGCAAAAGAACCTAGTCTCGATAAACTCAGACCTTGAGCGGGTTCCCCAATAAGTGGCCAATTAATACCCGGGTGATCCGAAATTAGTTAAATTTCAAATTGGGGTACATACAGCTCCCTGGCTTATAAACCCTACATCGACCTGCCCCGGAATTAATCCTCTACTGCCTGCAGTCTGGCGCAAGACTACATGCTACCCTCAAACATAAAATTCAATAGGAACTTTGTTATTCCCATAGTGTTAAGCGAAAGGGAAAAAAGGAAGAAAGTGCTAGTACGTGCTAAAACTGTAAATGAACATTTCAACTAACATTTCAACTAACATTTCAACTAACAAAGCGCGGATATCACGTTATAAAACATAAAAAAGTCCTCGTACACTCTCCTGGCCTAAACTAACCTACCCGACCAAACATTATCCCAAGCATCCCTAGAAACCTATGCAATTTGTGCCGTCGCTAGAAGTAACTGCAAAAAGACAAAAAAAAACCCCCATTCATCCATAACAGAGTCCCATCCTGAAATGTGAGTAAACATCCAAACTAAACATCTTCCCTAGATCCCCTTCCGTTTATACCATAGGTGGTAGACCTTCCAGATTGACCTCTAATATTTTCCCAATCAGCACCTCGAGAACTTTCCCTGAGTAAGCTCTCCTCCTCGTCAATTTCGTCATCTTCATCATCCGACATATTGCGAAGGCGGGGTGTCTTAATAAGCCCGATTAAGAGAGTGGTAGTGTAAACCCCAATGAATGCAAACTGTCCCCAGAAAGCGAACGCGCCAAAGAAGGGAAAATTCAATGTCACACGGTTAATAAAAGTGGAAACAACAGTTGGCGTACAGATGTATTGCGGGGCAGATTCTGAGCAGAACACGATGAGCTCTGGGTTTTGACTGCAGTCAAGAAACAGATCACCAGTTAACTGTAACGTTTAATGTTAGCCGTTTTCGAAAAAAGAGGAAAGAAGAGGATTATTCGGTAGGAAAATCTGGAGAATTATTACAGTGTTGTTGCAAAACTTCTGGCCTCCATAATGAGCGTACTGCGGGGCTATGATCATTGTAATGGCGTAATTGATTGCCAAAACCATGAGCGTTAAGATAACGGTAGCTAGGAGCATTCCTTGAGGTTTCGTGTGTCCAGTTTGAATTTTGAACAACGATACCCACAAGAATCTGATACCAACGAATGCTGCCCCAACAACACTGCCAACAAAAAGAAGTAATACCAACAACAGAGCTAATACATAATCTGCTGGGAAAAAGTTGCTGGCAGTCACAAACAACCAGTTGATGGGGTTAAATAAATTGATCTTGGCCAAAATGTACCCACAGCGATTTCCACAGACAGAGTTCTTGGACTTGTCCACAGACGTTAACAGCATTGAAGTAACAACCGAGAGTGAAACGACTAGGACGAAAATGCCGAAGATAATCTCGAGGGGCCTCCCAAGTGCTTTCAGCTTTCCCAAGAATCTACGACCCTTTCTGCCACCTTCTTCAGCGATCCTCTCCCGACGCACTAAAGTTCTTTCTTCCCTTTGTAGACTTTCCATTTCACGTCTATCTTTAGATGTAAAATTAGCAGTAGTACTGCCTCCATACTTTGCTTCAATCATTCTTTGTCTCTCGCGGTTGAAAATGAGATCCTCGTGGACTGATGCGGAGCTAGAGGCGGTTGATGCTCCAGGAATGGATTTTATATAGACCATAGGAGTGAGCGCCAGGCCGGGGGCAGTATAGCAAACGTAAGGGAGTATTCCAACACAGAGAAGAGCGCCAACAATAAAAGTCAAAATGCGCTCCCCATCTTTTGAGTTTTTTTCTCCATCAGCATACAAAAAAACAGAACCAAATAATGGGATTTCACTTACTGTTGGCCAAAAGAAGTTTCTTGAAATAATCAAGGTCCCAGTGTCCTTTAGTATCATTTGCGACAGGAATAAAAAGACCCACGGTCATTAAGATAAAAATAAACGCAACAAAACAAAGGCTATACTTGAGCGCGCCTTTTATCCTTTGCCAAGCACTTGTATCAACATCCCACTCCTCGTACCTAAGTTCACGCTAATAAGCTAATTAATTCTGCGAGGAAAGATATAGAAAGACTGTACCAAAAATAGGCGAACGGAATGATAAGTAGACACATAGCTGCATCGAGTGAATAAAGGCTGTAGTAAACTATCTTCAATTGTTGTACAATCCTGGCTACAGTTTCAACATCTGCCCATTCTTTCTTGAGGCCCGTGGCATTATTCGTAGTTATTGAAACAAGCGCGATATCAACCGGAAGTAGACAAACAGTTGCGAGAAGCGATGATAGGGCGAGAACACAGACAATAGTTACGAATGCGTCGCGGTCATGGCGGTCCTGGAAGATTCTAACCTGATTCGAGAATTAGCAATAAATTTCATAACAAGGCAAGAGAAAGCTAACAAATACTGCGGCAGATATGACAAGAAGTGATAAGACGACACCGGCGCTTGCCCAGATAACAGGTATTTGGACAGATAATGTCCCTAGTTGTGGTAATAAGGTATCCATTGTCATGAAAAGATCAAGAGGGAGGGAAAGCACAGCTTATGAAAGACGTCCCCAGCTGGAGAACGAAGGAGGTTGTTAAAGCTGTTAGGAATGAGAAGCTAAGCGAGTTGTATGACGTTGCAATGCCAGCCAGTTGTCGCCGCGTCACTAAAGTCTGGAGTAGTGTCGCGGAACGCGTGATCAGCGGTATTGGCATTGCTTTTTGTCATCTCGTTATATCGGATTCTGGTATCGCGAAAACGAGATACACATGAATCATTATATAAATATTGCTCGAACCATATTTGCATAAGGCAATACAGCTACATACTTCCTGTGTGTACTTATACAATACAGTAAAGCCTATAAAATTTTGTATCCCTGTAACCAGCTTTTGTTGTCACTTCAGACGGTGGGGATTTGCCTGTAGTAAGGATGGAGGGTAGGATGGAGGACTTCCAGGAAAGCTTTTATTGCAGAAACTTCGAAGAATTGGACGTGATAGGATCGGCCTGTAACTTCTTCTATCCCCTTTGCGTACCTGTATACATGTATTTGCTCTACCGACAGACACCAGACAAGATCATTTACACTTAATGTCATTGAACAAGTCTTTATGCTTCTGACAGATACGCCAGCACGCCCCTTATGTTATTCTATCAACTATCGAAACATAGTTTTCCTCGGTGTTAAGTTATCGGTGAATCTTAGCTCTCATGAACTGGCATACGCGTATTATTATCCACAGTCGAGTGAGGAAAGATGTTTGGGTGCCTGATCTGCTGAATGAACCAGAATCCCGAACGATCCATCCGGTCTCCTGGTTTTAGATATAAGCATCCAGTTTCAAATATTTACATGAGATTTATGCCTGCTCAACCGTAGCCATTGTTTAAAATCCGGCCCTGGAAAAGCCCATTGTTTCTCAATTCTGTTGATGTAAATAGGTTGTTAGATATGTAGGTACATACATGTATCGTTGGTAGACTTAACGACAGGCTTAGCAACCCTAACCCTGCACTATAATCAATGAAATGATTAAAAAACATGCACATGCTTTTTCGGCCATTCCTCTTGGTTACCCTGCTTTCGATAAAATTTGAATGTTAGCAGTCACGGGTAAACCCTAATGCGCACGCAATTCTGAAACCCGCCACTCAGATCTTGGCAATTCTCCCCAGAAGGTCCTGCAACTGACCCTATCGCCAAATAACCGATCAGCCCAGCGTTCAAACAACCTCCACGCCGAACTAAGATATTCACGCAAGAAGTCAACATCAAAAGAACACCGATAAATCGTCAAAATGGTACGTTTGCTCCTTTTACCATTTTCTGGGGCTCGACGATATTGGGATTTGCCATGCGTTAGGAGTTGGCGGACATAGGCCCGGGCCAAAGCGGCAATTTCCCTTCCAGATGTCACCGAGCTCTGGATGAAATATCCTCCTTCGCGGTAATTTGAAGCTAATTGGAATTATTGTATCGTATAGGTTCTCGCTGAAGATCTCCTTAACCCTGCTCCCGCCGCCGAGGCCAGGAAGCACAAGCTTAAGGTACTTTCCCTACATCTTATCAACTTTATCATCGGATTCCGAAATCTAATGGGTTTTTTTCCAATTTAACAGACCTTGGTCCCTGCCCCGCGCTCCTTCTTCATGGATGTTAAGTGCCCTGGATGCTTTAACATCACCACTGTCTTCTCGCACGCCCAGACAGTCGTCATCTGCGGTTCTTGCGCCACCGTTCTCTGCCAGCCTACCGGTGGTAAGGCTCGCCTTACCGAGGGTTGCTCTTTCAGGAGGAAGTAGAACGATAATATGTCCAAAGTTTAAAAAAATAAAAATTTGGGGAAAAAATAAATTTCTTTGTTCATCTGGGGAAGGAGCAGGGTATTGGGCTGTGGTTCCGGAGGAAAGGGGTTGGAATCATCAAAATTTTCAACTCGGTTTTTTTTGTTCTTACAATTTATTCACCTTTTCTTTTGCTTTGAACCGGCACAGTGCGGATACGAACCTTCTCTTTTTTTTTGAATATGGATTGGATCCCACCTTGGAGAGATATGAGCGAGGAGTTTGGAGATCTTGATTTATGATATCCAAATGTTATAGCCACGAACCATAACGCCAGTCTTCCCAAACTCTAATGGCCGAGAGTGTTCTCACTAGTGTATATACTTTAGACATTATTTCCGTCAATAGCAGGTTGCATATCCTGGAATGAATGCACGCGATTAGCAGGCTTGGATTATCGATTTTGGTGATATCAATACAAATATCATGACTTGCTGTCAATGGCCTCAAAGAACAAAAAAACCTCCCGCATTCAAGCTTACGCTATGTACATGTATGTAGCTTCCGCTGGTTGCATAACACTATTATTATGCCTGATTCTACTATTTGCCACTTGGCCCTAGTTTTACATTCCATTCAACTATCATCCCGAGATCCCCGGAACCCTGGTAACCTTACCACCTATTTCAATATAATAGACATCAATTCTCTTTCGAAAATTACCATTGTACAGCGGTAGGTAATAAGTGATGGAACAGAGCAATACTTGTTTTGGTAAAACGCTACTAACATTTGGTGTTTGTACCCTCAGGGCGTTCCATCACTTATTACCTGTCGCTGTACTTCATAGGCTGGGTCTTCACAGATTTTCGTTCCGATAATTATGGTGCTAATCACATTCGGCTCAAGACCACTGTAATACTCATCAATCACCGAGCATAGTTCCAGGACCTTAGCAGAGGGATAGCTTGATAGAAGGAAATACCAGAATGCACAAAGTTAAGAGTTCTGAAACCATAGCCGAGAAACTATCTAGGTCTTTATGAAGATCGTGCAGTAATAGACTTGTATGTGAGATGTACTGAGGACAATTGCAAAATTCGTGAGTAGGCCATAGCTACGATTACTTCCCTGTATATTTTAACGCGATAGAACTTACGCATTGTACAGAATTATTAAAATGTCCAGGGCATTGATAACCCCAAGTTCCGGGGGAATGAGGGGGGAACCGCACGCTCGCGGGCACCAAAAAACAAATGGATTTCTCCGTATTGTCAAAATTTAGTTCCGAAATAATAAGCCGGGGGTGTTACTGGCTTCAAATTTATCAAAATTAAATGTTATCCACAAAATAGTTCTCAATATTAACGTACTATAGCGCTGACGTTTTATCGTCAAAAGAGGATAAGAAGGCTCAAATTTTAGAACCCATTATAGGCTGCGCTTTGAGTCCTTTCTTACTTTAGGTTATGTATACAGTTATCACATGCTCCTTTCAAAACAATACAGGTGCATACAGAGTCAAGGAGGTGTATGTATAGATGAATTTATGTATATAGTCGCTATAAAAGAAGTTGTTGGAGTTGATCTTTCGTATACTAATATTTTAGAATTTCCTCCAAAGAGTAAAATGGTGGCCTATTGAAAGAAACAATTAAGTTTCATTCATAGGAGCTGTCAGCTTGAATTGAAAGAGCGGAGCAAGTAACCAAAAAACTGACGATTCCGCTATTCTATAGTTAATTTATACTGTTCTGGTAGTTTAGACCATCTTTTGAGTTAGTTTCAGTAGGTGGGTGGTTGGATAGCCAAGATTCGAATAGAGTCACTGGAAATCACTCGCTATTGCCAGGTTTTTTTTCTTCTTCCTTTTATCTCGAAAAAAATAAGATAGTTGTTGGGGAGATTAGAATAAACAGTATCCGGAACAGTTTAGTACGCGGGTACTTTAGGTATAAGAAGCTTCTACACCAGTGGTCCCCCCAAGAACATAGACCTGATTTCGCCAACACGTTAGAGCTATCTTTCAACAAAAATAGATAGGGGTGAGAAGCATACTTTTTGATATCTTTGACCCAAGCTTTATTGGTGTTTTTATCCACCAAAATAACAGCTTGTCCTCTCCGGCCCATCCTTCCAGTTCTTCCTAACCGATGAATGAAGTCTATTGTGCTGAATGGAACATCGTAAAGAACAACGTTCTTTACGGTCTTTGTATCTATTCCTCTGCTTGAAATATCCGTAGTTACTAGCACTGACATTCTGTCTTTCGCTTGAACCTCGGGACCAACAGCTGTTTTAGGGCCCGTAAAGTATTCTAGAACCGAAGCTTCTTTGCGGTTTGACGTGTCTCTCTCTAAACTAATGGCATCAAATCCCTTTGATTGGAGATAAGACGTCAATGTTGCTGTTGATTCCCGTTCGTTGACAAACACGATGACCTTCTTGATGAATCCCACTTCACTTTCGTCCTTGGAGATTTTGTGAAGTGTATCTGCACATGCAAGGGGCTTATTGCCTTTGTACGGCTCGGCATCAGCATCTACAATAGATAGCTGAACACGCCGAGGAATTGCATGGAGATGTGGAGTAACAAGTCGCGTCATTTCGGGATAGAGTTTGCGGAGACTTCGATCGAGAGACTTCGGGATAGTTGCGGAACAAAGAACAAGACGTTTTAGATTCTCGGCTCTTGTTATAATTGCAGAAGTCAAAGGAGAAAAAGTACGATCATAGAGAGAATCTGCCTCATCGACGATAATATGACTGCATTTCGATAGAATTCTAGGGTCGTCTTCAGCTAGGCTGGATAGAAGGTGTGGGGTAGAAACAAGAATATCAACCGGTCCCGAGAATAGTCGTCTTCTAATGACAACACCAGAGAAGTCTCGAGATATTAGAGCGGAACGTAATTTGACGACATGTGACATGGATTTGATAACCCCACCAACTTGGTTAACCAATTCTGAAGTGGGAACAAGTATGACAACTTGGGGTTTGCCATTGTTTTCTCTATTTTCCACGATTGGCCCTTCAAGCTCGAATAATGCATCCGGTTTTTTCCGTTGCTCTTGAAGCAGCTTTTTCCCCCTCCCCTCCTCCTCCTCCTCCTCCTCCTTCTTCAGAATCTCCTCCTCACGCTTCAGGAAATCCATCACAGGAATAATATATGACAAAGTCTTCCCTGAGCCAGTCTCGGCTGCAATGAGGAACGATTCAAATCGACTTTGGGATACGGCCTTTTGCCTAGCCTTTAGACCCATGCCTGTCAGGGCCGGAATGACAAGTCTCTGAACGGCAGTGGGTTGAATAGTCGCCAAATCGCCTAAAGCCTCTTTAGAAATGGCCTCTTTGACGCAATCTAGTAATTCGAAGTCATCAAATGAGCTCCAAGGCTCGATAGTTGATCCAACATTTGTTCTTTGGGTCCATGAAACTGGAGACAGGGACTGTGCCATTTTCATGTGTTTGAAATTAGGTTTGGATTTTCGAGTTCGGTCTTGTACCTGCGCTTGTGTCTGTTGTCGGTCACCCAAGGTATTCGAGTCAGGTCGTTTTCCAGGTCGCCTATCACGAAGAGATCCAGGGCGCGGGGGTGGAAGGTTTGCCTCTCGGAGATTTAACCCGCCGGCGCTCGGTTTTTGCTTCCTGTTGGCAACACGAGTAGAAAGTACCAAGCGAGAAGGGCGGTCTCTTTTACCGCCGGCCATACCTCGTGAAAGAAATTGGGGGGATGTTAGCCTAGTCGGAAAGGCTGGGTAACCTAAGCGGTGTAGACATCGTAGGCATGCTATTGTTTTTATTGACTGTACTCGGAACATTATAGCGATGCTTGTGGAGGGGTAAAGAAGGAGAACGATGCCTGACGTCTCAGGATGGAGGGGGAAGAATGAAAGGAAAAAAAAAATTATGTGAATGAGACTATGAGCAGGAGCTAGTTACCCGAGGGGAATTTATGATTGGCTAAAGTCAACACGAAAAAAAGGAAAGACCAATTAGGCCAATCAATCCACCAAGACAAGTACCATGCCCCATGCTTGCGCAGTGATTCTCACGCATGCAAATTTATCGGCGCCGGGATGAACACAGCTGGGAGGGCGTGCAGGGAGAAAGCAAGTGCTGAGGGTGCCTAGAGTGGTGTAAGTGCTGTCGATCCGTCCACCGCGGTGATTGGTTGTCGCAGCAACGTCGGTCCCCCCTCTCGCCTCCGCTGTTTGTTTTCACACCGACACCGCACCTCCGACTACGTTCCATGTGTACACAGTGTATAATGTACACACAGTCTGGCATAGCTCCACAGCAACTCGCAGGTACCGCACTCGCCTTCTGCCTACCCATCTCTGTCCCCCTCTTCCCATTCACGCATCTTGTTCCACATCTTGCATGATTTGGGCGCTCGAGTAGAGTAAACAGCATCCAACTGCACGACACACTCGCATTCCCTCTGTTGTGATCTCCCTGCTCCACCCTTATTGTATCCACTAAGGTTCCGTCACTTACATATCCCTCCGTCACCTACATACCACCCATACCTCCATCCTCTTCCATCCATCCACCCTCCGTCCATCCACCCATCGTCCATCCATTACTCACTCTTCTATCATTTCACTCCCACTCCCACTTCCACTCTCACTCCCTCCCATCACTCCCATTCTCATTCCCATTCCCACTCTCTGACTCTCGCTCACCCACGCCCCTCTCTATTCTCACTGATACTCTTTATTTTGTTCGTTCCTTTTGTTTCCCTTCGCATACCCCCCCCACCCCCCCCCTCTGTCAACATTCGGTTTCAACATCTCTTTAGTTTGTTCTTACATTTGATTGTTTGGGAATACTGGTGCTCTCAACATCTACCTTGTCTGTTTATCGGTGGAAGCCGATCTGTCATGGCAACAGGGCCAGTGGTAAAACCCCCTATCATCGCTTGTACCTAACGTTTGGCTTCTGATACAAAACTGTAGGTCACCCCCCTTCGCATACAGAAACAACCAGCTTCCTCGGAATCGGAAACACCATCTCCTAGAAATATTTTACCATCAACACAGCCACTTTCAGATATCAGCCCAATGGAGCGAAGGAGGAATAGCCCTTCCAACAAAGAGGGATCAAAGGTGCGCATTTCTACCAGCTACGATCTTTTTTTCCGAGCTGACATTTTTTCCTCCATCTTAGTCACCGACCAACGAAGATGTCCCTTTGTCCTCACCATTCCCAGGTTCCATCACAGGCTCTATCAGGACAACAACTCCTCGAGCAAACCGAGCGTTTTGGGAAACAAAGAGTCAAGAGAATAATCGCCCAGGCGGTTCCGCCCCTGGGCGTAAATCATCTCTGGAGAAATTGAAGCGGGCTTCTCGGGTGCAGAATAATACCAAAATCTTCCAAAAGCCAAATGACACAGCTCCACCACCCCGACCCATGAGTTATCATGGTCCTAATGGTTTATCATCGCCATTTATCACCCCCAGATCTCCCAAATAGCGCGAAATAATTCTGTGATACATAATTCGAGACTTCCATTATTAATGCCCAAAAAGCCGGAGGATTCGATTCGTCCAGAAACCCCACCCAAACCCAAGCTAACTTCTATTCTTTCAACCCCTAGCGGCCCTAAAATGCCAAGACCATCTTTGGTATCCTCGTACAGAACGAACACTTATGAAGGCGAAGGCGGATCATACTTAGAAGAGGCAGATGGACATGAACAGACTAATAGGAGTCCTAACCGTCGACCAAAATCTGTCACATTTGACAAAGAACCTCCAGATGTTTTGCACTATGAAATGGTTACTCCAGATCCATCTGTGGAAGGCTCACCGGCATTGGGATATGATTCGGATGAGGATGAAGAGGATGAAGACGAGCTGGAATATACTCCAGTTATCGAGCCTGATCAATGGGAAAGTATGACACCAGAGGCCGCGGCCGCAGCCTTTGAGGAGTCCTTCCGTTCGACGCCTTCGCCAAGTGCACGGCCACTCCCACCAATTCCAGGACCTAATTCCCGAAGAGATAGTAGCAGTCCCTCCGGAAGCCGACCTCTACCTAGCATTCCGGTGACCAAGGCCGATTTAGAGAATTTAGAAAAGGTACCACTGGAGGAACGGGTAAGACTAATGATGCAGGAGGATTTGGATGAAAATGATCATTCATCTCGACGACGCTCCACTGAGTCCACCCAAGAACATGACGGCGAAGAATCTGGCGGTTTAGGTATCATGTTGGACAATATGTCCCTAGACGGTAGAGAGCGAGAAAGCGAGGAAGAGGAGATGGGAAATGGGAAGCACGAGGCATCCCATGAAAGAATGAGCCCGGCACAGATAGAGGAAGGTGATATCTCGGATAAAGAAGAGACTTCGCCAAATTCGAATAGAGAACCCGAGGAGGAAAATAGTTCTTCGAGTCAGTTCGAGTCAACTTCCGAATACGAGCCTCCTCCACGTTTATCACGGGAATCAATTAGGCGCCAGGTTGAAGCACGCCGTGAAAATTCAATCGATTCACAGCAACTGGATGAGGAAGGTTACACCACGGAGAGCTCTTACACATATGATCAAGATGTTTCAGCAGACGAAATAGAATCTCATATCAAGCAAGAACAGTCTGATGACGAATCGGTCGATATCTATGCAATCCCTGAAATGTATCATGTTCCAGAGCGTCCGGCCTCACGCTTCAATACTCGATCACCAGATCCATCGCAGATAACTGAGTCAGAAGCTTCACGATACGATGATGATAATGAATCCAGATACAGTGAATTTGAAGACGATGATAGTTCTGTGTTGGCCACCCCTGTCATCCCCTCGAGAGAAGAGTCTACTCCTACCCCGACAAACTTCGAGACAGCAATAGCTATCGAAAAGGTAGAGCATGGGGCTGTAGATAAACAGGTTTTAAATGAAGGACTGGTAAGTGAAAACATAGAAGCCAGAACTTCACCTGAGAACCCTAGGATGAGCCTTCCAGAGTTTGGAACAATGTTCGAAAGCGATGATGGTCTCGGGCTTAGCTCATACATGACCCCTTCTCCGCCTTTACCACCTGTTGATGCACCTACGCCGGAACCATTGGAGCTTACGCCATCCAATCATGTTGTTCATGAGCAATCAACACAGCGAATCGAGTCCCCCAAAGATCAAGTCGAGCATGATTTAGACGAATCTGTTTATGATGAGGAAGAGGATACTGGGTCGGTCATCAGGCATAAGATTTATGACTCTGATATTGAGGAGGATGATGAGGATTATAATAGCGGGGAAGAGATAGATGATGGAGAGCTCAGCGATACCGGTACCATCCAAGCGACTAGATCGCCTTCACCAGTCGCAGAGTCAATTGCAACGATCAGAGTACCAAGTGGGAAGTTGAAGACGAGGGCAAGCGCAACACCAGCTGATATGGCGGCGATGGCTGCAGCCCGTAGACACATCAGCGGAGAACACAGGGCTCCGCCACCAGTCCCCCGAATTCCAGACGGGTTTGACAATGATGACTTGAGCGACGACGAGGAAGAAATTGCGGCTGCCAGTTCAGATTCGGAAATATCTAAGAGAAAGGTCTCCGACAAGCAGAGGAAGTCTATCGGCCTCCCAGCACTTGGTGATATTGAGTTTGATTTCAAGGTAGATGATCTCACAGAGGAGTTTGATCGTGTTATTGAGACACAAAAGGTATGTGTTCATGCAAAATTTGGTTTCTATCTTAAAAGCCTAACAATACATAGAGGGGATACCTTATGCGCCAGAACACACGCATCATTCATGCGTCTAGTCGGGATCCCGAAGAGGATGAAGCAGAGCCTGCCCCTCGTCCTGGTCACTCACGCACTCAATCTTGGTCTGTAGAGCCGTGGAGAAACTCCACACGGAGAAAGAGTCAACGTGACTCAATTGGTGCCACCAGTACATCTCCAAGAAAACGGCCATCAAATGTCCCACCAATTCCTCTACCAGATAAGAATGGAAACGTATTGCCCATTGTGGATGAGAATGAGGCAGCTAGTACGGATTCGCAGGCCGAGGATGGTGCAGAGAGGGGTAGATTATTTGTTAAAGTTCTTGGCGTCAAGGACTTAACTCTCCCGCTGCCTCAAGGCAAGACATCCCACTCTATAATTCAAGTAAATATTTAACTTACTAATCTTGGTATCTATAGGTCAACCAACATATTTTTGCCTGACATTGGATAATGGACTCCACTGTGTGACAACATCGTGGTTAGAATTGGGCAAGAACGCGCCAATCGGCCAAGAATTCGAGTTGTAAGACATTAAAAATCGGTTTAGATTGTTACCAGAGTGCTAACAATTGCAGGGTTGTTTTAAATGACCTCGAATTCCAGCTCACTCTTCAAACAAAGTTGGAGCAACCACCGCCTGCCCCACCTAAAGCAGTAGTTAAGGCTCTTCCACCCAAGCCAAAACAATCTACTTTTAGCAGAGTTTTTACCACCCCTAAGAAACGAAAACAACTAGAGCAGCAAATGCAGCAAATGCAACAACTAGAGCAGCAGCAAATGCAGCAGCAGAGGCAAGAAACGCCACCTCCTGCTACTGCATGGGATCTCCTTCACGGTTTAGTTGCACGAGATGGCTCGTTTGCTCGTTCGTATGTCTGTCTTACAGATTTTGAGACTAGGGCATATGGACGGCCATTCACCACGGATATCAATTGCTTCAACGAGTGGGCGGTGGATACTGCTAGTGTGAAGAGCAAGAAAGGCTTGCAAGGTGCTCTGCAGCCTGCCAGGAAAGCACCTTACAAAATCGGGAAATTAGAAGTCCAACTCCTATTCGTCCCAAAGCCCCCAGGGGCCTCGGAGGTGAGTCAGCCAATTATAATACTACAAACCAGATGCTAAGAGCTAGTAGAAGGATCTTCCAAAAAGTATGAACGCTGCTATTCGTGAGTTGCGCGACGCCGAAGCTACTATGAATAAGACCTGGGAGGGCACTCTGTCTCAGCAAGGGGGCGATTGTCCTGTAAGTCTTCTTACGTTTATTTAAACATTACCCTAGCATTTAAACTAACTTTGAATGTCAAGTACTGGCGCCGAAGATATTTCAAACTTGTTGGCCCAAGGCTGACCGCATATCATGAAGCAACACGCCAGCCTCGTGCCACTATCAACCTTAGCAAGGCATCAAGGCTCATCAATGACAGGAATACCCTTCTTGATCCAAACGTTAACGGTCCTGGGAAGTCCCGTCGCAAATCTGGATTCTCTGAAGACGAGGAGGGCTACATGTTTGTTGAGGAGGGTTTTCGTATTCGCTTCGCCAACGGCGAAGTAATCGATTTTTATGCAGATTCTGCAGAAGATAAAGAAGGGTGGGTCAAAGTCCTCAGCGAGACCATAGGTCGCATCCCCGACAAGCGTGGTTGGTGCGACATGGTTATATCCAAGGAATCCAAAGAGAGGGCAGAGAAGGAAAAGACACAGGCAGCTGTAGCTCGAGTTAAGGCGCAAACTCAGATGCGCCAAACACCACCGATGCCACAACAGTCAAGACCTCAACCTGCTCAGCCCCCAAGATCAAACCGTCGACCCCCACCTGCACACCTATACCGATAGTGACAGTTGTTTCAACGCGATAATGATACTCACGCCTATCATTTGCGACACCACCAAAATGGGTTTACCTCGTGACAATAAGTCACTGACTGCATTTTCATGCTTATCTTTTCTCATATTTCCCCTGTATTTTCTACGCTTCCATGATATCTTAGGGTTTCTTTGGTGTATTACTGCTGCAGGTTTTATCTTTCCTATTGTTGATCTTGTTTTCCTTTACGTCTTAATCTCATTTGTAGTGGGTAATATCTCTTTTAATCGCATGGAGTGTTGGGAGCGTTGCAATTAGTGAGCGATTTTGGTTTTATTTTTCTTTAAGTGGATTTTTTGAAAAGAGGAGGAAAGAGAGAAGTGACGATACACTGTACTGATTTTGAGAATCGAGTGTTTCCTTTGTTTCTTTTCCATATATTAGGGTGGGCAGGAGCATATTTTTGCAGCGCAAATGAGCCCAGAGGGCTCAAATCTTAGTACATAGTTTTGTTTAGCGGATTGTGTTTTCTTTATCAAAAATACCTTTTACTAGTTACTGAGAATCCAATAAAGTGCCTTATTTATACGCCGGGTTTGCCGCTTCTATCAACTCGTACAACTTTCTTGACCGCATATTCCTTTTGAGCCTTTTTTAACTGGGGGGCCGTAGTCGTCATCGCCTTAATCATAGTGGTTTGATAACCCGGAAACCCTTCCAGCCACGGAATCTTGATTGCTGGGACATTCCCATCAAGAAATTGCAGCAACACGGTGGACCCTGGAGCACCTTCCATCAACCCAAGAAACCCGGCTTGTGGGATTGCAAGAGAGGTTTCCAACCGCGCCTGCGCCCCTTTGGGGAGTTGAACAAGTCTGATAGGGAGTCCCGGAGATGCCTTAGAGACAATACCACATAATAAAGGAAGATGAGAATGAAGTTGCGAAGGCTGCGAGTCGGAACGGCAGACAAAGACGGCGAGGCGGGGCCTGGGCGTTGTGGTTTCGGTTGGTAGTGCCTTAGCCAAAGATTCAAGGTGCCTGGTAGTTGAGTTGAGTCCAATTGTTATGAATGAATTGAGTTCCGGGGGTGACGGTGGTGGTATGGGTAACACTGATGCGGCTAAGGGATTGGAAAGGAATTCGCGCTTTCGTTTACGAGAGCGCTTGCCTTTGGAGGGCTGAATGTAGAGATTTCGATGTTGACCTATGGGTTCCAGCAAACTGGAAGCAAAGAGTTGTTAGAATGGTTGTATAATAACCAGGGATTTGGATTGTAAGATCCGGAATTGAAGAAAGTATTGTGGCGTCTTGTACCTGCATAGTAGATCTAAAATTGTATCCTGGTTTGCGCTACTAACTTCCGGCCTGGAGCGAACTAAATCAGCCCGGGTTTCAAGCAAAGTTTTGGATCTGGAATGAACTCACCATCCAACAGTGGTGTTTGGCGAATCGAGGGAGAATGTGATTTTTTTCTTTGGGTCTTGGCCTTTGATAAATTGTGCCATGACAGCCACAGTCAATAGTGTAACCGATGAACCGATGAACCGATGAACCGAGATGGCTCTCGGAAAGTAGGCGGATTATGGCGGTATACGTAGAAATAATGGGTGACGATACGTGAAGATGTTGGAGGCTGATCTTGATGGGAGCTGCACAGTCCACAGGGCGAGCTGTGCAGATTTCTTGGGGCGGGAGGCTCGCTAAAGCGCATCTGACTACTCCGCACAATCCTTGCAGGTAACTATTCTACCATTTCATAACTCAACTGTAAATACATACAATGCAATTTTATCCTTTGAACATACATAAGTTCCAATGCCTGATGTTTTCTAAAACTGAAACCGGAATTTGAAGGACGCGAATCAATTCCCAGACTCGCATTTCCTCGTCCAGGAATCATTATTGTCTTTGTTTCAGTTGGTTCTGAAGACACACGAGTCAAGCTCAACGTTTCCTCGTCATGTCAGCCGATCTCTTATCGAATCAATAGAATAATCCCTGCACAATACGCTTGGGTCCTTTCGTCACTGCCTGTATGTAGTGAACCAACTGACTGCAAGCAAGCCTGCTCATAGCAACAGGCACGCAGCCGCACACTTGCACAGCAGTTGGTAGGTAACTGGTAGTAAAGGAAATAATACTAGAGTAACACATGCGTACATGTCTGCCTGAACTACACACATGTAATGTAGGTAAGCTCTATTGTCTGACTGACGCGAGAGCCACAAACACTCCCACTTTCCCTCCCCCTCCAACTCAACCCCCCACCATCCCCTCCTGTCTCAAACCACGACAGCCGCGGCACCATAGCTTTCATATTCCCCAGGAATCATCCCCAAACTTTTTACGGTACCTTTTGCCCCAGCGACCGGGCAACCTGTGTTTATTGCATGGAGAAGAATGGGGAGTCGGACTCGAACTTTATGGCGGTCGATCCAGTCAGCCCAGCTAGCAGTAACTCTAAAGAAGTTTCAGACGAACCCGCCGCACCTCGTAGAAATTCCATCGACGACAACGATCCTACCCGGCCTCGTAAGCGACTAGCTGCTATGCTTATCCATGATAATGCAGACAATACAAAACAGGCTCTCCCGGCTAAGGATAAGGTGCCCTACGGAGAATCCGAGAACGACCCCCGGCAATCAGATCAAGCGATGGAACACAAAAACTATAACGGGACGACCAGCAAACCTGATAAAGCATCTCTGGAAGATGGAACTTTCTCATCACCTGTAGCAGTCAAAGGAATTGGCAACAAGGTTACAATTCATCTCCGTACCACACGTCTCCCAGATACAAAAGAGGATGGGTTTGAAGAGCCTACTATTGATGATGATGAAAACGATGGACTAAGCCAGCTGACACCTACATCTTCTGGGCCTCCTAGGAGTGTGGGCTCCTTACAGGGTGAATCTCCAAATGGTTCGCTATGTAGCCCGGAGATTGAGGTTGAAGAAGTTGAGGACATGGAAGAAGATGAGGATCTGGCTGGTCATATTGCGGATGTCGATCAATACATCAATAGCCCCATCATTACTGGAGGTTCCGCTGTGATCAAAGATGTTATGGATGGGGTTACATCGAAGCTCGAGAGAGGTTTGTCTTTACAGGACCTTTTTGGAACTGCTTTCTGACTAACTCTGGTACAGATCCTATTCCATTACGACAATTGGAAGAACTTGCGCTTACCATGTCGAGTTTTGTCAACGTTGTGGGCGACCAGATCGATAGCTTTTATAAGCTTTATCTTGTAAACCAAGACGTTTGGCCCAACTTACCAAACATGATGGAGGCCTTACTTAAACGAAGGTGAGACATTCTGAGACTCCATAGCTGTACCCAGTTACTAATTCATAATAAAAGTGAACCCTTTGGGCAAAGCTATTTTCGCAGGGTGGATAAATCAACGCCAGGGCTAGAAGCTATTATATTAGCCCTCGTGGAGTTTGCACGATTGACAGCACTCTTTCTTCGCTATGATGCTTGGAGCTTAGAACATGCTCTCCCGGATAGAGATGCTACTCTTCTATCATGGGGGTATCAGAGAACCCTATCAATCATTATGAGACCAAATCAACTTTCTAGCCTTATGCAGCGTGTCTACAACTTCAATATGGTCACAATTCTACCACGAGTAATGAGAGCTTTTATCGACACCCATGACGGGTTAGGGACATTGAGGAAATACGATGAGTTAATCCTGCAACGAATACCACTACAGCCCAAACTTCTATTTTATGCGTCACTCCCGTTGGAAATATACGCAAAACTCATTCGATGTCTCGAGGTTGTGATAAAAGAAGGCGCTATGTCAGAAGATTTGGCAGAAATCCAGATAGCTGTTTCAGATAGTGCCTTTATGGTTATGACATCTGTGGAAAGCTTACTTGCGGGCCTTTTTGAAACGCACCTTCAATTGCTGATCATCAAGGACTTTAACGTGGTGTTGAATACATTATGTTCGCTAGTAACAGCATTTTATGGTATGAGTTCTGCAGAGGCTAGGATACGGAAACTAATTGAGGAAAAAATCGGGAATGAATATGGGGTTATTGAGGCCAATGAATATCCTAGTCTTGCAGAATGGTCTTGCAGGTTTCCTTTTCTCTTCAAAATGCTTACCAGTAATCGTATGGACTTTCGACTACAAGGACTGGTAAGGGCTACGGAGCTTCTTGTCAGCGCCTGGAGAGAAAGCTATGGGAATGCTACCGACTGGCATGATAGTGTTTTATTGAGGTATCTTTCTAGCATTCCTGGTTTGAAGAGTTCTTATGATTTTAGTTAAATACGTATCTTAACTCTATCATAGGTTTCTGGCACATTTCATCATCGAAAATAAAATCGTCGAATATATTATGGGGCCTGAATCACACCATGAACTTATTCGCCGAAGCGCAAATATAACTGGCTTTCTGATAGTAACCAATACAACTACGGTGGATATTCGACACGCCCTATGGCAACCAGTCGTTAACAACAAGGATCCACGAATAGTGCAAGCTACACTTGCCATGCATCAGGAGATGATAGGAAATATGTCTATCCCACTTCTTGTTGAATTGAGCAAGCGGATCAAGGACATACCATTCTCATCCTTTGATTCTCACATGATGGAGCTTGTGAGCCGTCTGCTAGAGACTATCAGGACTAACTTTTACCAGCAACAGGTTGTGATCAGGCAACCCAGAGAATCTGAATAAATGCTGACTTATTTGGATATAGGTCGTGCATTTAGATCCTCCACCCTATGAAATGTTGATCCAGCTTATTCGGATGGCATCCCGCGAAGAAGAAAATACCACTCCGAGCGGTGGACTTCCACCATCCACGATTTTTGAGTTTGCCGGAAAGGAACTAATGGCACTGGCTGAATATGGTCCAGCTGTAGAACTACGCAGAAAAATTTATCTTGACTGTATCAGCGACATTAAACAAATGACGTCAAGCGCGACGGGTAGTATCAATGTCATCCAGGCATTCTTACGTATGTCACACCTAAGAATTATAAACGCAATTGACCTAACTATTATTAGAGCAAAGACCTCGTAACGTCAGGCCAGGCAGCCCCGGTTACGTCGAGGACATCGAATTTCTTATCAAAAATCTGAACCTAGCTGAACTACTTGTCAACGAGATAGCTAGGTTTGTGGATTCCCACAGCAAGCACGACCAGTATTCTACACTACGCCGGTTGAAAGCGAGATTAGAGTTACTTCAGTTTATTCTATATAATTCGCCTGAATGTTTGACAGCTCATCTAGGCGAAAAGCTTTGGACATACTTAGTTGGGGTAAAGGCGTTAGGAACATCTGAGAGGGATGATGGGTTTGAATTCTACATTAACCATTACTTGAAAATTACAGTCGTATGTGTTACCAATGCCCCTCCTCAGGCCCATGTCTCGCTAACGGATCAACAGCAAGCGGACCCTATTCTAGAAAGTGTATTCAAGACCTACTTTCCAGCACTTGATCCTGCTTGTTTCTCACCTAATGTTCTACCTTTTTGCATGAAATCTATAGAATATCTTAACAAACCAACAGGGGTAAGTGTACTTCCACACTAGTTTATTACAAGTATTTCGGGACTTACAATGGGTTAGCTTGAGGATAATTTCGAAGAGGATCGTGTAAACTTCGAGGGCGTTGAACAGTTATGGCGGATAATTCTCAAGGCACCCGACGATAGGCTGGCTGCTGAGGCCACATCATACTTTATGAATCTTTACCTAGACGTGAATCTCATTCTATTCCCCATGGTTGATTATGTTTACTAATTGTAGCCTAGACTCCTGCTGTCTATTCGAAACCTGCAAAGGTCATCGAGAACACGCATTTTATGATCGTAGAACGATGTATAAATCAGCTGACATCCACAGCCTCTAACATTGACAATACAGTTCCGACTGTCAATTCCAGAGACGAGAATGCAATGTTCTTGGATACCTTCCATGGGAACAGTGATACACAGGAGTTCTTTCGATCATTGGACCTTCTTGACCACTTCGTCAAGGGCTACAAATCACGGCCAAAATATAATCAAGGCTCTCAAGAGGCTAACCAATCTTCCGCTGTCGATATGATCACAGGTGTGCCCCTAACACTGCGCCTGCGGTGGCATGCTTCAAATTTCCAATCGCCTGTAAGTACATTCCTCAATCCGGGTAACATCGATAGTGTTCTCACCTAGAATCTGTAGATCCATAGCTTCCAAATCGGCAATCTAGACACAGGTCAGGATCTGCATGATCGTATCGCCAAAATTGTGGGAGGGGACAAATATCGCGTAATAATTTCTGGACAGGAATTCAAACCATCGCATGAGCCACTCAAAACCCTCAAGGATTTTTGTATTCCAGATAATTCTGTCTTGATAGTCCAAAAATCACCAGACCAAGGGACGGTTACTGCCAGCTCGAGCGTGCCTTCCAATCTTAATGCTCTTCAGATTGAGATCATGAGACATTTTGATTCACTTTTTGAATTGCTTTCTCTCCCAGAGCCACAGGCGACGAAGGTATGAGAATATTGAGAATATTAAATGGTTGTGCTTTTGCTAAGGTCCCAATAGATATGGTTCTTTTTGAGAAATTTCCCAGTCGATGAACACATCAAGTCAAGCATGATTTCGGGGCCATCTTGGTCAGAGACATTTCCAGCGGATTATCCTTATAAAACTCTTTATTCTTTGCACGCTTTGCGAACATGTTTTGAGGAACAAAGACAGCAACAAAATGTATGTTTTAAGTCATACTTTTAGTTTAAAAGGCACTAACTGTATCTAGAGCGACGAAAAATCAACGTTCATCAACGAAGCAACTTCTTCTTTACTCAAAACCCTAATGAATAACAATCACGAATCCAAAGAATCCTATGCAATGAAGACTCGAGCGCAGGTTACAAACGAGATTCTTGATTGTCTACGTTTGTTTCTTCAAGGTTAGGAATCGAGCAACTGTCTGACTTCCATTACTAATAGTTTTCAGAATCCATTACAGAGTACGGCTTTTCGCCGTCATTTCCTAACCCAGATGATTTTGTTGAAAGGATTTTTGAAATTTTACGTGTTTGCTCTCAAAAGGAGTATTCACAGTGCCCAGGATCCGAGTCTTGTGTTGCCAATGCATTCAATGTGTTGCTCATCGCATCGAAAATCGATTCAAAAGTATGGTCATCTCTGACTCAAAAATCAGAATTGATACATCATGTGAACAGATTTCTCCTGAAAGATAAACGACAAACGGTTAGGCTAGGCACTGGAGAGGCTATTATAGCAACCCTCAATCGATATCTTTCGTAAGTCCTCTTAACTCGAGTTAAATATATGCAATATCTCATTTAGTTAGAACCATTAAACCGACAAGTCATGACTTCGCGAGATTCTTTTGGAGCATTTTGAAGGACATGTTGGATCAACCTTGGTTGGACCCAAAATCTTCTGCAGAGATGTTCCAAACTGCTCTATTGAATTTTAAGTATGTTTCCAGGATCCTTGATGTTCCCTCAATCCTTCTAACAGTCCTAGATTTCTTAGCGAAGTAAGCCCGGAATCGTTAGATATAGAGACGTGTTTTAAAACGTGGAGCTCGCGTTTGATAAAATATGAAGTGAACGAGGTAAGCATCGTCTCTTCTTATTTTTTCTTCTTAGGATGCCTTTTATTAATTGTAAATAGGTCGTTGGTTGTTCGAACGAAGACTTCGTGATTACAGGCTTTACAAGACTCCTTACAAGATGTGTATCCCTGGCTAGAAGTCGAGGTATCCATGTTTATAACGAGTATTCTATCCCTCCTCAAGCGAAGTACATAATCGTATACTAATAGAGAATTTAAAGCGTGGCCGAAGATATCTTTCAGAATTTACTTTTCCGCCCAATGGCTACATATACTGAAAATTCTCAGCCCATCGAGAGTCTGCCGTGTCTCCACGGACCCAGTCGTTCGGAGATATACACCCTGGTTATCCAACTAGTCAATGATCCCGAGAATTGTGTCAAGATGGTTAAGCACAATCTACATCTTTTCCCCAAAGGTACATATGGTACCCCTGACATGATTTAATTCATGGGCTCACAAAACAAAAGATCAGTCCCTACATGATGGATTCCATGCCGATCGAGGCAGGTGGGCGAGGTCAGTAGCCGGCCACGTCGGATTACAGAACATGTCAAACACATGCTATCTCAATTCATTGATGACTCAGCTTTTTATGAACCGAACGTTCAGAGCCTTCATCCTGGAGATGCCTATCGACCAAGCGGATGAGTCTCAGAAACTAATCCATTTTCTGAAAGTCTTATTTGCGAGAATGCAGAATAGCTACACGAAGGCAGTAGAACCAAAAGACTTTGTTGAGGCCATAACAGATTATGAGGGAGAACAAATTGACATCGCAGTTCAGATGGATGTTGATGAATTCTTCAATCTTATCTTTGACAGACTAGAAGGTCAAATGCCATCAATGGAGCTGAAATCATCTTTCAGGTCGCACTATGGTGGTCAATTAGTCCAGCAGGTTAAGTCAAATGAGTGCCCCCATATATCGGAGCGCACTGAACCATTCTCAGCAATTCAGTGCGACATTAAAGGAAAGTCAACTCTTCAAGAGAGCTTAAAGGCTTACGTCGAAGGGGAGATCATGGATGGTGGTAAGTGTTACCTCCTATTTTCACACCAATCAAGAATGCAACTGAGCAGTGTTACAGACAACAAGTATTCCTGCACGACATGTGACCGCCACGTTGACGCAGTAAAAAGGTAATTCAATTCCGTTTATTGAACTAGGTATGTAAGGCAAGTAAAACTCAATTTGGCTGACAACCGGCGTCTTCAGAACCTGCCTCAAGGATATTCCGAATCACCTCATTTTTCACTTGAAAAGATTCGAGTTCGACCTACAAACTATGCACCGTAGCAAAATCAACGACTCTTTTGAGTTTCCAACTTCTATTGACATGAAACCTTATACAATAGAATACTTGAGTGGAGATGAGAAAAACGGTGAGAATTCGTCAAGGGATATGTTCGAGCTGGTCGGTGTACTAGTACACAGCGGTACTGCCGAGTCCGGTCATTATTATTCGTATATCAGGAACCGCCTCTCGCCATCAGGGGCACCAGAATGGTTTGAATTCAACGACTCGGAGGTTTCAGCTTTTGATCCTTCGACAATTCCAGCTGCCTGTTATGGGGGTACTGATGGAGTAACCAGAGATGCAATGGGGCAAACATATGCTTTGAGCAAGCCTTATAGCGCATACATGCTATTTTATGAACGTTCTTCATTGTTGAGTTCGTCGACAGTAAATCAGGATTCAGCGGTTCAGACAAGACTATCTATACCTCGGGAACTTGAGCTGGAGATACATAGTGAGAACGAGTATTTCATCAGAAAATATTGCATGTTCGACAACAACCATATCGAATTTATCAGAAAACTATTAGATCAGCAGCAGCGTTTGTTCAAAAACTCTATACCCTACGACCACATCCACGAGAAGAGAGCATTAATACTTGGGTTGGATACCCTTGAACAAATTGCTACAAGGTTCAAAGACTCCACGGAGGGAGAGGCACTTTTCAATATTTTGAACATCTATCTAATCAACTGTCCTGAATGCTGTCTGGAATTCTTCGACTGGTTATGCCAGAAGGAAGAAGCAATCACCAATTTACTAGTCTGCAACCCGTACGGCAAGGCACGGGCAAATTTTTTGAGACTAGTGATGTTTGCACTTAACCAGGTTCGGCGAAAAAGACCCGAAGTGTATGGGCCAATTGACGAAAGCGGTGACCACGACATTGAATATGAAGATACTGTATTATACAAGCTTTGCACCTCATTAATGCGCTCATGGAATGGTTTGCAATGGTCTATCAAGACGTGGGGCGACTACTTTGGTCTATTGGCGAGTATTTCAGCATTGGGTGAGACCGAGAAAGTTGTTATGCTGGATATGGGGTTTTTGAAGAAAATAATGGAGTTACTGTTAATGGATCACCTACAGGCGCCGAGAAAGATGGAATATCTGTTTGAAAACTTCGCGAAGATATGGGCAAAACGCCGACCATCGCTCGGGAATCTAGGATCAGTCATGGGCGAACTAATGAGCTTATGCGATCCTCACCTAACGCCGTGTAGGGATGATGAAAACCGAACACATTTCCGCCATCTTTCGAAATTTCCCTTGAATGCTACAGAATATGACTATTTCTCTTTTTCTACAAAAAGTCAGATGCAGATACTATCAAGGCTGCTTGAATCTCAGACTACAACAGAAAGCATGGCGCGCCTAGTCGCAAACATCGTCAAATCCGAAGTTGCACCAGTTGAAGGCCCTCTTCTTGAGCAGATTAAGAACACTTTGCTTGCTGGAGTTCCTGTGGACCCTGCACAAGAGGCCGAGCCTTTCCTTATGTGTCTTCTGTACTTTGTCTCGGTAACCAAATCTCCGAACTACGTCAGAGAAATCATACGAAGAGTGTCAGATGAGGTGCCCACCATTGGTACTGATGGGGGATCAGAGCATCTGCTTTTTTTCCAAGAGCTGGCAGTCCTTAAAAATCTTCACCTCAAGCCATACCTCATCAAATGGCGTATGATTGACTATGTTGCACTTTGGGCACCGCCGCTGTTAACCTATTGCGATGCAACCGTACGAGAAAACACTGAAAAGCTTCTTGATGATATTTTATTTGATAGTCTTCAAGACGGAGACCGCCCAAAAGCGCGGAAAGGTGTTGAAGATCTTATGAATGGATGTTTCACGTTCATTGAATCGAAACTCCCCAGGTTACGTCAGCCGTGCGACGAGAAAACTTTCGAGAATGTCCTTCGAGTTCTCGAAAAGTGCGGTGAATATCAAGACGACGAAGAAACCTTCAGGGCAAGGAGTAATGGTTAGTATTAATCTATTACATAAATTCCTTGACAATATCTCATTAACTAAAAAAAAAACTAAAAAAACTATAGCGTTGAGATTGTTAATTGAAAAGATCATTCTTGAGGAAGAAGAGGATGCTGATCTAGCCTCCGGTAAGGCCGAATGGTCCTCTCGTGCGCGACACGACTGACCCAAGCACTTTCTGAAGATGAATGGGGTGGCTCTGAAATCGGAAGCGATACGCATGAGATGGAAGTGCAACTCGACGAATACAACAGCACCTAGTAGAAGCCAATAGTCAAGAGTTTGATAAAGGATGGGTCTTTGAATTAGATTTCTTTCCAGCGGGGCGTTATATTCTTAGGATCACCAATTCCATGGGTATGACATAAAGCGGAGGTGTTTAACTGTGTAGGCTCTTTACATTCCTTCTCATCTCTTTCATTTCTTCCAATTTTCTTGTTTTGTTTTGTTTGTTTTTTATTTCAAGTTTCAATTTTTTACTTTTCTTTTCATTGCGAGCACGAAAACAGCCGGGATTGATGGGAGGGATTGGGGGGAGGGATGGGGGGAGGGATTGGGTGTACTGTGAGGAGTTGGGGCGCATCGGATTTATGCTTTTCCTCTTCTCCTCTCCCATTTCTTCTCTTTTTTAAGCGGATCTCTTTTGCCCTGCCTTATGTTTCTTATACCTCTACCCTTTCTCCCCCTTTGGTAGGTGATAGGCTCGCGATATTACGGTGTGTTTATCTTTATTCATCTCGCTACCTAAGAGGGACAAAGCGAAGTCATGGATTTCAATTGTAAAGACAATAGGATGGGAAAAAGAACCTCTAGGTACTTTTCATGGTGAGGATCGTTTTTGAGAAACACATTCATAAGCGAGTGATTCCGAGTGATGCGGTTGAAGGATCCTGTGATTATGATTTATCTAATGGTGGAGAAACAAGGGAAAAGGAGAACTTGAAAGAATTCTAAATCTTGCACATGCCTCATTGTTTCGCTCAATCTTGAACTGGTGCCGGCAAGTTAAGGAGATAGCAGCCTTTCTAATGCCGTATTTTTATATTCAAATCAACGGCAACGCCCATACCCTTTTGTCATTGACAACATACACCATACAACCCCACATTCCTCATCCTCTCTCGAACCCCATCTTGCCCTAGGATGGGAAATCCTACGATACGAAACCTAACTACTCCTCTGGAACAGCGGTGTCATGCCCAAAACGCACAACGTTTTTTCTTACAAAGAATATTCCATCACGCCCACGTCCACCCCAGACCCATGCACCATGACCAGCAGCAGTTGCAGTCAGTCGAGTTTCATCATACTGACATCCGAGAAAAAGAACCCAGTTTCAAAGAAAGAGATAAACGTGAGAAAAAAAGTCTGCAAACCAAGACGCGCGTCAAGGAAGTCTGAAGCAAAACGTGAGCAAAGAGGGAAAAACCAGTAGGAAGAAAATGAAATGTAAAGGAAGAAAATCATCAGAACTCCTCAAACAAATGTCCGTATTGATCGTAGTTGTCACCGGTCCCGTACTCCTCCTGCTCTTCTGGGTAGCGGTCGAATTGACTTGAATCACCGACACCACCTCTAACTGGCGGTACATAAGGTGCCTCAATATCCTTTCTGGCTAAACGCTCCCAGTTAACCTCTGCAAACCACTGATGTTGCTTGATGTCGCTGCTGCCGTGGAGTAAATTCCCCAGCCGCTTCGTCAAATCTGGCGTTATAAGCTGCTGAAGTAGGTCCTGGGCATCGGGATGAATGTAAGCCGGATATTTGACACGCCCTTTCAGAATGTTTTCGTAAATCTTCATAGGACTTCCACCATCCCAGAAGGGTGTATAACCACAAAGCATCTCAAAGATTAAAATACCCAGCGACCACCTAGTTCGAAAGAAAATTCTGTTAATGATTGCCTGCCGCCGCCGTATGACTTAAAAAAGAAAGAAATATCCTATTAAGGGAGAAAGAAAAGAAGAACCAATACGGAAATACTCACCAATCTACAGATTTGTTGTAACCTTTAGAAGCGACAACCTCGGGCGCCAAGTAATCCGGGGTGCCACACAATGTCCACGTAATGTCGGGAACTTCTTTCGCAAAACCGAAATCTGTTATCTTTAAGTGACCGTGACGATCTAAAAGCAGATTCTCGGGTTTGAGATCTCTATAGATGATATGATGCGAATGAAGATAATCCAAGGCAAGCGCAACTTCAGCTGCGTAGAACTTTGCAACGGGATTCGGAAACCGCTACAGTGAGGTCGAAGCAGCCTTGAGTATTTCCCCTTAATCAATTGGATTAGGATGCATGTCATACCTGGGATTTTCGTAGCAGACTAAAGAGCTCCCCCCCCTCGATAAAGTCCATCACCATATATAAGTTTTTGGCGTCTTGGAAAGTCCCCCATAGAGTTATCAAGAACGGATGCTTTACTTTCTGCAACATCCGCCTTTCATCATTGGTGTGCTCAACCTGTTTCATCTTGACCACCTGAGCTTTCTTCAAGACCTTCACTGCATAAAACCTAAGGTTATGTCGTGACTGAACAAGGTGAACTCTTCCAAAGCTTCCAGTTCCTAGAGTCCTTTGGATAGCAAAGTCACCTAGTGAATATTTTCCTTTGGTTGTGCGTACGGTGGAACTCTGTTGCGGCTGTTCATCCGGCTTTCGCTCCTGCGTCCCAGCGTTGCCCGCATTAGTCCCTGCGCTTTGGGATTGTATCATATCAGAATGAGCTGGAGTATTTTGTTGTGAGCTGCTATTGTCATAAGGTCTCGCATAGTCGCCAGGCTGTGGAGGGTTTATGATACTGTTGATGTTACTCTGATGAGGCTGATTCTGGTGTTGCTGTTGGGAGGTATGAGAGTGGGGATACTGCTGTTGGTGTTCCGGTATCATTGGCCGATGATCGGAGACCAGTGCCATGGATTCAACGGGAACGGAGGGGTTGGAGGGGTTTTGGAGCGGAGCAGTTGAGACCGAGGAAGCGGACTCAATCGAAGGCTTGAGCGAGTTGTGGTGCGAGGTTATTGGAGTAGTTGCGGTCGCGGAGGTCGGGGTTGGCGGCTCTGATTCTCGAATTTCGGACTGGGAGCTGTCCTTTCTCGCATGCAAGGAATCTTTATCTTTCTTCTTCTTCTTCAAAAACCCGAGAGTCGGCATGCGCAAGATGACCGGGAATATGTCGAGAAGGGAAGACACCTGCTGGTGGCCTCCTCCAATCCCTTTGTCTGTTTCGAGCGGGCTGATTTCGCTTCGGCGGCGGAACCCAGAAGCCCTGGAATGATAAAGAGCTGCGGGAAAGCGGCGGGCAGCGGCGGAGGAGGAGGGGAGGAAATGAGTACGTAGAGCTTCAATTACCTATTTTCTTTCCCCTCCTGCTATTGTTACTATGCCTTTGCCGAGTCGAGCCGTGGAAACGCTGTCAATGGGCGGGGGTAAGTGCCAGGACAACAGCGAAAAGCACGACGACGACGATGAGGATGAGGACAGGAAGATTGTAGATTTTGAGGGGGTGGGGATGAAAATGAAGACGAGGACGCGGGGGGGGGGGGGGGGGGGGAGCAAGTGAAGGCGGAATAGACAAGGCTAGGGTATGTAATGGATATGTATGTATGGAACGGTGATGCTTGAGAGCGATCCAAACGAACTGGGGAAGAGTGACAGTGCTGCTACCAGAATCGAATAAGCAATGCGGACAGCAGCCGATTCGTTTCTTCCTATGTATCCCCCCCAGGAGCAGAGAGCAGTACGTGGAGTGGAGTAAGGTGGATGGATGAGGAGTATGTATTGATTTCTCTGAAGTGTGTGTACTCTGCTATGCTTTCTATCCCTCGTCCGCTGTTTGGCGTCCTCGCCTTACCCCGGTTTTCTTTTGAGAGTTTTTATAATCTGTTATCCTTTTGATCGAATCCTTGGGCCCTTGTCTTTCCTCCTCAGATCAGTGGTTTCGTCCGTTCTGCTTGCTACAAATCTCTGGCTTACTTGGGTACCGGTAGATTACCTACCTACATGTACCTATAACCTTACCTACAGTATCCACTTCTCAGATTCTTGCATGAACGGAAGAGGACTCGCTTCAGATACCTCCAGGCTACTCTCTCCAGACTCGATCGCAAAAAGGTGATGGGAAGCGGCGGCTATCCTGGGATGATCGACGAATAAAACTGCCTCATTCGGGAAGTAGCAGAGGGGGGCTTTCCTGACCGCTTTGGAGGGGCAGGGTGGGGGATGAGGGGATGAGGAACGTTGGCTGACCGGGAACAACGGTAGGTTAAAGGAGACGGCACAGAAACAAAGTGGATGCGGTGCAGGTTTTTCTGAAAATCCTCATAGGTTTGAGGTATCTACTTATGTAGATCATTCTACTGTCTCTCCACCATATGCTGATCATTTTCCGAGGAGTTTGAGCATTTACAGAATACCTACATACTCTCTACTCGCAAAAAGAGTATGAAACACATTATGAAAGCTATCTATGTAAGAGCGAGAATCAGTCATAGATAAAGATCGACAGCCCCATCGACTTACATAAATAGTGGGAGTTTCTCGAGGTCTGTTTCCAAAAGTCCGCCGCGGCCAGATGTTGCTACTTCCACAACCCCCCGCCCGCGGTCTATTTCTAAACACGGCAATCGACAGCACTGGACGTCATTCGTGTTCCAGACAATAGCATATGTAGAAGCTTATCCCAAGCCTATTCCTGCTTTCCCAGGAATCCATTATCCCTACCCGATGTGCCTACCCGGAAACCGACATTGGATAGCTTAGCTTCTGTCCTGCATCAATTCCACTGCTTATTCACAACTTCAATCGATTAAAAATGGTACACGATATACGTACCTGTACTACCAATTTCATGACGTTTCCGAACACGATTGCTATTGCATGCCATACAAAAAAAACGTCAAATCCACCTTTTTGTATGTCATGCAATATTGGTCGTGTTCGGAAACGCTATGAAGCTACGAGTAGACAAGCTGCAAGCTATGTGTACCGATATGTAGGTACATGCTTGTGAGCCAGGCGCCATCATTCGGCAGCAAAACTGTTAGGAAACCAAACACCCAGAGTCCTCCATGTAGGTCATAGGTATGTATGTACTGTACACCCTATATTTTACTTAGCCAGTGTGAAGTGACTGAGGTTCAAGATATATTGTATTAAATACATGCAACGAATTGTATGTAGAAGGGTTGATCCAGCTCTCGATCACAAGCGTCAATGATTGGTTATAATCCTGGTTACATGCACCTTGTACATACGTGTAGCTATGCAGGTTACCCTTCGCCAATGATAATATCATCTCGTTTTTGGATCACCGTATTAGTGTCCGCTCAAACTTGGATGAGCGCTAGTAGAAGAATAATTTCATTAGTGAGTTTACCAAGGCCCTGTATGTATTATTTAACCATAGCCGTGTATATTGGATTTCCTGTAGGTACATACAGTATCTATTTCATTTTTACTGCCACAAGCATCCTCATTAAACAAGGGGTTCACCGATATCGCAGCTTTATCCATAGCTCTAGTTAAACTTCGGATTGTGGATCAAATATTATTGACTATGTACTCTAATTATCATATTTGAAAAACCCATTCCTCGAAGCGAGATTATAAGTGCGGCTAAGATTTGGAGGTTTACTCTTCACTACCACATTTTATCCTTCGGTTGGACCTCTCAGTTGATCAACAAAAACGAGCACTTCTCATATCACGGTCACATACGCACTTAAGGTATATGTATATGTACATGTAGGCACTGTACATCTAGATGTATGCTTCGATATTTCCCTTCCTACAACAAGTCAGCCTTGCCTTCTCCTAGCCACAAATCAGATTATGTTCCCCAGCACTGCAGTTCTGTAGGTCATCTCTAATGTTGTAGGCTTCGGACATACGCGTCCCGGTCAGCCACAAGCTAGGATGCGTGTCCATATATACTAGCATTTTGCAAGGTAATTTACAACTGCCTTTCGCTATCACTACATACAGTTAAGCTGTTAGTTCTCCCGATTCGATATGGAAAACCAACATCACAAAGTTAATCTCCTGCCAAAAAGAGGCAGGAAGCGAGACGACCTGGTTTGTGCCTGGGAAACGCCATTCACGACCCAATCGGCAACGAAGAGAGTGATGTGATGCAGAGAGAAGAGAAGTCGTGGCAAAGAGTATGAGTGCTCTGCACGCGTATGCAATCTTAGAGCTTCTCTAGATACACAGTCAATATCAAACCGGATCGATGATGAGAGTAACAGAAACCCCACAAGGGCTATGTCCATGTCTATCTATGTACATATAGTTATAGGATTTTCTCAGATAGGTACCTGTCTGATGCAAGTATCTCGTATTCACCGCAGATAGAGGTAGCCAGAAGAAATATTTATATAATAGTTACTTTCTAAAAAACGAATTTGCACACTACTCAGTCGACTTGTTCTTCCTATTCTTGATCCACAAGGAATCTATCGCCTGAAAGACGGCCGTGATTCCTTTAAGCTCCTCCTCGCTGAGCCCAGATTTCCCCCACCTCTGCTGAGCTTTATCTGGATGCCATCGTACCCTTTCTAGCTTCAGCATATCAGTAAACCCTTCCCTGTTAGGTGCTGTGCCAGTAGGTGCTGATAAGAAAAATTCTTCGATGGCGTCTTGAGAAAGGTCTAATAGCTTCCCAGACCTAGTAGGCCATGGGATATTGTCAAGAGGCACCTTTCTTTCACCACCATCGTTATCGACATCAACCCGGCTCTCATCTGCAATTCTCGCCCAGTTGTGTAGATACTCATCCCACCGTTTCTGCAAGTCACTTCTATGCTTTCTTTGTCTCCTTTGTTTATCTTCTCTTTGTATTTCCTTTTCTGCATGCTCCCAAGCAATTCGTTCCTCACGCTCACGTCGCTTTTTCTCCTCCTTTTCACGCCCTCTCCTTTCACGTTCCTCAACGATATGTTGATGGCTTTTCTCCCACATTTTCTCACGGACATAGGCGGCGTACTCCTCGTCATCCATCTGTTCAAGCATACCCCGCTCATTCTTCACCTGAGGTCGAGGATAGTTATTGATGGGCTCCCCATAAACACCTTCCCAAAAAGCCGCGCCCTCATCGTCTGCCATCGCGTCAAATAACGATTGACGGAATGCCTCGTCTGGATCTGCATATTGAGTGGATGACACGTTGGGAAGATAGGTATCGTCATAGGCTGATGGGTCATCCCCGGTTTTCTTGCGCTCGTGAGAGTGCCTTCGACGTTTTGACGGACGGCTAGAGCTCTCACTTTCACGGTGATGATGATGGTGACGGTGACGACGTTCTCGTTTCTCCTCGTCCCCGCCCGATCGGCGCTTCTTTTTGAAGCGGAATTTATTCTTTCTATGCCTTTCTTCTTCCCTAGATTCTTCTACAGATGTGGCACGAGACTTCTCACCATCGCTGCCCCTACTAGCGTTTGGAGGAGACCGCGGTTGTTGTGATGGATCTGGCTCTTGGGGGTCCCGAGTGAGAGGATGTGAAGGTGCATCGTTCTGTGTCAGACCATGGAGCATTCCCAAACGGTCGTTGGACACGTTGTAGGAACGCATAACGCTGGATCGGTAACTGTATCGAAATAGATAGAAATTTAAAGATAGAGCGGTGTAGGGTTGGGCGAGATGGATGGCGAGGCTTGGCAGTTTTCAACGAATCATACCTACATTTCTCTATCCTAGTACGATGCGTTAGGCTGTATGTATGTACCTATTTCTGCTGTACCTACAAATAAAAAATAAGGCGGCCATTACAACGTCGGCAGGGTAATTAGGTGTAACACCCCGCACCCTAGGCCTATGTGTAATGGTAATATAACACTGATATTTGGCACATTTCTAAAGAAATATCAATCTATCATCCTTTTCAATTCATTCATGCTAGACCCCAAAATTTCTCATCTTGATACAATTCCCCGCGAGATTCAGAGCAAGGACAATTCGTCCCACGTTATACCTTCCATAGCTTACATACCACACAACAAGTATTTGCCATTGTTAACGTCAATTCAGCCAAAGTCTCGGCTAAGCCTAGGCGCTCCCAACGCGCTAGGCAAGCCAGTGCAGGAGAATCCTGATATCGACAAAGTTACAGCTACAGTTCATAAGCCTAGACGGCTTCATTATATCCCCAGATTTCTATTGAAACGATTCGTACCGCAGAGTTTAAGGTTAGATAAATCATTACAGAAGCACATGTACGTAGATTTTATATACTTACAAAAAATATATACAATATAGAGCAAAAGGTGCTTGGAGTAGGCTCCACAAGACAGGTCACTGGGGAGGTTCGATAAACCGCTATTCGCTTTCCCACCCATCCAAGCTTCCAACGCGTGAGATTGCAAAATCCTACTACGTCAAAGACCTTTATGTGACACAAAATTCCAAAAACCCATCATACGAGTTAGAAAATAAGCTTGGTGATTTGGAAAACACTGTTAGCAATATCATGTCAAGGCTTTTCAACACTTTGGAGAAGGATGAAATACCTACCATATACAAGATGACGCGTGGGAACCTCAATCTCCTGCATAAATTCTTGTACGTCATGGGCTACCGCAAACCATCAGTCGCAAACATTTATCGGCAACCAGACCCCGACGACCCCCCTGGGGAGGCACGTCTGGAATATCGCACCCAAGCTCCCAACGACCAGTGGCTTCAGCAACTACGCTATATTCTCGACACACCACATTGGGAGATTGTTGAGCATGGACGCAAGGCAAAGAGAAAAAAGGCAGAGCTGGATTTGAAATTTCCGCATAGAAGATGGTCGGAATTGGGCAAAGATCTTGAGTCATTGGAAGAAGGATACATGGAGGAGGCGGACGGGTGTTTCTTGGCTATTTGGAGGGCCGCCGAAGGGGAGGAGTTCATCATCTCGAACGACTCTTTTGGTATTCTCGAGGGCAAGAAGAGCTCTTGGGGCCCGATCCACAGGTTCTATGTCATATCCCCACATGTTGCAATTGTCATTTGTTCTGTCGGCCTTGACCCGAGCTACAATTGCGACCCGGAAATCAAAGCTCGTTGTCAGAACTCGGTACTTCGGGGTGCAAAGCATAGCCGCCCAAAAGTGACGCATGCCGTTGAACCACCGGATATCATGAGCGATGAGGAGTTCCTAGAGTTCGAGTCAAAATCTCACACCAGAGAGGATGACACTATGGAGTTTGAGGTTTCGACCCTCACAGTTGAAGAAACCCATACTCTGAATGCAGTAATACTCGAAACCACCGCCGACGATGGAACGATTACATATTGTTCCGAGAAAGCGCTTCAACAAACTCTTGTCTCCTTCAAGGGAAACCCGAACTTTAGGAGCCAAAGTCGGTATGAAACGCTAAGAAAGATGCTAGGAGGAGGGAAAGAAGGAGACGGGGATGGTAGTATATTTGAGCTCAGTCTACCACCATCTGAACCGGAGCCACAGCTCCAATTACAGCAAGACAAATTCGGGGATTCTGAAAGTATTCCCTACCTGAACCAAGCAATTTCTGGAGATGCCGATGTATGTATTGTGATATACCTTCCTCAAGCCCGCACCTCAGGATTAAAATGGAGGCTTTGCTAACCTTATATTCTAGGCGCATCATCCGGAGGGGCCCACATCCCCAGAGAAGGTCGTCGAGAAGCATGGCTACATGGTTTTCAAATTGCTCCTTCTGAATTTGAAAAGCAAGCAACTGCTAGTCGGTCGCTTATTCGAACTCGCCATCATCATCATCATCATCAAGGCCTGGATGGGAACTTACCCATCCTGTTTTGGCTTTAAATAAATTATTAGCGAAAGAATCCGCAGTCCAGAGCGTCAACCAGGAACAAACAGATACACATATACGACAATACACCTATATCATGTTATCCTTTTGTTCCTGGTTGGAGCTTTCGACAAATATCCTGTTCTAGAGTGGTGCTAATACGCGGTGGCACTTGGCGCATGACCGAGTACCAGGTGCCAGACATCGCCGGTGCGATGAGCGCATGTGAGATACAGGACCCATATCTACTAGTAGAAATATCTGATAGTGGTTTTAGCGGTATCTAAAGATCAAATTGAAAAATATTCAATTTGATCTTTCGATATCCTAGGCTACTGGAAAATATGAGTCCTGTATCTCCCATGCACTCATCGCACTGGCGATGTCTGGCACCTGGTACTCGGTCATACGCCAAGTGCCACCGCGTACACACACCTCTCTCATAATTTCTGTATTTTACGTGTGCTCGGTTTTGCTGTTGTGGGGATTGTTTCCTTGTTCCTTTTCTCTATTTTGATTTCTGGTCGGCTTGGATATGTTTGTGCAGGCGCGGAGGGGGAACTAGTAATTCCTCTAGACTGCTTCTTGTATAGTCTCCTATGTGCAAGGTTGAGGAGGGGGTAGAATCCCTTATCCCTTGTGTTTGGCCGTGAACGAGTTGGAGGGTATGGATCAGAGGAGAGCTTTGGGGAGAGTGTATTTTTATGTGTGGTTTTTGGTTGCGCTTTTTTTTTTTTTTTTTTTTTTTTTTGGGGGGGGGGGGGGGGTTGTGGGTTTGGGATGGTTACTTTGATGCAAGTCTCTACGCCGTCTCGCCATTTCTATTCCTTGTTTTGTTTTGTTGTCGTGGCTTTGGGGAGAAGGGAAGATTTGCAGCTTTGGTTTGCAATTTGGTTGTCTCGGAGGAGAGTACTCTTGTTTGGGATGCTTTGGGGATTTAAGGGTTTCGTCTTACAATTTGTTATGCTGGGGGATGAGAGTGGTTTTGGATTTACAATTTGTCACTGGAGGATTTGCGGGTTTGCTTTGCAGTTTGTTGTTTTTTTTGGATTTTTCAGCACTTAGTTTTGGTTTTGGAGGACTTGAAAGGGTTTTTGGCTTGCGGTTTGTTTTTGGTATACGCATATGGAGGACGTGGTATAAATTTATCTTTGCTGCTTTCTTTATGGCAACTCTCCAACTAGCCGAGTGCGGTCTTGTGATGCAATAATACTCGAGTGAGATAACTACATGTATTGGCGGAGTACATAGCTCTACAATAGGTGGAACCTTGGCGGCTCCTGCTTCACGATACTCAAAACCTGGTATATAAAGCAAGCTTATATCAAACCCCACGTCGCCAGTAAAGCCAAAGCCAGGGCCACCAATCCATGCAACCTTAACACCTATCCTATCACATCACACCCCGCCCCCACTACCACATCACCTCCCACCTCATCACAACTAAAATGCGGCGCGTAGTAGTAACCGGCCTCGGCGCCGTGACCCCCCTCGGCGTCGGTCAGTCTGCCCCCTCCTCCCCCCTCGCCGCGCCTGCCCCGGTCTACACCCCGCCTCGAGCACCCCACTAACAAGCACACACAACAGGCGTGAAGCGCTCATGGACAAACCTTCTCGCGGGCCGCAGCGGCGTGGTCTCCATCCGCGGCCGCTTCGCGACCGTGGGCAGCACGGAGATCCCTAGTCAGGTGGCGGCGCTGGTGCCAGGGTGGGATGCGGGGGTGTGGGTTTCGGGCGCGGTAGGTTCTCGTGTCTTTGTGGGGCGTTGGGGTGGGGTTTGGGTTGTGGGGGGGGGGGGGGGGTTTGTGCTGATTGTGGGGTGTGCGAGGGGGATAGGAAAAGGCAAAGATGGCGACGTTTACGCAGTATGCGGTTGCGGCGGCGGAGGAGGCGCTCGGCGATGCGGGGTGGAGGCCGGAGAGTGAGGAGGAGAGGAGCATGGCGGTATGGTTTTCTCTTGGGGAGTGCGGGTGGGAGTGGGTGTGCGGGTGGGGGCTAATGTGCGGTGTGGTGTGGGGATGTAGGGTGTGTGTATTGGCTCGGGCATTGGCTCGTTGGACGATGTGTTTAATACGGCGATGAGTTATGCGGCGGGGGTGGGTTCTTTTCTTCTTTACTATTTTGATATTATGGGCTTTTGGTATTATGGGTTTTGGGACGTTGGGGTTTAGTTATGAGTTGGCTCATTTTGTGGGTGGGAATATCATTGACACTACGAGCGGGAGATATGCAGGGCTACAAGAAAGTTCCCCCCATTTTCATCCCGCGGCTCCTCGTCAACCTCGCCGCCGGGCACGTCAGCATGCGCTACGGCTTCCTCGTACACAAACCCCCCCCCCCTCCACCCCCCACTCTACAAACCATTGACCCCCTCTAGGGCCCCAACCACGCCGTCTCCACCGCCTGCACAACCGGCGCCCACTCCATTGGCGACGCCACCCGCTTCATCCAGCACGGCGACGCCAACATCATGCTCGCCGGCGGCTCCGAATCCTGCATCCACCCGCTCGCCCTCTCCGGCTTCTGCCGCGTCAAGTCCCTCGCCACTGCCTGGAACGACGACCCCGCTGCCGCCTCGCGCCCCTTCGACCGCGACCGCGCCGGCTTCGTGATTGGTGAGGGCGCAGGCATCGTCGTGCTCGAGGAACTGGAACATGCCAAGAGGCGAGGGGCGAGGGTGTATGCGGAGGTGAGAGGGTATGGGCTCAGTGCGGATGCGCACCATATGACGGCACCGCCGGAGAGCGGGAGGGGCGCGAGGATGGCGATGAGGAAGGGGTTGGTGCAGGCGGGGGTCAGGCCGCGGGAGGTGGATTATGTGAATGCGCATGCAACGTCGACGGTGTTGGGGGATGCGGCGGAGAATAGAGCGGTGAGGGGGTTGTTGCTGGGGGAGGAGGGGTGGGGGAGGGCGGGGGAGGTGTGTATGTCGAGTACGAAGGGGGCTACGGGGCATCTGTTGGGCGCGGCGGGGGCAGTGGAGGCCATTTTTACGATATTGGCGGTGCATGAGGTGTGTTTATTCCCCCTTCATCTTTCTATTATTTCTACTCTTTTTTACCTTGGCTTTTTGTTTTTATTTCCGTTTTCATATCTCTTGAGCGTGGTGGGAGCTAGTACACAGAGAGCTTGGACAAACTCATGCTTGAAAACAAAACAGGACATCCTCCCGCCGACGCTCAACCTCGGGAACCCGGGAAACCCCGCCGACACAGAAGACGCAGCAGCAGCGGATGAATTTGACTGCAATTACGTGCCCAACGTGGCCCAGTGGAAGACCGTCAATGTGGCCATCTCAAACAGCTTTGGCTTTGGCGGCACGAACGCCAGTCTCTGTTTCTCGAAGCTGAGGTAGCTGAGGTAGCTGTGTAGACATTTGTAATTGTAATTGTTTGTAATTGTAGATAGTTGGTTCTCATGCCTGTCTAGGAAGATAGAGTAGAAGCACTCGGAAGTGGAGTGAATAAGTGAACCAACATGAGGAAGGGAATAGAGAGCTTCCTGGGCGCTAAAGCTGCCCAATGCGTGCCACACCACAGCATCATAACACCCACCACCCAGCCCTCCCCGTCCCAGAGTAGCAAAGAATGTCTTGCAACCCACAGACATGTTCCGGGAGTCTCGTGAATTAACCCTTCCCTCCCCCCTCCCCCCTCCCCTCTCCCGGCGGCTGCGGCAATCCTCAGTCCCCTCCAATTGCAGCTGTTACAGGGCAATGAGTGTGAAGGGGGAAAGAGGGAGGGATGGGAGGGGACTGTGGTTATTTAAAGACCCTCGTTTCTCCCCACCACACCCACTGCCTGGTGTCCATGCGCGGCTGATCTGGTATCTATATAGCTACAGTGCTTCGCATCGCGTCCGTCTGAAATCTTTGTCTTGTCTTGTTTGTTTTGCTTGCTTGTTTAATTCTATTTCTCTCTATTCTTAATATCCCTTTTATTTCTATCTATACGCACTGCTAGCCAGGCGAAAACCAATTTTCAAAACAAAAAAAAAAAAAAAAATCCATTTTTCCCACATCCCCAATTCCCCCAAAACACACAAAACCGTCCAAATGGCAACAATCTTCCCACCCCGAACCACCTCACCCTCACGCTACCACCGCACCCCCTCACCAACCTTCCTCCCCCAACCACAACCCCAACTCTACAACCAGAAACCCTTCAAGCTTGCCCCCCACCCAAGAAGAAGCTCCGCATGTCGTCGTCTGCCCCCGCCGAACGCGCACCGTCGAAGCGCCAACAGGCCGCGAGAGAGGTCGTCGATATCCTACACGAGATCTCGACGCTGCTCGTAAGTCCCTCTCACCCCTCTCCCAGCCTCTGGGAAGAGAGGAGGAAGGAGGCTGATTGGGAGTGCGAGGTGGCAGAATACACACCTCGACAGGAACGCTCTCTCGCTGTGCGTATCGCTTGTTGAGAATGGGGTTAATCCTGAGGCGTTGGCTGTAGGTGAATTCTTTCCCAACCCCCCCCCCCCCCCCTCTCTCTCTCTCTCTGGTTGCGTTGTGGTGATAGAGGCTGATAGTGGATAGACTGTAATCAAAGAGCTTAGGCGCGAGAGCGAGGGACTCAGGGACGCGCCGGAGGCGATGGATGTGGATGGATAGCTAGCTAGTCTAGCTCTAGCCTGGGGTTAATACAAGTACATGTAGTGGTGGCATACCCCCCCTTCGGCCCCTAGGTGGTGATGGTATAAATCTTAATTGTCGTGATGACCTTGATGAGGAGTGGGTGTTTTTTGTGTTTTTGTTTTTACTCTCTATGTTTGTGGGAGCCGGGGGCTTTATGGTCTTTCAAGCAGTGTTGCTGGGCAATTACAATCCATGGCCTTTTAGTTAGTTGGAGAGATATGAAATTCGTCTGCTCTACTCTGCTCTATCATAACTAAGTAGACTAATTGAAACCATGAGTTCTTTATATATTTTTTCTGCAACTATAACTGGTAGCCCTATTAATTGGAAACCAAAAAACCCTGAACTAATGCAATCTGGATCGTGAAAATAAGGTTTCCCCCCATCGACACTAGCTACGATAGAGTTGCACTTTAGGGACGTGGCTAGTACCCTGCACTTACAGATGCACAGCCAATCATGCAAAGTGCAGGTGTAGATTATTACACTAGGTATTACTATTTCGTACCGTAAAGGGAATCTATTGAGTCAGTGTTACTACTACTGCGTCTGCTGCTGCTATTGATGCTACTACCAATGCTACTATTACTACATGTGTTATTACTACTATGTAGGTACATGTAGTTAGTCTGCTGATTATCGTACAACACCACCACCACCACCACCACCGCAGTCATCTCATTTTCCTTTTCCGTACTCTACATCACCCCACACTCGGAATGTCCAGATACTTCTAACAACCTCTTTTTCCTAATATTTAAGGGGTAGTAACTTTTTAAACTTGTACACGCACCGCTATAAGTTGATATATATAAACAACCCAAACACAAAAAAAAGGTCCCTCCCAAAAATCATACAAGAAAACGATGCAGAAAAAGAAAGAAGAGCGAATGAGATGAGACCCTGCCCAAAACAAAAACAAGAAAGCCCAAATAACAGATGGGGAATAAACGAAGAGAGAAAAAAAAGAGGGGAAAAGAAGAAGAGAGATATAAAAGAAAAGGCAAGGAAAGGAAAAAGAAGAGACAAATGATATAGAACGCCCAACCCAACCCCAAGTCCCAGATCGTAACCATGCCGTAAGTGTAAAAGGATAAAAACTCACAAAAGGGAAACGCAACCCCCCAAAAAACGAAAGACGAAAGAAGGACTACCACGCAGAGAGTAGAGAAGGCCACTTTTCTTAAAAAAACTAAGCGGCCCCGCCGATATTGACACTCCCCTTCCTCTGCAGTCCAGCGCCGGGCGGGAATCCCCGTGGCGGCTGCTGCCCACCAGCCACTGCCTGGGGCGTGCCTCCGCCGCCAAAGAGCCCGCCGCCGTCCCCGTTGGTGCTGTTGTACCCACCGAGGGGCCTAAGTGCCCCGGCGAGCATCTCACGCATGCGGACGTACTGGTACTTTCTCTTGACGGGGACGAGGATGTGACGCTCGATGGGCTGCGGGCATGAGCGTGCCACGGCGGCCATGACGAGCTCGGTTTCTTCGTCGGAGTCGACGGGGATGGCGTTGGCTTCAATCTCGTCGGGCGGTGGGGCCCCGGCGTTGATTGCCGCTTCTATATATAGAGGTTAGTGGTGAAAGAGGGGGCGGAAGCGGGGAAAGCGGAGGAGACGTACTTTGTTGTTTGGCTTGGTTCTTCTTCTGGTAGGCAGCAAGCAGGACGTCGTATGGCTGGGAACGGCCGAGGACGGAACGCTTGGCGCCCATAGAATGGGATTTACAAGTCAGCGAGCGGGCGCAGAGGGCACCGTTGGGCAGTTGGACACCGCATTGCTTTTCGACGTCGACGGGAGCTGTTTGTGATGTTAGTTTTTAATAATATCATGATAATAAAGTAGGCAATCATTACCCTTTGGCTTCTCCGTCTTTGCCGGCTTCTCCTTCTTCTTTTTGGCCTTTGGTTCTTTCGGCAGCTTTGGTTCTACAACACACAATCCCTCATATCAGCGTCCCCGCTCGTAGCCCTAACCCAACTAAAAACAAACATATAAACCCACCATCAGCCTTCCTCTTCTTGCTCTTGGCCCCATCTCCCTCTTTCTTCGCCATTTTCTTGGCACCCTTCTTCTGCGTCGCCTGCGGCGGCGGCGGGAGATCGCCAACTACACTCCCCTCATCGTCCCCGCCGGCATCCTTGCGACCCTCCTCTCTCGCCGCGGCCTCCTTGGCCTTCTTGCGCTCTTTTGCCTTGTCATTCTTTGCCTTTTGGCATGCCTTGAGATGCTGTGCCGCGACGCTCTTGATGACGGGCTTCTTGCAGACACGGCACAGGCCGTATTCCGGGTTGTCTTCGAGCGGGCGGAGGGTAGGGAAAGTGATGAGATCGTGGTCGTCGAGTTGGGTGATACCGGGGGATTTCGCAGAGGGCGTAGCATCTATAGGCTTGTTAGTTTGGGGGGTGTTGCGCATTGAGCATTGTTAGGCATTGAGAGGGAGCGATGGGGTGAGTCGAGGGCGGCATTAGGCAGGCATGTATGTACCTTGCTGCTCCAGCTGGTCGGCGCGTTGTTTCCAGTTCTGATGGTTCTTTCCGACTTTCTTTGACGGCGGGTTCTTGAGCTTGATGGTTGTTGCTGTGCGCTCTTGGTCGCTAAAGAGCTTTAGAACCGCGTCGCTGGAGCGCGTCATTGCGAGCTGTTAGCTGTTTAGCTGTGTAGGGTGTTTGGGGGGGGGGGGGTCGGGTAGCTTGCTAGGCTATATGAGGCCGGCCGTCGTCTTAGATGGTGGGGGGTGATCGTGGGGTTGGTGGGCGGGTTGGGTTGGGTTGGGTGGGCTGTTGATAGGGAACTTTCCTCGAGGAAGGGAGGTGGTTGCAGTTGCAGATGCCGTCCGTCGAAAATCTTCCAAGCTGCGTTGCGTCGGGGCTGTGCCAAGCTCGGTCACGTGAGAGAAGAATATTCGGATGTTGTTGCTGTGCGGGTTCGCAACTCGACTGCGTGAGGTGAGTGAGGATAAATGCAAATAAAAGGGGGCTTTGTGAGTTGCTGGTGAATGGGGCTAAGTTATGTAGAGCTACATACGCTAAGGGCTGTGATGACATCATACATGTGAGGTGATGAGATTGACTTTTTAGACCTCTCCTCCGTCCCGGATGGTGTGTTTCGTTTTACCAGGTAAGCTGTGATTGGAAGGATTTGATTGGAAAAGACGGGGTAACTAGAGCCCACATGAGAACGTGGGGAGGCTATATTCTTGGCAGTGAAAGAAGGAGGGGGCTTTGTTTATTACCCCAATGATAAGGCTTGAGCCCATTTACTACTACTCTACTACCACAAAATAACAGACGAGGAAATATAGGGCATCATGATACGAGAAAGAGAGTGCAACAAGTACACAACAAGTTGAACAATATTATGTACTGAAAAATAGCAGCTAGAAAACTCCAAGAGTAAGAGAAAAGGTAACGCTAATAAAACTCGTAAAGCTAAGCTAATAAAACAGCCAACCAACCACTACCAGAGTCAAAGTCAAGTCAAGTAAATCACACTAGAAGAACATAATAGTAAAAAAAATATAAAAAAATCGAAATAAGAATGAAGGACGAGAACTCCCAACACCCTCGAGACTTCGACCCATTAGCAGAACAGAACAGAACAGACCCGACAAAATAACATATTTTCTCTTGCCCATCCTAGACCTAAATATAAGTAACCTTCATGCCCATGCCTACTGTCCTCGTGGTCTTGATCCACGCCAACAACAGCAGCCTCCTGACTCTCTCCCTGACCCTCCGCTTACTAGTCATCCACACGACCATCGCCAGCATGATGACCGTTCGCAATAAGGTAAACCGTCCTTGCGCGGTGTTCATCTGCGCCTGGAGCCTGTTTAGTAGCGCCGTTGTTGTCGCAAAGAGATTCTTTGAGTCTGCTTTAGCCGCTGCCGTAACCTTGCTGTTATTGGCAGTAACCTTGCCCTCCTTAGTGGTGCCGTTGACTGAAGCAGTCTTTCGCTTGCCTTCTCTCCTTGGTGGGCGAACAGTAGTTGTAGAGGTACGCCTAGTTGTTGTAACTACAGATCCGGCGCGAGACCCTGCTACAGAGGGGGCTGGCGAGTGGACGCTGATAGCCTCATCGGCGAGTTCTTGTTGGCGATCGTGCTCCCATTGTGCCTCACGCCGTGCAGCGAGCTCTTGGGAGTAGCGTTCGGCTTCTTCAGAATCTTTTTGGAGCTGGTCTAGGGTTGCTTGGAATAGCTGTATATAGTTGTTAGCTTGGGCCTCGGTAGTGAAGTGGTAATGATTATATTACATCTTTTTGTTCATCATCGAGATCTGGTGAGGTGTTTGTGAATTCCCGAGCGTAGTCCCAGTCTCCGACTCGTGGAATGACATGTAGAATATAGAGCTCTACGAGCTTGACACGCTGCGAGATGCCCTTTGGATCGTCATCCGTGCCAATAGTGTTGGGGGCAGCGGAGAGATAGGCCTCGATCTTCTTCTGGGTTACCGATTGGTCCTGTGAGTGTGCCAATAGTAGAGTTACTCTATAAATACCCGTTAGTAATTAAAAATCCTGCCAATATAATCATTTCCTCTCCCGCAATACATACAGCGCGTTCACCACCTCAGCATCGACCCGTCCCTCCCCGCCATATGTCGCAATGGCTTCGTCCCACACGGCACCACTGCGCACTCTCGCAAGAATCTTCCTCCACTCAGCAGCGCCCCAAACCTTCTTCCCCTCCTCGGCGCCCATCTTTGCGGCCGCATCGAGAATCGCAAAGTACAGACTCCACACCTTTGTCCGTAGCGCGCGCGAGCACTTTACGCGCGGAGATACCGAGTCCGCGATGATGGGTTGCAGGGTCGCGAGGGCATCGGGCAGCCGCCGCGTGAGAAAGAGGTTGGTACAGGTGCGATAGACACGTGCTACGGTTGCGGGGGTCGCGAGGGGTTGCTGCTGCTGCGGTGCTTTTTGGGCGTTTGCTGCAGGGGCGGACGGGGTGTGCAGCGGGTGGTGCCCGTTCATTCTGTCAGTCTGGACCATGGAGCGGGGGGGTGGTGGGAATGGGATGACGCGGAGCATGGCGGTGGTGCTGCTGGGTGGGCCGGTTGGCGTGGGTGTAGGGGGGTGTTATATATACTGGTGTTTACTACTGTGGGGATTGCGGAGCCAAGGATGGGGAGGTGGTGGTGGTGATGGTGGTGGATAGGGCTCGCGGGAAGGGTGTGGGGTTGTGCTTATTTTTATGCTGCTCTAGTCTCTTTAGTGAATACCCGATGGGAAAGTAGGGAAGGTGGTTGTGTAGTGTGCAGCGAGAATGTTGTACTCGTGCAGCAGGAAGGTTGCTTGTTACTGCTGGTGGTTGTGATCTGCTTGTGAGGAAGCAACCGAGGAGGGAAGGGAGTAAAGAAGGAAAGAAGGAAGGAAAAGGCTGGGGAGAGATCGAGGGTTTTTGGCTCTGGCACGCGATAGATCAAGGAAGAGACAGATGGGGTGGAACAGAGCTGAGAAGCTGCAGGGTGCTTTGCGTGTGGGTGGGTACAGGAGATGTTGTGCTGTGCTGTTGATCCAGCAGATATTGTGATATGATATGGGGGGCTTTTCTTTCTTTCGTGAGGGATTGATCCTACTCGTGGAGAAATATTTTAACCTCGGGATGCTTCCAAACAATGATCATGCAAGCAGTGGGCGAGAAGAGAACTCCGGGGCAGTGCGGTGGGTAAACACGAGTGGTAAGTGAGAAATCAAAGCAGAAGCAGTGGGATTATATTGGTTTGTATGTATGTAGCATAGAGATCCGATCCGTACTTTCACTCCCTCCCCAGCCTTGAACTTGACTCGTTGGAGAAACTTAAGCTCGCTTTCGGCACTCTCCCAGCCAACCACCCAACCAGCCTTCCCTGGGAAGAAAAAAAAAAAAAGGAGGGTAGAGTACGGCGTCTGGAGATCTTACTTGCCCGGGCCGAGGTCGGGGGTTCACCTTACGTCAGCCACCACCACAAGGGCATGTGTTACCCTGCACGTATTACGGAATAGGGTAGAAGCCGCGATAGGAGAGTGGTGATATCTGGTGACGCATATAGTAGTTTTTTTTTTTTTTTTTTTTTTTTTTTTTTTGTTTCCCACCGTCGTTTCTACAATGGATTAACTCAATGCTATCCTAATCATGTAAGAAGCCGCACGTATCTATGAATCTCATGCTCTTGACTTATATGTATCTTGCTCTGCTGTTCTGCACGATTCACATGCTTGCAGAGGAAGCTTGATTAATTGTCTTCAAAAGCACTTTAACTGTGCGTGACGAACCCGTGTGCCAAGGAGAACTCAACGCGTCCACCTCCTGCAATTGACCCTTCCCCAATACCCCGCGACACGACACCCTCGAAACCCCGCTTGAAGTAGGTTCGTGCCCGTGTTTTTCGTTGTAGCAATCTCACTACGATAGGGCCTGGCGACCAACGTCATCCCGCTCTCAGCAACCAACTACAATACTTCCCACCCACGCTCAACTAGCTATGAATATTTCAAGGTCCAACTTTGCGGATAATCTCCCCGAGATTGTCGATCAAATAAATAAGTCATACTTTGGTTCGTATTAGCCCACTATTCTGTAAGGCCTCACAACCTAACCAAAATTAGTGACATTTGATCTTGAACTATCTGGGATTCATACGGGCTCAAAGAACTCAGTCCAGGGACGACGACAGACCCTCCAAGAACGATACAAAGAGATTAAAGAAGCTGCCGAACGCTTTCAAGTCATTCAATTCGGAATTTGTATCGTCAGTGTGGACAAAAACGAGAGTAATCACACGCACACCCCCCCCCCCCCTGCCCCCAGCTCCAGTTGTAACTACTAACTCCCTCTTAAGACAAATATATCTTGCGTCCCTACAACTTCAATGTCTCGCCCATCAGTGAAAACAAGTTCGGCCTTAATCGTGAATATACAGTTCAAGCCAGTGCCCTCGAATTTCTCGCCGAGCACAACTTCAACTTCAATACGCAACTTATCAGCGGAGTGCGCTATTTGAGCCATGACGAAGAGAAGCAAATCATCGACCGTGAAGATCGTCTAGCCAGTGAGCCAAAGGAGGATATCAGTGTCGACGAGCAATCGAAGCAGTTTGTATGAGGTTGATGGGGAAAATCCAGAGATATTGTGGTCCTTGCAGCAAGCTAATTGTATCACCTATATTGATATGCAGGTTGCAGACTTTAAGCAAAACATCCAGGAATGGCTAGACGACCCAAATGTACCCCTTCCCCTCTAGCTTTATGCTCTCTGCATGCTCTCACTAATGCCTAGCCCGATGCAGCCGCTATATGACTTTCTCAATATCACTACTCCAAGCCAGTGCATGAACGGATACCAAAAGCGCCTGGTCCACCAGATTGTCCGTGCCGAGTTCCCTAGCTTGGCTACAATTGGAAAGCCAACCTTTGTGCAGGTCGTCAAGAATGACCCTGCCGCCGATAAGTTCAAGAGGGAAGAGCGACGTGCGAAGTTTGACAAGGACCTGCAGAAGGCTATTAGCCTCAGGCATCTCATTGACGCACTGTTCAAGAGCAAGAAGCCGCTTGTGGGTCACAATCTCATCACTGATCTTGTATATCTTTATCAGTGCTTCATTGGCAATCTGCCTGACACAGAAAAAGAGTTTGCTGCAATCATCCATGCGGCGTTCCCTGTGTGCGTTTCCTTCTCCTAGAAGTTCTTTTACGGAATATCATTGCTAATGCAACAGAAAAGTGTACTAGACACAAAGTACGTCGCCACTTGTGTCGGCGATACACTCCACAACAGCTCCAATCTGCAAGGCCTCTTTGAATCCTTTGCATTGCAGAAACTCCCCACCGCCGAGCTTGCAATCGGTCACACCAGTTATAGTCTCCGAGACTGTGCCCACGAAGCGGGATACGACGCCTACATCACCGCATACGTCCTGCTCAAGGCTGCAGGTAGATACAACAGCTACTTGCAGGCTTTCAAAAAGGAAGGTGAGAGCAATGCGGAGGAGATGGCCGCTGCCAAGCTTATGGAGCATATCTACTACACTGAGCTCATGAGTGAGGAGTCCAAGCACATTGAGGACGAGGGATTCCTTCCGCCGTTTGGCAAGAATGGTTTTGGCGGTTTTTGGGCGAGCTGGTGCAATAAACTGAGGGTGAACGGAACTGCCGAGTCCGAATTCATTCTCAAGTGAAGGGTGGTGGAAGATTTTTCTTGTTTTGCGTCTTCTTTTAACCGTCGTGGCATTTCTACTTTACTCTTTAAAAGGGAATAACTGTTGGTTTTTCTTTAGGGTCTGGGTAAAAGTCCCGTTGTGTTAGATACCTTTTTATAAACCAGCGCATTCTCTGTTTCAGCGAGTGATATTCTATGAAGCAACCAACTTCATTTTTTTTTGTTGCAGAAAATCAAAAGTGAGGATATTCACTAAATCGGATATTATCGATAAAAAAAGAGTGATTGCCTTTCATTCTATGACATAACCTTCTAGACCCCCGGTGTTTACTCGGTAAATGTTTCAGCCATTCAAAAAAGACCTTAAGTGAGCCTCTACTGACCTACAGGCACCCGTAACCTTGTGTCCATGTGGGCGTATCACCATGAACCGAAGTTACAGCTCCACTGTGTACTCTATATACCTTACACAATGTGCGCCTCTAGTTAAAAGCTTAATAACACTTCCTTGATACTCCTAGTAGCCTCATCCCTTATCAACGTGCATTTATCCACAATGGATATTATGTAGAAAATCTTTACACAGGTCTACATATATATAAAATACAATAAAGTGTTAATTCCTATTGCACAATTCTATTGCGTATAATCACACAAGAATCCGTGTCTCCCGGATCCCACCCACCAATTTCATAACAAAATACTGTGTAAATGGTTTCTGGATATTTACAGCGGTGGGTAATAAGTCATCGGACGACCTAGCCACAATTTTGCCTGCAAACGCGTATTTTGGTGGCGTTCCGTCTAATGACTTATTACCCACCGCTGTACAAGGGAAATCCTTTACTAGCGGCAATGATTGCACTATATAATGCTTATAGAGCATATAATACACAGGGGTTTGCATGCAATCAATAAAAGCAGCACAGGGGTGTGGTGGAGTAATCCCATGTGCAGCGAGTGATATCTGGTGCGGATTGGCGAGGTGCATGATTTGGGGTGGATAAGAGCGCCCATGTCCATGATCGGGGAAGGACTTTCCCGACATGGGGACTATAGCGGTGGGTATGATCCACGTTGAGAAGAGCTTGGATTGTATGGAGGAATCTCATATGGTTTAAGGGTGTGTTAGGTCCTTAAAAGCACTGCTTGGGGGTCGTCGGTATTCTAAACGATATGTGGTTCTGTTATCGAAAACTAATTATTGGAGGTACCTGCATTATTTGTATATGTGACTTGATAGAATCCTTGGGTTTGTCGAGCTTTCAAAATAGTGCTCCACTGAGCTCTGACTACTCGTAACTTCATAGCGTTTCCGAACATGACCAATATTGCATGACATACAAAAAGGTGGATTTGGCGCTTTTTTGTATGGTATGCAATATTGGTCGTGTTCGGAAACGTCATGAATTTACGAGTACATGTATTGAGTGTTGGACTTGTCCGAGCCTAGAGCTTGAGCTAGCTTGGCTTATGTCCACTCCCACACGATAACGGAAGTGTCTATCGGCCTCGATGTAGACCTCGCTCAAAATGGGATCCCGTTATAGCTGCAAGCGGCCAAGTCAAGGTCATCGTTCGAAGCATCCAGTAGGATAGGACACGTACTGATCTCGACTAGGAAAACCTCATCTTAGTATGCCCAGTGAAGCTCTGCAGTGTGTTTTTGTAGCCACGCCTGTTTGATGCGCCATTCTGATTGCGCGTTTCAAAAGTCGACTTGATGCATCATAGATTATCACTCAGTCATTCCATGTTCGCACAGCAGGTAATATCGATAAGGCTCCGTACCACACGTGTAGCTATCCCCAACCCTGAGTATTACCACTATCCATCTACATACAGGTAGCACATAACAGTATCTTATCTCCCGGACTTGGGTTCCATTTAAAACGCGCCCAATATACATACACCTGAACTTAGACTTCCACAAAAAAATAGGAATTGAAAAAAAGCCTGGAAGCGGGACCCGACACAGAGCGGAAAGGCACATGCACGGGATACATACATACCATGTGTACTCTAGGTATGTACCTACATGTACCCATTTAGAGTGGTGGTAAATGCGGGGGTCTGTTTATCGTTCGCATCAGGATTTGATCTGAGACTAGGATTACACACATGTATCCTTTCCCTCATCGCCCCCTTTCCCCATGTACTACACTATTTTGCGATCCCCGGGAAGAGGATAGGTGCATTTCCTTGCTCTATTTCTCGCCGGCGGATGAGATCCGGCGAGCCGGGAGAAGGTGCATGTCTAGCATTCTTACTAGTTCCACATTAGGCAGAATTTAAAAAAAAAACTAAGGGGGTTTCTAGATTATTAATTCTAGAATTTGGGGTGTATGGTAAGTAACCTGAAAAAATGTATTTTAATTTTTTTCCTTATGTCTACACTACAATTGAAGCGTCTTCCCGATCTTCCCTTTCCCTTGAATTGCTGGGCATAGCTTTAGTAACTATACCCACACAACTCCGAATATTTGACATACATCTTCATGCGTTCGATCCCCTTAGACATCCCCCTCCCACCATCATTTCCCCATTCACCGGCCAATAAATAGATATAGAAAAATGAATGACTGACTAGAAAAAGTGTTTAAGCGGTATAAAGCGGTTTCAACAGTAAAAAAAAAAAAAAGAGAAAGACTCGACGACAAAGTAGTTTCCATACAAGAAGATAGTCCACAGGCCATAACAAAAGTTTAGAATAACAAGAGGAGGAAAGAGTAACTAACGTTAAGACAACTAACAAATTTATTTTTCCCGGCTCCAGACTGTACTGACCAACTGATGAAAGAGGTCTCAAAGCACAATACAATCAATCAATCAATCACTCGAACACCCGCCCATGAATTCGAACAATAAAATAAAGAAAATAAAACCCCTCCAATCCATGATGATCCCGCGTGAGTATCCCATCCACTTCACACTTTGTCCAAAATAATAAAAGAGATGAAATAACCCCGTATTCGAACAATCCAAAGCAAAATAAAAGAAGGAAAAGATAAAAACAATTGACGCCCCACCCGTCTTTCCAATCAAAATATTAGAGGGAAGAAATAAGAAACCTAAGGGAATAATAAAAAATCATTTATACTTATCAGCCCCGGATTGTTTCTGGTTTATTATGATTCCATCTCCGAGCAGAGAACGCCGTCGTCGTCCATGGTTGCGTCGTCGTTTTCGTGTTCAAACACTCCAGATGATTCTTCCGATGCAGCGCTCGAGGCCCGGTAGTATTCACTCAGTGCTTCGGGTGGTGGTGAAAATGAAAATACCTGAGTTCAACGTTAGTATATGTACTCAAAGAAAGGAAAGGGCAGAGTCAAATCTTACCTCCATTATCGTCCTGCTAGACCTTAAAGCTAAAATAACAGCTTTCTCCTCTTCAAAAGCAACCCTCCAGACCGCATCCGCAGGGTTCGATAGCTCCCGAACTAGTTGGCCAGACCTCAGATCCCAAATCTTAACCCTACCATCGCTTCCCCCGCTAACGATCCTTGTTTCATCGAACTGTAACGAGGTGACGCTATTATCATGGGCGGCAAGCCTATGCACACAGGCATATTTATCCAGACTCCAAACACGGACCGATCCATCAGATCCTCCGGTAACAAGAGTGTTTCCGCGCATCTGGAGCTGCCCTACAAGTGATGTATGGCCCTGAAGAACAGCAAGGCAATTTCTAATGCAGGTTAGATTTGAAGACAATATTTTAACCAAGAGAATAAATAATTACCCAGTCGCGGGGTCCCATATCCGAACGGAGGTATCAAGTGATCCAGTGGCAATCCTGTTTCCGTCAAAGGCAATGGCATAAATTTGGCTAAGATGTCCTGTCAATGTTCGAAGACAAGTGCCTTGTGAGATACTCCAGACTTTAGCAGTTGTATCATAACTACCGCTCACAACCAAGTCTCCGTGAATTTCCAAGCAACGGACGCTTGCTTGATGTCCAACAAGGACATTCAAGCAAACACCCTTCTCGATATCCCAAATTCTCAAAGTTGTGTCCCTGGACCCAGAGATGGCCGTCTTGTGGTCACTCATTTTTAGGCACCTGACAGTTGAAGTGTGACCTCGCAAAATCGCTTTGCATTCTCTGACAAATTTATTAGTCTGGCCCAGCGTCATGTGCATAACAGGGATTCTTGTTCTTACCCCTTCTCCATATCCCACACTCTAACGTCCCTGTCGCAACCGCCGCTGACCAATGTGTTACCCCAAGGAACCATAGCCCAAACTCCCATCACATGCCCAGTCAGGGTCCTCAAAATTTTACCATCTGCATCAAAAACATGTATCTTGGCATTATCCAAGGCGATGACGATGTAATCGGGAGTAAGGTGAAGAGATGTAACAACACCCTGATCAGGCGTGATGTGCCTTGCAATCGCATTCCCTCCAGTCCTCCACGCAGTCTCGACCATGTATCTTTGCTTGAAATGGGACTTGTATGAGGTAGCTTTTGGCCTTCTCCTTTTCGAGCGAGTAAACTGGGGTGAAATCTCTGAGGTAAATCCAGAAGGTGATGATACCGGGTTTGAAAATCCTGTATCCTTGGGGGAGATCGGGTTAGTGGTACTAAAGAGTGATGGATCATGATGCGAATGATGCATCGAGCCGTAAGCTGCTGTCCCACTTAGGCGCCTGTAACTATGCTTTTCACAAAGCTTTTTCCAAGTAAGGTCGTCACTCAAAAGCCCGTGCCAGTGCTTTGACACCTGCGAGGCTCGGGCCAAAGTTTTCGGGTCATCAATAAATGAAATTACCTATAGGATATCAATATATGCTTAGGATTATTCGAGTAGGTACGGAAACTCATACCCTAAGACAAAGCTCATTCGGTAACGACTTGAAAGGATCCTTCTTAAGTCGCGGGGACACGTAGTTCAGCACGAAGCTCAATTGTTGCGAGTCGCAAAGATTTAGGATCTCAGCTAGAAAGCGCTGACGCTCTTGTGAATCTAATCTGCTGAAGTGAGGTCTAACATCCTTGAGGATAGCATCCTCGTT